CTGCCTGTTCTGCTCCCCACTCTGTCTCTGTTGAATCCTCTCACCCCACCCCCCTACCCGCCCCCGCCCCACCCCGCACCTCTTGCCTAGACCCCAGTTCTTATATGCATAAATAAAAATAAATCTTTTAAAAAAAAGAATAATTCCAAATAAACAATCTAATACTACACTTAGAGCAACTTGAAAAAGAGGAACAAACAAGACCTAAAGTCAGCATAAGGAAGGAAATAATGAAAGTAACAGCAGAAATAAATGAAGTAAAAATCAAAAAGGTGATACAAAGAAATCAATGAAACAAAGAGTTGGTTCTTTTCTACAAATAGTCAAACAAAATAGATAAACCTGTACTAGGCTAACAAATAAGAGAGAAAACATTAATAAAAAGAATCAGAAATGAAACAGGAAAAATTACCACAGACAGCATGGAAATACAAGATTATTATGAATAATTATACACCAATAAATTCTACAATCTTGAAGAAATCCACCAATTTCTAGATCAAAATAATTTACCAAGACTAAGCCAGGAAGGAACAGAAGAGTTAAAAAAAACTAATCACAAGCACGGAAACTGAAGCAGGAAAAAAAAAAAAAATCTCCCCCAAAACAAAAGCCCAGGGCCAGAAAGCTTTACAAATGAATTTCTATCAAACCTTTAAAGAAGAACCTATACCCATCTTGCTCAAATTATTTATAAAAATCCAAGAAGAGGGAAAACTCCCTAATACATTTTATAATGCCAACGTTACTTTAATAGAAAACCAGAGAGAGACAACACAAGAAATGAAAATTACAGACCAATATCCCTGATGGACATCGACACAAAAATCTTCCAACAAAGTACCAACACGTCAAATTCAACAGCATGTCAAAAAGATTCTACACCATGATCAAGTGTAATTTATCCCAGAGGAGCAAGGATGGTTTAATAAATGTAAGTCAATGAAAGTATTATATCGTATCAACAAAAGTAAAGATAAAAATCATATGGTAATATTGATAAATGCAGAGAAAGCATTTGGTAAGATTCAGCACCATTTATGATAAAAACTCCAAACCAGGTGGGAATAGAAGGAACCTACCTCGATATAATAAACACCATCTTTACAAAGCAACAGCCAATATAATACTTAATGGTGAAAAACTGAAAACTTTCCCTTTAAGATCAAGAACAAGGCAAGGGTGTCCACTGTCACCACTTCTGTTTAACTTAGTGTCAGAGATTTTAGCTACAGCAATCAGACAACAACAACAGGAAATAGAGGGAACCCAAGTTGGAAAAGAAGAAGAGAAACTATCACCGGTTGCAGAAGACATGATATTATATATAGAAAATCCTAAGGACTCCACCCAAAAGCTACTAGAAACGAGATGAATGTAGCAAAGTGCCAAGTGACAAAATCAACATAAAAGAATCCGCAGCTTTTTAATATATAAAAAATGAATGAGAACAACAAAAACTTAAGAAAATAAATCCATTCACTATCACTTCAAAAAGAATGAAAAGCCTTGGAATCAACTTAACCAAGAAGGTGAAGGATCTACACAATGAGAACTACAAGATGTTATTAAAGGACTTGGATAGCTATCTAAAGAGACAGAAATATAGCCCGTGCTATATTTCAATATAATCAAAATGACTGTTCTACCTAAAGCAATATATTAATTTAACACAATTTCCATCAAACTACCCACGATATTCTTCAAATAAATTGAACAAAAATAGTGAAATTTATATGAAACTATAAAAGATCTTGAATAGCAAAGACAATTCTGAGAAAAAAGGAGAGTAACAGAGGCATCACACTACCTGACTTTGAACTACGCTATAAAGCAACAGTTATTAAAACAATATGATACTGGGGGCCTCCCCCGTGGCGCAGCAGTTGAGCGCTGGGTTGCAAAGCTGCCCGCGGCCTCTGCGGCGCCAGTTCCATCCCCAGCTGCTCCCCGGCCACCGGAGGAGGGTCCCACAAGGCGCGCAGACCTCTCCTGCCGCCCGCTGCTCCCCTCAGCAGTGTCCTTCGGTCCTTCTGCCTGCTCTGCTCCCTGCTCTGGCTCTGGTGAATGCTCTCACCCTGCTGCGCTTCTGACTGTACCCCGTGCTTGTATACACAAAACAAACAAACAAACAAACAAACAAACAAACAAACAAATAAATAAATAAAACATGCCTCTATTTAAAAAAAACAAACAAAAAACCAATATGATACTGGTAGAAAAGTAGATATATGGGTCAGTGGAACAAAATTGAAAATCCAGAAGTAAATCCATGTATGTAGCAATACCAATTCATGATAAAGGAGCCACAATCATGTAATGGGAAAAGAGAAGCTACTGAATAAATAATGCTGGGAAAACTGGACAGCCACATGTAAAAAAGAATGAGGTGGGATCACTGTCTCTAATTTCATGCACAAGAATAAATTCCCAGTGGATTCAAGATTTAGATTTAAAATCTCCAACAATAAAAGATATAAAAGAAAAGTTAATGACTCGTTCTATGGCACCAGTGATAGATGCTTATGGAGACTCGATCCTATGGCAAGGGAAGTAAAAGCAAAAACAAACAGTTGGGATGACCTCAAGTTAAAAAGCTTTTACACCGTGGTAGGAAATTTAAGTAGATTAACAAGACATCCTGTTGAGCACTCGCCTGCCCACCTGTGACCATGCAGGTGGCAGAGGGTACGGAGGAGCGCTCCTGCTCTGCTAGTGGAGTATAAACTGGTGCAGACATTCTGGAAGGCCATCTGGGTTAACCTTAAAAACTAAAGATGGCAGTAGCACAGGACCCGTGATCCCAGTCTTGGACATCTAGCCAGAGCCTGAAGCCACCAACACAGACCTGCACCGACGTGTTTCCTGCGGCACGATGTGCGTGAGCAGGGCCTGGCAGCAGGCCCCACGCCGAACATGTGTTGGGCTAAGAGGAGGTGGGACAGCCGGCGGTGGGACTCTCCTCAGCCGCAAGGGAAGAGGAAATGCTGCCGTTTGCAACAAGTGGAGCGATTTCAGGGGAATGGTGCACAGTAAGGCAAGTCACAACAACAAAGACAAATATTAGACATTGACTCAGCAGATGATTCAGCAGAGCGAAGGTCTCATAACAGCTAGTGAATGAAGTGAGCTTGTGGGGGTCGGGGGAGAGGAGGAAGGGTCAGGGGTAAGGGCTGGTGGTGGGGAAGAAAAGAAAACAGCATATCCCGTCTATAGGCTTTGGTTTGAAACTGAGTCTTAAAACTCTCCTGTGATGAGAAACCAGCGCAGGATTCTGTGCTACCACAGTTACTCGGCTGTGCCGCGGTGATCACCTTGCCGTGTAAGCGTCCTATTCAGAATATTGTTGTGCATCTGAAACTAATATAATGCTGTCAATTTATCTCAATAAAAAGTAATATTTTTGTGGCAAATGAGTACCTCATAGAAATCGGAAGCCCTCGGTCACAGGGAGTGCGAACGGTGATGGCTTCTATTTGAATGCGTGTTACGATATGCAAAGATTTCCATATAAACATTCTTATTTCATATTTTTAAAGGAAGATCAACAGGAACGAGAAAGAGATTGAAGGAGGACAAGGGCACCTAGGTGCACCTCATGTTAGAAACAAGCATGGCGCCATGCGGGGCAGCCCCCAAGGTTCCCGGACACCGAGGCTTTAAGGCAAAGGACGCGTGTGCAGAGGAGAGTGAATGGAAACCACTTGCCCTGGGAAGAAGCTGCTAGATGTCAGTGAGCGAGGAAACAAACGACGGCCAGAAAGCCTTCCTTGGCAGCCCTTCCACCGCCTGGGCCCAGGCGGGCGAGTCTCTCAGCCTCTGACTGGGCAGCTGTCTCTCTCCTCCGGCCCACCCTGCCAGGGCCGCTCTCAGCGCGCTGGGGGCTGGGCTGGCGTCCGCCCTCCCCGCTCCCGCTTTAGAATACACCTGCCCTCTCGGATGTACATTTATAGATGAGAAAACCTTCATTGGTACGTGTGTGTGTGTGTGTGTGTGTGAGTGTGCGTGAGCATGGAGCTCATCCTGGGGGGGGGGGCGGCGAATGCAGAAAGAACAAAAAGGAGGGGCCTCCCTGGTGGTGCAGGGATTAGTCTCAGCACCATGAAGCTGTCTTCAGCCACTGCAGCACTTTGATCCCCGGCCAGGTTGCTGCCCACAGGGCGCAGCAGACTCTCCTGTCTCCCTGCGGCTCCCCTCAGCAGTGGATTCCAGTCCGTCTGCCTGTTCTGCTCCCCACTCTGTCTCTGGAGAGTCCTCTCACCCCCCACACCTCTGGCCTGCACCCCAGCTCTTGCATGCAGAAATAAATAGAATAAGTTTTTTTTAAAAAAAGAACAAAAGGGACCGTAAAAAAGTTACAAAATTATTTCTGCATTCAGCTCAGTAAGCGAGAACTAGATGGAGCCAAGGAGGCAAAGGAAATTAGGAAGAAGAAGGAAGCGTCCAACACAACACTTCTGGAAATCCTGTGTTTAGAGAACAGAGGAGAGGTCCAGCCACAGCCCAGGAGCTGGAGGGGAGGCGACCTGCTGCAGACACCCGTGAGTACAGGGTCATCGCGTGACGTGTGTGACCCGACGGACACGTCTGCAGGCTGGGTGGCCAGAAAACAAAAGCAAAATGGACTGAAGCGGGGGGGGGGGGGGGCATCTGAATAAATCGGTGACCATAAATCATAGTGAAAAGAGTCTTTAACACAACTCTCGCAAACACCAGGAGCCGGGGCCAGGCGAGACGCTTCTGGAGGCACGCCGAGGCGCACAGGTGGGAAAACCAACCCCCACACGCACGCGGGGCAGGTGGCGTGCGTGCTCGCAGGGACGTCGACAGCTCAGCACTAGGCTCGGCCCTGCACCCCTTCTCGTTTCCAGAGCGACAACCGACAAAGAAAAGCCATGAAGCAAACGCCGGACTGCCACGGGGAGGGTGTCTAGGGCCCGCCGAGCACCTCCCGGGGGTCGGAGCACACAGCCCAGCTGCACCCCGCGCCCCAGCCTTACCTGGTGTCCCCGTGCAGCCTGCCCTGCAGGTCGCCTCGCGTGTAGTCCCAGGACAGGCCCACCGCGCCCAGGTAGTACCTCCGGGTGGCGCCCCGGGCACCGGGCAGGAGGCCCAGGAAGAGGCAGGCGCAGAGCGCCGCGTGCATGGCTGTCCCTGCAGGAAAAGGCGCAAAAGGAAAATATCTTCTAGAAAATATCTTCAGTTCCCAGGAGGAAACAGTCAGCATTCAGTGGTGTAGTGAAGAGCTCAGAGGTGGCCACACAGAGCTGGCAAGGTCACCCAGCTTCCTTTGGGGCAGTGGCAGGAAGGGGAGGCTGCACTGAAGCTTAACCCATTCATCTCTGCGAGCACTGGGCTTGGCCAGAGACCACTTGGTGGGCCCTCCAGGAAGGGCAGAGGGAGGGGTGGCCATGCGAGGGGCAGCCTGACGGTGCTGCCCACCGACTCCACGCCCTGCCCTGGGGAGCGGCCGCCACAGAGGTTGTCCAGGACGCTGGAGCCACCAGCAAGAGCTGCAGTAACCTCCGCCTCGCGGTCGCCCTGTTCCCCTGTGTGTTCGTGCCCCAACTGCTGGCCCCAATCTGTCCCTTCGTCTCCACTCAGCCTCGCCTTCTCCGGGTGCGTGGGTCAGTGCCAGGTACTCAGGGACACCCCCCCCCCAATAATACAGTTCTTTAAATTATTTTTTCAGGGCCTCCTTGGGGGCGCAGAGGTTACATCTCAGCTCCATCAAACTCTCGCCAGCCACTGCGGCCTGAGTTGGATCCCCAGCCAGGGAGCAGCCCACAGGGCGCTGCAGACCTCTCCGGTCTCCCTGCTGCTCCCCTCAGTAATAGATCTCAGTGGATCTGCCTGCTCTGCTCCCTACTCTGTCTCTCACCCCCCTGCACCTCTGGCCTACACCCCAGCTCTTGTATGCATAAAAAAGGTATTTTTTTCCAGTTTATGGAGGCACAGCAGATTTGCATCACTGTATCTGCTCCGGGAGCGACAGGCGCAAAGCTGCACAAACGGGCACTTGCACCCAAAGGCGCGCCCACCAGGAGAGGAAGGCACTGCACAGACGCAGGCGCGTGCAGGTCCCATTTTAAAAGAGCAGGTTTATTAGGAAAAGGGAAGGAGGAGACGCGGGCACAGCAGGTGGGCAGTATGCTGGTGGGGGGCCCTTCTGGAGAGGGGATCCACTCCTTTGTGGAACTGTTGTCTGTTCTGGCCTCAGGAGCCCTGGTCAGGGCCTTCCCTTTCCTATGTCTGCTTAACGACCATGCTCATCATCTGTATCCCCACCTCCACCCCAGATCTCCCACTCTCTCCCCTCGGCGCTGCGCCTTCTTTCCTGCTTCAGGCTGGTTGGCCGCCAGGGTGCGCATGCGTGCTCACATCCCCATGACCAGCAGCTCATTGCTCCTCCACTGGGGCTCCCTGGCTTCCAGAGTTTTCTGCAGAATTCTAGCTCCTCCACCGGTCATTTGGCGCCCGGCAGCTTCGTGTTTTCTTGCTGACATGTTCATGGTGTAATGAGTGCCCTTCCATGGCATCTCTCAAGCCGTTCACGTCTCCCTGCACTTGCGTCCATGTCTTTGCCTTCACTGTAGCGACGCTGATGGGGCACAAGGTCTTCCGTGCACTGCGGCCCAAGAGCTGTTTCCTCCTCGCGGCCGCAGGTTCCCTGAGGTCTCGAGTCGTCTGTCGTGTTTGCCACTTTGCTGTATTAGACCTTCTTCAGTTTCAAGGTGAGCCTAAGAGAGCAGGTTGTGGGGAGGCGGGTGCCATTCCTGCCATCCCACTCTCCCCAGCAGCACCCAGGAAGCCCTTCGGGGTCAGGCCCAGCTGTGGCAGTTCCCTAGAGTTTCTCACTCCCCGATCTGGCAGAAAGAAGCGTCACTAAGGCTGAAGGTGCACCCAGGCATGCGGGCAGGTCCAGGGGAGACTCCCCTTGGGGCCTAGTTCAAGGAGGCAGAGGCTCAAGATGGGGCCCTGAACGGATGTGACCACTTGTGTTTACGAAAGGGGCAGGAATTCACAGGTGCAGTGATGAGATCTGGTCAGTTTTGTTTATCACAACACCAGACCCCCGACGGGTTAGGGACATGGAGGTTTACAGTGGCGGTGTCCAGTGTGAGGTAAGGCCTAGGGGCTGAGTCGCTCTGCTCTGAAATGCAGTTGTTTTCCAGAAACACAGGACAGGGAAGTGGGGGCTGCAGCTAAGTGCCCCTTCACCTCACTTGGTGGCCCTGAACGAGCCCGCTGTGGCCTCCTGCGGCCACCCAATAAGTGCAGACTGAGGCCCCGTGGGGTCCACGCCGGGATGGCCGTGTCGCTCTCTCCACTGCCAGGCCCAGCCCCTGGCCACCTGCTGTCCCTTGTTGAGCTGCAGAACAGGCAGCGCCCTCATTGCCGAGGCAGCTGGGAGCGCCTGAGGGACTGTTGGGGCACCGTCCTGACTTACTGCTTCTGTGTCTCCTTCCTTTTCCCACGGTTTCTGGCCTGTCCTTGCTGAGACCCTTCATTCCAGACATGGCTGCCCCCCTCTGGGTGCTTACCCTGAGGGAGTGATGACTCAAGGGTTCCGTCTTTCTGCCACCTTCCCCTCCTCTGTCCTTATTTATTTTGCATGATTACCTGATGCTCTTTAGGTTGTTGTCATTTGGACAGGTATAGGGTATATCCGCCGACATCAGCTCAGAGGGCGTATTGGGGGTGAAGGCTTTCCCGGGGCCTCAAAGTGTGGAGTTAATCAGAAGAAGAAAACTGACTGGGTTTCTACAAGAAATGATAATACCAAGGGTTGAGGTTTGTAGGGTTAAAAGCTCAGTGTCTTCCCCACCTAGCAGACAAGGATGGGGGGTTTTAAACAGATGGGGCGGGGAGAGGGTTACCATGGGAACCGGCACCTCAGACCTCGGCCCTGACAGGAACCAAGGATTGTTACTGAAACAGGGCCAGAAAGGCCACCTGCAGCCGTGGAGGGATGCGGGGCTCTGGGCCTGCCCGTTCAGCAGATGTGCGGCCGAAATCGGATACATCGCGTACAAACTCAGAGTGCAAGAGTCAAGCTTTGCTTTCACTGGCCAAACACCTCGTCCCTGCCTCACCACAGTAATTCAACAAACCCGCCTTCTCTACTTTCCATACTGTGTCTGGCCCCAGTGTCCCTTCACGGCCCTGGATGTTCCCAACACGATACCCAGAGGCCACTTTTGCACCGATAAGAATGTGTTTGGGGACGATCAGTGATTGTTGTCCAGCTGGGCAACAAGCAAGAAGAAGCTGTTTTGGCAAAAAGTGGCTGAGACCTTCTCTGTCTGCCACCAGGATGCAGAGGCTGTAGCCGGCGTGGGCTCTATGCCAGCAACTATTCCGAGTAGTTTGCAAGGAAGCGCTGTTCTTACCTTCACTTTACGGGTGGCAAAGGGAACGTGGGGGCTTGGGCAGCCTGCAGTGCCACCTAGCACCTGAGCGCTTCTGAGCCCCGGCTTCACTTGCATGTCTTAGACATGAATAAAACCAGTTCCTGCCTTGTGGGAGTCAGCGTCCGTGGCAGTATTAGCGGGCAGACTAGGGGCACCCCGATAGCCCCAAACCTGTCTGCTCTAAATGGCTTCTGCCATCCACTGCATCACGGGATAAATGTGTAAGGCCTCAATATGAAAGAACTTTAATACCATCGGTGTTCAATAATTACGTGCAATAGAAAGAAGAGAAAGAATATGGTATCCAAATCAAGCAGCCAAAGCTGCCGACTTTGGGTGAACGCCCAGCCCAACAGGTTTGGCCCAAAGCCAGACTGCTGAGGCCTGAAAGCCTGCCGCATGTCTGAAGCACCTTCCAGTGAGGCTGGGAAGAAAGGAGCAAAATCAAACCCTAGTTCAGATAAAGGCTACCATGGTAAACCTCCCCACGTCTCTGGGTCTTCGAAATGTCTCCTTCCATGTCCCTCAAGTCCCTGGTGCAAGTCCAAGTCCGAGAGGCAAATGCAGCTTCTTCTTCACATGTCTTTGCTCTACGGGCCTACTTCAGGTCTTCTTCCTGTCTTCCTTGGCTCCCTTTCCAAGTCCTTTTTAGCTTTCCCTGGTCGCTGAGCTCCGCCCATCAGTATCTGGGACTGGGTACATGGCCGCTCCCCTTTTTAGAATACCCTGTTACAGGTGGACAACAGCAATGGCACCCCAGGCGCTTCACTCCGGTCATCGGTTGTGTTCCTGAATGAGATTGCACAGTGGACAGAGCTCTAGTGTGAGGCATGGAGCGGTGAAATGGTTATGAAAGGGCATAGCACAGGCACTGAGAGACAGAAGCAATGCTGTGACACCCCGGCAGTTTACCTAATGCAGAAGGTGAAGCAAATGCTGGGCTGAAAAAAGGAAGCAGGCCTGGGAAGGGAAGGGCGGCAGGGCTGCAGTGTTGCACGAGGGAGCCCATGGAAAGATTCTAAGCTAAGGTTCCATTTCAGCAAAGGAACTTGGGCTGTAAGCAGTGGACCAAGGGGGCCATGCTGGGGGGCTCAGTATAGAAGGGTGGGGATCTTGGTGTTAGAGCAATTTTTGCAGTCCCAAGTAGAGAACAGATGTTTGTTAGGGGGACAAAGATGGGAACAGCGTGACCTGTGAAGGGGGGTAAGTGCAACTTGGGCTAGGGTGGTGGCAATGGAGGGATAGGAAAGGCAGGGTTGACTCCTTTTGGGGGGCTGCTTAGGAATTTGATTTACAGCATTTGAGAGGAGTTGGGAGTGATGCCAAGATTTTTGGTAGTGAAGGTGCTTTTAAATGGGATGATGAGCGCCCAGTGACTGTTGGAGGCTTACGCGAACAGTGACGATGGGCCTGCCTTGGTTATCTTAGAAAACTAACCATTAAGCAGGTGTTCAGAAAGGAAGGGCCGCGTGGAGGTGGGCGCAGGCACGCTAGTGCGCCTGCGCGCCAGGGCGTTTTTTTTCCGCACAGGCGTACCTGGGCGCCAGGGCGGCTTTATGCGGACGCGCACTTTCGAGCCGGGCGGAGGGGTTGGGGGCGCTCTCTGCGCGTGCGCACTTCCGAGCACTGGCTATCTTCCGCGCACGCGCACCTCGCCCCCGCCGCTCGGCGCGTCTGCGGGGCGGGGCCTGGTGGCGGGCCTGGAGGCGGGTGACGCCTTTGTGAGCTTTGTGACGCGGCCGCGCGCGGGGGTGGGGAGGGAGCGGCGCGCGCCCGGCCCGCCCTCTTCCGCCGCCGCCGCCGGAATGGAAACATCTGCCCCACGTGCCGGAAGCCAGGGCGCGGCAACGACGCTGCGCCACTCGGCGTCCAGCTGCGCGGAGCCCCTGCGGGTGTCATCGCGAGACGAGCTCGCCGAGATGGCCGCGGCTAGTCAAGGTAAGAGCCGCCGGGCGCGCGCCGCCGCCGCCGCCGTCTCGCCGCCGTCTCGCCGCGGAGTCGGCTGCCTGAGCGCCGGCTGGGCCTCTGCGCGTCTCGGGCCTGGAGGGGCGTCCCCGGGAGCGGGCCGCGCGGGCCCCGGAGTGCTCGGGCCTCTTGGGGGCCGGCCAAGGTCAGCCGCTGCCTGGGCGCCCGCCGCGGCCGGGAACGAGCCAGGGGCGAGCGGCCAGAACGTTCCCTCGCCCTCCGGCCCGCGGGGGCGTCGTCACCGCCACGTCTCCCGGTCGGTTACCTTGGGACCGCTTCTCGGCCGGGCTCGGGGCGCCAGGACCGCCTGGTCCCTCCCCGCGCCCCCCCTGTCCCCCGCTGCCCTGGGTGAGGTCACGCCCTGGACGTCATTCGCTGACAGCTGCACCCTGGAAATTGTGTGCGCCGTCCCCCGCCCCCTGACTAGACGTGCTTCTTAGACGCCGCAGCACGGAGCGGGCGGAACGATTGCCCTCGGGCCCGCTGCCCCGGTCCCGGCCACGCAGGGGCAGGAGCCAGGACGTGCTGTGCGGCTTGTGGAGGCAGCTGCCGTGCTGTCGTCGTAGGTCGCCTGCACGCTTGGTCCTCCCGGTTACCTGCTGATGCCTGGAGACTCTTACCCAACTTCGCGGTGGCACTGGGGATCTCTCATTACACCCCCCTATTGACTGGCGTTCCTTGGGAAAACTATATCCAAACAAAAGTCAAGACTCATTCTTGCTTCCTCCAGGGGAGAGCTCCCCCTTGGGCTCTGCAGTGTTCTGCCCACAGCAGTAACACTTTGCCATAACTGTGTGCACCCAGGGTACCGGCCCTCCGTCTGCCTGGTTTGGATCCACATTTGCAGTCTTCGAATTCTCGAGTTATAGTTTCTGTATAGTGTCACGCAAAGATTGACATTCTCTTTGTTTTCTGCTTTGGGTTTCCTCTTCTGCCTGTTTCTGGTGATTACCAACACCTGGTAGCTCTCATGGACTCTGGGGAGGACTTTCCACTTGAATTACCTTCTACCAAGTTATTGCAAATCAAGTGGCCGTATGTTTGCATCTGCCCTGGACTCTTCCTGCCTCACAGCTCTTCTACTCTATATCACACACACCCTTGTGAGCCTTGACATCAACTACCCATGTTGCTCTGTGGCTTTACAAGATGTCGTGAAATCCTCCAACTTTTCTTCTTTCCCCCCAGCATTGTTTGGGCACTTTCGTGGCACCTCTCTTTCCTAGATGATCTCAGCATGACTTAGACACTCATGCTGCTTGCTGAGTTGCTCTGTCTTCCTCCTCTTGGATCTGGGTAGCAGTTGGTGACTGCCAGCAGGGTGCTGTGGCGGCAACTCTGTGTTGCTTCAGAAGCCAGGTCTTAGATGGCCCTGCAGCTGCCCTCCACCCCTCGTGCCCTCAAACACAGCCACCACACAGTGCCCCCCACACAGAGGACGCCTGCGTGTGGGAATGTTGTCATGACTCCCAACTCCACTTGCAAGTCTTCCCTTGAGGTGAGCGGTGAGGCGGTACATCCTGTTGCAGTCCTAGTCCGCCTCATCTGACCATGTTAGACGGCCATCTGGCTCCATGAAATTGTGGGGTGATTTGTCGGACAGCCATAATAACTGGGACACTACATATAAGTCCTTTGCAACTCTGAATTTGGGAACCAGTGTGGCATTTCTGGATAAAAATGTCCCCTTTCACTGGGCTTCCTTGGGCCTGTGTTGATATGCAGAGAACAAACTGCAAGGGCGCATCTTTCCCGACATCCCCGTCTCCACGTTCTGCTCCTGAGTTTCCTTTGTGTGCGGTGCAGAGACGCATCTTCGTCACACTTAGCCGGTGGCATGCTGCCATGAACGTGGCATCGTTTTCCCGTCTTCGTGTCTAATGCTTAGAAATTCAGCCGGTGCTGTACTGTTGCCCTGTATCCTGTGGCCTCGCTAATTCAGTTATTCCAGTAGTTTTTGGTAGATTACTTGGCATTGCTGTACACACCATCAGGCCAATCTGCTGCTAAGTAGTTTTATCATCTCCTTCCCGGTCTGCACTATGTCTCTGTTGCTCTGGCTGGCACCTGCAGTGTCCAGCAGGAGGCCGTGTTGACGTGTCTGCACCCGCTGAGCCCCAGCAGCAGCTGTTCCCTGGCCTCAGTGTGATGTCAGCGGTGTATTTTCATACATGCCCTTTACCAGACTGAAAAAGAGCCCTCTTCCTGTTTTCTAACGAACCCTCTGATCTCTTCCTTGACCTTCTGATGACTTAGAAGTATTTAATTTCTCCAGTAATTTCCATTTCACGTTGCAGTGTCTCGCCACAGTGAGTATTCGTGCGCGTGTGTCCCCACCTCGCGCGCTCCCGGTAAAGGGCGTTACCCAAAGTGTTTTCTTACTTTCATCAGCAACGTGTCTTCTCAGCCTGAAGACGCCTCTTTGAAAGGCCCTTCCGTCTCGTGCTCGTGCTCTTCCGCGACTCTTCGCGCAGCCTGAGAGTTTCCTTAACTTTGGTGTTTGTTCGCGGTAACATCTCCATCACTCTGGTTCTGCTCCTGTTTTCCTTACTTCTTGCTTTTTCCATTATAAGGCTTTTCCTCCTCGTGTGGGGAATTTAGACTGCCCCCTCGGCGCTGTGAGGAAGGACTGTGAAGGCCGTGTGCCAGAGGGACGGTCATTTAGGGCGAGACCGACAGGAAACGGCTGTGAGGGGCAGCTGCTGACACTTCGTATTTCTCTCAGTGCGGTTTGTTTCCAGAGAGGTGTCTTCCCACAGAGAAACTCTTTTTCCTTTGGGGCAAATCGTTCGACCGCTGAACCTCCGTTTCTTATGAGATGGGCTGTAATCGGCAGTGGCTTTACTGGGACGGACATTTGTATTGCTGGCTTAGCGCTCCTCTCGCTGTCGCTCCACGGGTGCCGGCACTTGCGGGCTGCTGGGCCGACGGGCCAGAGAGGAGAGGCCAGTGGGGCTGGCTCTTCCGTTCAGGGCGCCTTAAGAAGTATCTGCGAGCAGCTTTGCTCGGTCCTTGGCTGTTTTCACATCGGAGAGGGAAAGTGGAGTTCTCAGTCTAAGTTGTTAGGGCTGTTTCTCTCTAGCAGGTATTGATTTGAGCCTAATTTTCAGAAATTGCTAGTCAGAATTTCAGAGGTTATTTATGACTTAAAGTAGAGTGATTCGGAGGGTCTGAACACGACTATCTCTTAAAATCTCAGTCGGCCGAGGCCTACCGTGACGACTATTGCTGGAAGTAACACTTCTTGTTCGGTGTCTTCGTTCTTGTAGGAAATTTCGAGGCCCTGGACCTGGCCGAGCTCGCAAAGAAGCAGCCGTGGTGGCGCAAACTGTTTGGGCAGGAGTCGGGGCCCTCCGCCGAGAAGTACAGCGTGGCCACCCAGCTGCTAATCGGAGGCGTCACTGGTTGGTGAGTCACGTGGGGGGCGTCTGCGTGGTTCGTGCGTGATTTAGCGTGAGTGTTGCAGGAGCCACCTCCTTTAAGCAGCCAGCACGCCTGGCCTTCCGGGCGCTTGCCCCAGTGCCCACCCCGACACCCCGGGCGCGGCTTTGAGGGCCCATGCGGGCCTTGCTACCTGGCACTGGCCTCTTGAGATCGCCCTCATCTTACGCAAATTCGGCTCAGAAAGGCCCGCTGCCCGCCCGGGCGCGTGCGAGTGCTGGGAGGAGGCTGGCTGCTCCTTGGTTCCCTTGAAGTGGGGCACAGCTGAGGGCTTGCTGGTATGAAATTGGAAAAGTTGTAGTAGTGAACTTAGTTTGGGATATCTTGTCCATCCTGCTCACGAACACTGCTTGTTACATCCGAAAATTTCGCTTGTGTGGTGACACCCGAATACACGGGTGCCTGTAATGAGTGGCGTTCGGGCGAGCGCAGATACCATGGGACAGACGGGGTGCGAGGGTTTGCCCAGCTCCCCAGAAGCTCGGCGTGCCCAGTCCTCAGGGCCCAGGTGTCCTTGGCTGGGTCCCGGCTTTTCCTTCAGTGCAGTCACTGGGCCATCAGTGTGCCCCGAGCTGTTTCTGTGTTTGCTGTGTGGGACACCAATTGTGCCAACTCATCCTATTACAAAATCTCCCTGCCCTCCCCACGGGTGCCCGTGACTATTGTGGTCTTCGTGTTCCAAAGCAGCTTCTTTTTTTTTTTTTTTTTTTTTATATAGAGGCATGTTTTCTTTCTTTCTTTCTTTCTTTTGTTTGTTTTTGTTTATACAAGCACTGGGTACAGTCAGAAGCGCGGGAGGGTGAGAGAATTCACCAGAGCCAGAGCGGGGAGCAGAGCAGGCAGAAGGACCGAAGGACACTGCTGAGGGGAGCAGCGGGCGGCAGGAGAGGTCTGCGCGCCATGCGGGACCCTCCTCCGGTGGCCGGGAAGCAGCCGGGGATCAAACCGGCGCCGCAGAGGCTGCGGGCAGCTTCGCCACCCAGCGCTCAACCACTGCGCCACCGGGGAGGCCCCCAAAGCAGCTTCTTGACTGTTATTTTTTGTTTAATAAAAACTTGACATGGCATAAGCTGTGTATATTTAAAGGATACATTTGACAACTTTTACCATGTCCCACCCCCATAAACCACCACAACCGAGATAATAAATATATCCATCCCTCGAAAGGTTTCTTGCGTCCTCCTGAATGGAATTATACAGTTGTGTGTTTTCTTGTCTGGCTCCTCTCACTTAACACACCGATCGCACGGTTCATCTGTGCCGAGTCTGAATCTGTTCTTTTTAATTGCCGGCTCTTCCGTTTGTGGGGAGCCAGTGTATTCATTCCCCTTTACTGGCTATTGCCTGTTTCTGCTGTGGGGCCGAAGTTGCTGTGAACACGCGTGCACAAGCCTGGTGTGGAAACTTGCCTTCATTTCTTTGCGGTAAATCCCTGGAACTAGTGGGGTGGATCACATAGTAGGTGAGGGTCCTCACTTTTCCCCAAGTGCCTGTCCTGTTTCGCGCCTCACTGGCAGTGAGGGTCTGGGGTCTCCAGAGCCTTGCCGCACCTGGTCTGACGTCTTTGCCATCCTCGTGGGTGTGAGTGTTGTCTCATTGCGCTTGCTACGCTTCCCCGATGACTGCTGAGCTCGAGCCCCTTTCCCTGGGCTTACTCCTGCCATCCGATCTCTGCATGAGGCGTCTTTGATGTGTTCACTGGGCTGAGGGCTCTCTATTCTGGCACAATTCTTAGATTGGGACCTGCCAGTGTATTCTCTATTGTCACTTTTTATTGTCTTCTGAAGAGCGGGCGTTTTTAGCCTTGAGCTGTAGTTTATCCTCTCCTTCCTTCATAGGTCTGCCTTTTGGAATCCTGTCTGAGTATTTGTATACCCCAGGGTCACCGAGATTTCCTTCTAGATGATGTATAGGTTCGGGTTTTTTGGCCCACAATCCATTTTGCTTTCCTTCATGTACGTGCTGCATTCTGTTTTCTCACGTGGGTGGCTGTCTTGGAGACTGTCCTCTGCGCTGAGTGGCCTTGCCCCTGCGAGGAAGTCGCTTTTCTAGGTGTGTACTTCTGCAGTCTTCCACGGATCTGTTTGCCTCGGTGCCGTCGTCACACCTCTGTGATCGCTGTGCCTCTGTCAGCATGCGGCCAGGTAGCGGCAGCCTTCCGCCTTGGTTCTTTCTCAAAGTTTTGACAATTCTGGCTTCTTAGCGTTTTTGTATGAGTTTTAGACTCCGCTTGCTGCCAGTTTCTACACACATGCCTGGTGAGAGCCTTTTCCTTCTCCAAGAAATGCTTGGTGGGCCCAGTGCTGCTTGTATCGGCGCGGTCCCTCCACGCTCCATGTGTTTATGCTATTTGAAATGCCGTTACTTTTTAAATTTTAATTTCCTATTCATCACTTGCCTATAGAAAAGCGATTGATTTATTTTAAAGATTTATTTATGCATACAAGAGCTGGGGTACTGCCAGAGGTGCAGAGGGTGAGAGGATTCACCAGAGACAGAGCAGGGAGCAGAACAGGCAGACTGACTGAAATCCACTGCTGAGGGGAGCAGCGGGGAGACAGGAGAGGTCTGCTGTGCCATGTGGGTAGCTCCCTGGGCGGGGATCGAACTTGTGCTGCAGTGGCTGCGGACAGCTTTATGGGCTGTGTCTTAACCCTTTGTACCACCAGGGAGGCCCCAGCAATTGATTTTTGTGTGTCCCTGTTGACCTCCTCTGATGCAGTCCTGACAAAGTTGCCCCTATTAGTCCGTGGCGTTTGAGGGCGCCCAAGACCTTCAGGTTTGATCCTTCTCTGGGAGGGTACACAGAGCTCACAGGAGGTGGTGCAGCAAAAGGATAGAGACTCAGATGAGCCCAAGGAGGAGGCCTGCACCCCCGAGTCCAGGGCCGTGGCTTTGCTGCAGGCAGGAGCCCACGAGGCTCCCTTGCATGGGGGCCCTTGGACTCTTGGCGTGACACTTTGTCAGACGTGGTTCACGTTGACCGACTTAGTATTAATCTGAGTTTGGAGTAAATATACAGGTACAGCTGCACAAATAATGATATATACGTGTGTGGGGATGTGTAATTTTCGTCAAGGTGAAATTCGCGTGACATAAAACGAGACTTAAGCGGGCAGCTCAGAAGCCTTCATCGCATTCACAGATTTCTGTTTCTTGTGCTTTTCATGCGTGAGTCGAGATCCAGATTTCTATCTGGTATCTTTTTCCTCTGCCTGGAAGACTTCCCTCTAACTCCCCTCATGCTACTGGCCTGCTCGGAGGTGGGTGGGGGTGAGCAGAATTGTGAGGTGACCTGACCATTTTAGAGCAGGGGCGGCAGAGTTTTCCACGAGGAGCCAGATAGCAACTATTTCAGGCTTGGTAGCTACTCAGCTCTGCATCCGTAGCTGTTGCCAACAGGCCACAGGGGCCAGATGGAGGCCAGGAGGAGGCACAGGACTCTGGGGTCACGGCCTGAAGCCAGGGGAGGAGGAGCCGCTGGCACCTGGAGGGTAGGAAGAAGTGTCTCCAGAGAGGCGTCAAAGCCGTTGATAGGTCAAGATAGATGGAGGCTGAGCAGTGGACATTAGCATTTGGCAAGGTCAGGGTCACTGGTCACCTTGGTAAGAATAGTTTCCATGTTGGTTATCGTCCCCATAAAATTCCCACCCCCCTTGTTTTGATCCTACTCCCTTCTCCCCCCCATCCCCCTGCCCCCCCCCCCCGTAGTGTGTCTCTGGTTTATAGTTGCCTGTTGATTTTGATTTTTACTTTATTATAATTAGTCTTTTTCCTGATCCCTCATTTAGGTTTTCTAAATTCCTGCTATGAGTGAGACCATCTGGTACTTTGTTTTTTGTTTTTCTTTCTGGCTTCCTTCTTTCTTTTTTTAAAAAAAAGATTTATTTATCTATACAAGAACTGGGGTACAGTCAGAGGCACGGGAGGGTGAGAGGACTCACCAGAGACAGAGTGGGGAACAGAACAGGCAGACTGACGAAATGCACTGCTGAGGGGAGCAGCGGGGAGACAGGAGAGGTCTGTTGCGCCCTGTGGGTTTCTTCCTGTCTGGCTGGGAATTGAACCCGTGCTGCAGAGGCTGCAGACAGCTTCACAGCGTGGCCCTCAGCCCGCTGCGCCACCAGGGAGGCCCTCTTTCTGGCTTATTCCACTGAGCATGATCCCTTCCAGTGCCATCCATGTTGCTGCAAATGGCATGTGTTTATCTTTTTTGAATGCTGAGTAATATTCCATGGTGTATATGGACCCCATCTTCTTGATCCAGTCACCTATTTTTGGGCATTTGGGCTGTTTCCATAGCTGAGCTATTGTCAACAGTGCTGCTCTAAACATAGGGGTGCAGGTGCCCTTTGGAATTAACGTCCTTTGGGTAAATACCTAGGCGTGTGCCAAGGCTGAGGCTTGCCTAGAGTGGGTTGGGAGCACAGGCAGAGGGGACAGAGGTGTGAGTAGCCACCCTGCGAGTCGTGCTGTAAAGGGGAGCAGGGAGAAGAGGTTTTGCCACAGAGGTGGGTCTTGACGGCAGCGGACAGTGCAGAATCTCCGCCCCCCACACTCGGTGGGGGGAGAACCCGTCCGCCCAGGGGCCCGCGTGAGTGTCACTGTCCCCCTCCTCACCCTGCCTTTTTGTCTGTTCCTCCCTCGGGTTTTCCCAGCATAAAAAATGCCACCAGGGGCCTCCCCGGTGACGCAGTGGTTGAGCGCTGGGTTGCGAAGCTGCCCGCGGCCTCTGCGGCCCCGGTTCGATCCCCGGCTGCTCCCCGGCCACCGGAGGAGGGTCCCGCATGGCGCGCAGACCTCGCCTGCCGCCCGCTGCTCCCCTCAGCAGTGTACTTCGGTCCTTCTGCCTGCTCTGCTCCCCGCTCTGGCTCTGATGAATTCTCTCACCCTCCCGTGCTTCTGACTGTACCCAGTGCTTGTATAAATAAATAAATCTTTAAAAAAAAAAATGCTTTAAAAAAAAAAAAAAAAAAAAAAAAATGCCACCAGCCTGTCCCCCACACTCAGGCCCGTGTTCCCTGATTGGCTGCCCAGACAGCTCTGCCCTCCCCTGCCAACGCCCCTTACCTTGCTGCGCCACCTCTAGGGCGCAGCCTAGGTCTCCCTCCTCCCTCCAGCCTCCATGGTGGAGCCAGGCCGAGCAGCAGCGCCCAAGGGGGATTTCCAGAGTGCCGCTTCGCTGAGTCAGGGCTGGCTGCGCCCTGGAGAGGCCTGCCTGGGAGCCCGCCAGCCACCAACCTGCCTGCTCTTGCTTGCTCCCTTAGGTGCACGGGTTTCATATTCCAGAAGGTCGGAAAGTTGGCCGCAACTGCAGTGGGAGGCGGATTTTTTCTCCTTCAGGTCTGTATGGGAAGTGTTGGGAGACGTGTGGGGTCGGGGGAAGGGAGGCGGGCGCGGCGTGCCGAGCTGTGCATTGGGCTGACCCGGGGTGCAGGTCCCCCTGCTCTGCGTGCCCGTCTGGACTGCGTGCCCTGGTGGGGTTGTGGGTCTGCCCCCGTGGTCTGCTCCAGCCTGCATCTCCACAGACGCCGAGACCAGCTCTGTTGGCTGCTTGGCCGTCCTCCCTGCGGACAGACGCGTCTGCACTGTGGGAAGGGCCTCCCGGGTGCGCCTGGCTGCCGCCAACCTTCCTCTCCCCCCTGGAGGCTTCTTACTCCTTGTGCCATTTGGGCCAGTGGCAACTCCATGGCCAGCACCCTGCCCTTACAGTGCCCACTGCAGTTGGGGGAGCCTTGCTCTCCTGCCGCGTGTGCGCGCGTGATGGTCTCCACTTAGTCAGAGGGCTCGGCTTCCTGCCCAGAGTCCAGGCTGACGGCCGGGGGCCAGGGTGGCGCGTGGTCTGTGCTCCCCTCCAGCTGCTGCGTGCCCCTGGCCTGTGCAGCGCAGGAGGCGGTGCCTTCGCGCTTGGGTTCTGCTCGGAGCGCTTGGTTCCGCTGCCTCCCTGTTATGTGAATGTGCCTCACTTTGTGTCTGTGTGTGTGTGCGTGGCTAACGGGTCGTTTCCGGGTGCCAGCTCCCAGCTAACCATTGCCCTGCGTGAACGTGTGCGTGCTCCGTGCCCACACGCCCCTGCCACCGCCGGGTGCTTTTGATCTTTCACTTGTCTCGACGCTGATAAAAAGTACAGCAGCTTGTTCCTCGCCCCCTTCCTTGTGCCGTTGGACCTGCGGCTCTCGTCCCTTTCCTCGTTCAGCGTCTTCCCCCCCTTTTTCTTGGGGCCCGCCCCGCCGCAGGCTTCCTTGTACGTCGCCCCGGGGGCCAGCGCCATCGCCTTGTGCTCGTGGTTCCTCGGCGCCATTTCTCTGCCCTGGCGGGACAGGTCACGCGTAGAGTGGCTCTTGGACTTCGCCGTGACCGCCCAGGGTCCTGTGGCTCCCCAAGTACCCATGACTGCAAGAGCCTTTACCTTCCCCCCCAGAAGGCTGCGGTTCGCGCACTTTCATGCGTGTCTCGTGGACCGCAGTCCTTGCCCGGCTGTTTGGGTGAGGGAGCAGGTGGGGGTGACGCGAACTGCGACAGAGAATCTAGGACGGGCAGGGCGAGCTTCGCTTTTAGCTGTTTGAGCTGCGTGTGGTAGAGACGGCTTGCCAGACCCTGCCGCGCTCCGGGCCGGTGGACTGGTGGCGCGCTCCTCGGCTGTGGCTGGCGCCGGTTCACAGAGGCGTCCGGGTCAGCCTTCTCCTGCTCGCGCGTTCTCTCCGGCTTTGTCTTTCCCTGGGGAAGGCGGTCCAGCGTGAGAGTCTATTGGACGTGCCCCTCCAGGGCCTGTCAGGGAAGAGCTGCGGCTTCAGGAAGCTCAGGCCTTCTTGTCACCTCATGTTCGACCGCCAGTGCGGATGTCCCTTGGGGCTGGCTTTGAAACCGGGACTTGGTGGAGATGGTGCGCCAATTTCCAGCACCAGGCCTGGGGCCTTCCCTGGAGGGCGGTTCTGAGTGGTCGTTGCTGTCGTTGTCCTATGAAGAACTGGAAGGGAAAGTCAGGGCATTTGGTGCCGCACCTCAGTCCCTCACGCAGCAGGAAGGCAGGCAGGCCTGCATTCCTTACCCAACTTCTTGTTGAACTCTAGCTCGCAAACCATACTGGCTACATCAAAGTTGACTGGCAGCGAGTGGAGAAGGACATGAAGAAAGCCAAGGAACAGCTGCAGATCCGCAAGAGCAACCAGCTCCCCACAGAGGTCAAGAGCAAAGCGGAGGAGGTGAGACCAGCTGCTCCCGCACAGGTAGCCGCTGCGTGTTGCAGCTGCTAGCGCCACTTGGCCTCACGGCACTGGTTGGATCCTGTAATCCCCCTGGGCGACCTTCCTCGGGGCTGCGCGTGCAGGGGTGCACGGCTGTGGGTGCACCAGTGTAGTTGCATTCTCGTCGGAGCTGGGGCAGCACAGGGCTGGGGCGAGGGTGGCACTGCTCCGCCCGCGCAGTCATTTTCAGTCCTACCTGCGTCACATGCACTGTTTTCTTCCCACCGCCCCAGGCTCTGTGAGTCTGGAGGGCCTAAGCCTGCACCCCATGTTGTTCAAGGGTCCATGGCACAGGTGACTGGGCAGGTGAGGGGTTGGGCCTGAAGACTGCATAGCTAGCAGAGAGATCCCGACGTTAACGTCCTTAGCACAATAACCCATCGCGCTGTCTTCTGTTTCTAGGTGGTGACATTTGTGAAGAAGAATGTTCTGGTGACTGGTGGATTTTTCGGAGGCTTCCTGCTTGGCATGGCATCCTAAAGAGGGCGACGCTGCTTCCGTTACTGCTGTGTTCCTCCAGCCAGCAGCCTCTTCACTCCACTGTAGGACATGAAGCCCGTCCTCCTCCTCCTCCTCCTCCTCTCCCCTGCCGTGGTGTAGCCGAGTGGCTTCTGCAGGCATCCGTAGGCGCAGGTTACCCGAGAGCTTGACGGCGACAGAAGAGACAGTAGTCTTAAGCTCTGCTCCCGGCCACTCCCCGGCACACTCCCCAGCTGACTAACCTGTATGTCAGCAAGAAGGTTCCCTCCCCCCGCCCCCCGATGTAACGCACTGCCCAGAACATGCTGGAAGATGGTCAGCAGGGGGAGGGGTGAATGGATCCTCAAAGTTGTCCCGAACTGGTGATTTGGGAAAGAAGTGAGAGCACCTGGCAGCCTTGTGTGTGCGTGTGGGGGAGCGGAATACACTTGTCTTGAAGCACAAACGCTGTTGCTGTGGTGTCCGCTTTGTCTTAGCCGGTTCCAGGCCGCGGGAAGAGGAGCACGGGGCCGCAGCAACTAGCTCTGAGTGGAGGCACGAGGGCCTCATGCCCGCCGTGCTGAAGGGTTGTCCTCAGCCGGGGAGGCATGCAGCCTGGCCGCACGAGATGCGACCTGGGGTTCACTGATCATAGAGAAGGTTTTAAGCTTTGAAATGTGAAGCGTCCTCACCTCTTGTCCAAACACCAGGGCAGCCGCGGCCCCCGAGTGCCGATGCTACTTCTCTGTTCAGTCAGTAGCAGCCGAACACTTGAGGCCACACTGCAGGCACGGGGGTGGCACCAGTGGCCCTCGGGAAACAACTCTGCCCCTCAGCAAATGTCACTCGCTGCCTCCTGAGGGCCCCAGCTCTTGGAATTCCTCTTTGAAAGTTTATAGACAACACTCACGCTCTTGGCACGTTTTGCTGCAGTGGCCTGTTGCCATCTAGAATACCTGGTTGCAGTCCATCCGCAGAGCTGAGCTCTTAAATGGGACTCAGTGTCTTGAATATGTGAGAATGGTCTCATAGAGGGTGTCTGGAGAAGGGACCGTGACAGCTATTCAAGACTCGACTTCTGAGCACACGTGTGCAGTGCACAGTGCCCTGCGAAGTGTGTGTTTTTAAGACCTGCCTTTAAAACGTGTTTTTTAACATCTCTGGGGATGCCATATTGAGTTTAGAATTGTAGAGTCTATGGAATTCATCCATTTGTGTTTTTCTCCTGCAATCACGATATGACATTCTGCTGCCTATTTTTATTCAGACTAAAATTGTGTCACCATTGCACCTTGTTTATCAATTTCGAAACATATACCCGTTGTGCTGTTTCGTCGTGTTCCATACGTCTCAAAGGTCAGCGCTCTTCCTGGAAAGACAGTTACACAGCAAACCACATCATGCACCTGCTGAGTGTGCAGAGCCCCTCTGCTTTGTTTGAACATGTGTCCACGTAGGCCCCCATCACCGGGTGCATTTGCCCCTCCCGTGCGTCTCTGCTCGGGCCAACCCTCTGTTCCAGTCTCCCCTCCTTGGCCTTGGGACGCCTCAGCTGGGTGGTCGTGTGGGTCTGGGCAGTTACTGTCTCAGAGGCTGACGGAGGACCACGTGGGATCAGTGTTCTAGAAGGAATCACTGACACAGCTGTCCTCCTCCTTCATTATGGATGCACTGTGAGCGTGCGCACTCGGAGAACTGGGCGGAAATCTTTGGATGTAATTTCCATAAATCATGTGGTGGCGCTTATGGCCGTGATGTATGACGCTTAAACAGCCCTGAACGTTAGAGCAGTGTTTCTGTAAAGAAAACCGACAGTGTTTTTTTCCTTTTGACAAAAAGTGCACTTTTGTCGAACTGTAAAGTCAGCTTGTCGATGCGGCAAATCTTCCCTTTCTGGACTTGAACTGGTAAAAAGTGCCATCAAGGTGACTGACAGCTCACGTGGGGGACCTCTGCGCTGGACGCTGGTGTCCACGAAGTCGCAGGGCTAATGAGCGGGCCTTGCTGCCTCTGCTGCAGACACCGCAGCATCAGGCACCTCCAGAGGCTGCTTGAGAGGGTGAGCAGGGGCGGGGGGAGCAGGGCCGGGTACAGGGTCTGGCAGCCGTGCTGAAGCCCTGGGGTGAAGGTGGTGCGGCCCGGGCCATTTAGAGGGTGAGATAGGGGCCCCAGGGCCGAGGGGCAGTCCCACCGCAGCCCTGAGCCCAGAAGACGCTTGTGTGTGTGAAGCGGCTCTGGCAGCCACTTCGTTTCCGTCAAAGCAGCCAAGGAGAAAGATGTGAGCAGCGACTCCTAAGGGCTCGGCGAACCTCTGCGGTCGGACTGAGCAGACCGGAAGGAGCAGGGCGATCGCTTTCAAGCCTCGAGCTGCTGGGAGCCCGGGAGGCCGCGGTCCCGAGCGCCGGCCCCAGCCCTGCTGTCAGTTGCTAAGTGTAGTTTAGATTTGTATGTGATGTGGACACAGTGTAAATGCTTTATTAAACTGCCTTCCTGTTCACACAAGACTTGGCTTAAATGATTTCCTGCAGTTTTAGCACGTTTGTGGAGGGTCGCTGTCGGTGCGTCCTCGTACAGTGGCCCCCAGGATCAGACCGGCACTGGCATGTGAAATGTCCTGAGTGGAGTACCCACACTCCTGAACACAGTAACCGTCCCCCCCCCGTCCCCCCCCCGCCAGCAGTTCCTAGACACCCAGGACCGTGCTTTGGAAAACGGTCTCAAGTGTGAGTGTGCGCGTATAGCAGCACAGGCGGCCTCTAGCGGGACGGACAAAGGGTCCCCATGTTAAGCACCAAATATTGGTGTTGCCCCCAAATTCCCATTTTCACGTCCTAACCCACAAGGTGACAGTGTCAGAGTTGATTGGCTCGTGTGCGTGGACTGGTGCCCTTTCCACAGAGACCCTGAGGCTCCCTCCCAGCATGTGCTGACCTGAAGCTGACCCTCGAAGCAGGAAGGGCTCTGTGCCCAGACATGAATCTACCTTGGCCTTGGCCTTGCAGCCTCCAGAACAGGGCAATACAAATGTCGTATGTTGTCACAGCAGCCCAAGGGCCTAGGCAACCTGTCGGAACATACGCTCTTGCTTCAGAAGTCATCTTTTGTGGGGGTGGAGGCATGCTCAGTGGTGGTTCTAGAACCTGAGGAAAGCACGCTGCAGCCTTGTGTCAACATGTGGTGAGTTTCACTTTAAGGATGTTTCGAGCTAGCAGGCCCAGCAGGGAGCTCTTAGTCAGCCTACCATTTCCTGATCACGTCATCTGCCCGATAGGCCCTCCCAGCCCCCAAAGAAAGTGACCTCAATAGTGAAGTGATCAGTCACCTCAACTGGAAGGATCGACCTCCCCGAAGACGTTCGGGACAACGCTCCCCAGACCGGCACGCAGCTTGTTTTGAATTGAGACTGCTGACAAAGCAGTGGCCGTCCCCACCTACTCGAAGAACAGCTGGGTTCTGAGCCCATGTAGGGTTTCACCAGAAACAAGCACCCGAGAACCCTGTCTGCGCGGCAGACACATGATTACACACTGCCTGGTTTTCATCAGGCCGGCCCGCCCTCTGCTCCCACTGGGGCCTCCAAGCCCCTGCCCCTGTGCTGCCCTGCCATCCACGTGGGCCCTGCACACACTTGTGAAGTGCGTCCCTGACGTGATGTGGCGGCATCCCGTGCCCAGAGGGTGGGGCGATGCCCTCTGCACGCCTGCGCCACCTTTCTGTTCAGAGCACCCTTCTGCTTTGCATGTTCCTACTCGCTTGACGGACCCTGCCCGGTCCATAAATTGTTTATTACAAAAACCAATTTGATCTTTGTGTGCGCACAGCTGAAATTGCTTCTAAGAGTCGATCAGCCACCGGGACGCCAGTTCTGTGGCTGCCTGCCTTGCAGCGCCTTTGGGTGAGGCCAAACTGGAAAGACCTGTCCTGAGTGTTGCCAGTGCCCCGTTCTGCAGCTGGCTCCGTGGGAGCTTCGCGTTCCCTTAGCGCTGCTGCGAGCAGTGTCCATCGAGGCCACGTGAGTGTCCGAAGCGCGTGCCCGCGGGCCTGTCCCCGAGTGTTCTCCCGAACACGGTGCGGCGCTTCCTTGATGCCGAGAGGCGGAGGGGCCATGGGGAGATCTGCGTGCAGGGGTGTCTGTCCCCGTGGGACTGGGGGCCCTCCCCAGGCCATATGTCCTGGCTCCCCAAACTGGAAACTGTCCAGACCCCGTCCTTTCCCATTTTTAGGGGGCTTCCTCTCCCAGGCACAGCTGATGAAATCAGTGGCAGCTGAGCTCCTGCCCTAGGCCCTGCTGGGGGCTGGCCCGGCCTAGGGCTTCCCCTTTCCCGGCCCCTGGTGTGCTGAAAGCCCTTGTTACCGTCACGCCACACTGGCTTGCTCCCAGGGTGGAGACAAGTATGAACCGAAGTCTTTTGCTTAACAGGTTTATTTTAGCAGCTCAGTTTTATTACATTCCACACATTTGTTCTGCTCATGTTTCCATCTGCCCTGCGTGGATGGCAGAGCCATTAACTCTTAGAGCTGACCCGTGTGTCTGGTGTTGGCCGCTGCCTGGCAGAGTCGGAGAGAAGCAGAACCAGCCTGGAGGCCTCGGGGCGGTTGTGACTTCTCGAAGAACTTCGCTTCGCAGTGGCTTCGGTGCCAGCTTTTCTTCCTCTTCTCTTTCAAACCCTGAGCAGACCAGCGATCTGCCCCTGGGAAGGCGGGCACAGCACTGGCGCAGCTCCTGGAGGACAGCCTGGCACCTGGCCTCCGCGTAGCTGTTGGCTGAAAGACAAGGCCAAGCTCAGTCATGGGCTCTGGGGGCCAGCGGCCCTGCACACCTCGCCTAGGGGCGTGGGAGAAGGGTGTACCCACGTGCGCCGCCTTGTCCTGACTGGAGCACTCAGGAGGCTTGTCAGGAAGAAGCATGATTTACAAAGTGGCCAAAGGTGTTTACACTTACTCTCCTTTCGCCCGGGGTGCTGGCTCGGAACCCTCTTTTTTTCTTTCCTTTTTGGTTACTGGGCCTTTGCTAATTTGGCGAGTCAGGAATGCTTGCACAGTGCCCCCCTCCCTCCCCAGTGAGACCTTCAGGGCTTGCTTACTGCAACCCTTTTTCACAGCTGTGGGCTAAGAAGGCCTTTTGCACTTTGAGAGGATTGTGGACACGTACGGAGAAGGCCCACTGGACCCCAGGCGCGAGTCCTGCCTGGCCCTCTGCATCGACCCCAGGACCCGACCCCAGGAGTGCCAGCGCTGCGCGGGGGTTGGCTCGGGACAGGAGAGAACTGGCCCCGCAGCGCAGCAGCTGCAGACCTCCATGCCCGTGCCCCGCACACGAAATGGGCTCAGAGGCGAAGAAAGAATCAAATCGCTTCGTCTGTGTACAGCCCTGAGGGCCGTGCCGGTTCTCCCGCCACTGGCCTCCTCCCTGTCTCCCCTTCAAACCATGGGGGATTTACTGGGGAAGAGAAATCATAAAAAAAACTTTCTTCCCTTTTCTTAAAGTTGTAGGAAGGCAAGGAGAGGGCAGATGAAACGGCCGCTGCGCAGCAACAGGTGAGAACAGGTCAACAAACAAGGGGTTTTGGCGCTCGGAAGAACGAGAAGAAGGGGCCAGTTTTAAAATTCACATAGCTCGGTGTCCTGCCAATAACCATTCGCTGGTCAGTAAAACTCATTGGCTGCTTTTTTTTTTTTTTAAAAACTTTCGACCCCCCATCTCCCCACCCCGCCCCTTCAAATGCGATTGCTTTAAAAAAAGCAAGTTGTCAGCCGCAGTGAAGTACGACCTATTTGTCACTGGTCTTTTTTGAAAACAGGACTCTGCTCAGCTTCAGATCACACCTCTGGCTGCATCCCGGGCCTCCCAGCCCAGGGCCCTGCCACTGTGCAGGCGAGGGCTGAAGCCCTCCAGGCAAGCCTGGCCTAGCCAGGCCTTGAGCCAGATGGCGATCACCTCACTTTTTATTTTCGGCAGCTTTGATGACACAGTTACAGAGACATTACATTCTGAGAGGAGTCAATATTCTCTGCTGAGAACATGAATGTTTGGTCTCTTTTAGTGAGTTCACAGTGTAGAAGTGGAGCCTAATACAACCTTGTAAACATTTCTGTATTGCACAGGCTTGCTTCTGGCACGGATCCTTCTGTGGCATTTCCAGAGAGCTAAAATGAAAAAAAAAAAGAGATTTTTATTTTGTGTTTATCAAGATTTTAAAGCCCTTCTAGATGGAATTTTCTTTGGAGACAAGCAGTTACAGTTGCTGGAAAACGATTACACTAAAAATACTCTTCCCACTCAGGATAAACCGACTGTATTTTTACAACATCCATCTCATTCAGTTTGGGAGATAAAAATAACTTGACATGGACCAAAAAACCCTTCGATTCGATCGTCTTGAATATTGCAAGCCAGCCCTGGAGCCCAAGCCGCAGCCCTGCGGCAGCCCCCCACCCCTCAGCCTTCATAGAACCCCGCAGGGTAAGTGGTTCAGCTCCTTGAGCCTTTTTCCTTAGGACTCCTGTGTAAAGGGGGCTCACACCTGACAGCCCTGGGGAGGGCGAATGGGTAAAGGGCAGAAGGTGCCCGAGGCAGGAACGACTGGCCACACCGCAGCTGTTGTACCCAAGGTGTTTTCAAAAGGAAAAGCTCTCTTTTAATGTATTCAAACCATCACGAGTACTGGACTGAGAACATTCCCCATCAGCGAGCGAACGCTTTCCTAGGAATCAGCAGTGTGTGGCGCTAGTCAGGCCCTGAGGAAGGTGCTGGCGAACTGCGGAGCTCTCACAGAAACCAACTTATTTAAAACCTCTGTAGCCAGAGAAGGGATTTCAGTGCCCGTGATTTTGAGCAGCGACTTCTGAACATTCGAAGACACACTTTCAGAAAGGAAAAGGGCCCAGGAGCCTTCGCAGCTAGTTTCATCAGTGCAATCAGCTTCCTACCCCCACCCCGGCCCCCTGAGTGAGGTCAGTGCTGGGATGGGAACGGTGGAGCCAAACCTAGATATTTACAGGCTGGGAGAAGGAAAGGCAGGTGAGTTGCAGGGCAAGGAAGCGACAGGTAGCGCTGCCGCCTAGGAGCCGCGCTCTTCTCGAGGGCAGTACCCAGTCCATGGCGAGCGGGGCAGCTGTTCTGTAGCAGGTGCTGACTCTCTGGGACTCATCGGGCCCCAGGTCCAGCTGATGGCGTCCATGGAAGGTTCGGTGGCGAGCTCCAAAGGAGTCAATTTCAAGTTACATGTCCTGACTACGTGCTTTTGTGGACTGGCTCTCTGTCTGCGCCCCCTCTCTGCAGTTCCACCTGCGGGCTTCTTCACGACCCTTCCTAAACTTGCGTCCGTGAGCAGCTGTTCAACCCATTCCCGCCCCAGGGCCCACCGGTGGGTGGACCGCAGTGGGGGGCGAGGCGATGGACAAGTACTGAAAGGGGCGGAGGCGCGCATCGTCCTGGGGCCGCGCACCTGCAGAAGAGAGAGACGGTCACCGCCGGCACAACGGGGCAACGTGGACAGGGTGGGGTGAGGGGAGCTGAGTACGTACCAGGTTAATCGTGGGGCAAAAGCTTAAGCAACAGCTCCTGTACCCCCCTGACCTGTCAGGAAAAGCACAGTTTAGAGGGCACGCTGCCGAGAGTCCCCCGCAGTAGAAAGCGCCCCAGCCGCCCGCGTACCATTGTGTGGTGCTGGATCTGCCACAGGCGAGAGCTGTTGTCCATGTAGCGCCCCTCAGGGTAGAGCTGCCACATGAGAGGCAGCTGGGACGTGAGGAGGTGACTTGGCCTGGCCGCGTCACCTAAGGGCACCTGCACCTGCTTCACTCGTGCCCTGAGGCAATTCGTGTCCTGGTGGGAAGAAGTGATGGAAAACAAGAGCACAGACTTCAGAATTCGGGGCTGGCCGGAAGGAAGTGGTTTGAAAGCAAAATGAGTAAGTAGGTAGACAGCAGTTACCTCCTCCAGGACAGCCACCCACGTGCGCTGGTATTCGTCGCGGTAGATGCCCTCTTGGTGAACCCAGAGGCGATCGGGTGGAGCCCCCACATCCTCTCCTGCCATTCTGGGCTTTGGGTTCCAATTCTAGCCCTGCTTTTCTGCACCTAAGCCTGCAGCGCCCGCGCACAGGACACAGGTGTGACTTGGGTTTGAAAGGACTCGCCAGTGGGCACGGTGACCCGGCCTGGCGAGCACCCAGCACCACCAGAGCTGCCGGGAGCTCCTGCCTAAGAGCCCGGGCATCCGTGCCGTGGCTGCCCGCCAGCATCGCCAGCCCAGAGCAGCTCGGCCCACGGTCCTGTGAGCCCACTTCTGTGGCGGGACACATGCTGTGTCCCCCAGGTCGAAGCCAGCCCCGGCAGTCCCCACGCTCAGAGACCGGGGAGGCAGGGGTTTCTAAATTGATCAAAAGTTTGCTTTAGGGTAAACGGCCCAGGTGCCAGTGTGCTTAGGCCCGGCACAGTGGCTGCGCATCTCCACGGGGGAGCTCGTGGAGGGAGGCTGAGAGCTGCCGGGAGGTGTCGAGCCTTGCGAGGCCTCTGGGACCGTGCTGGTTGAGAGATGAGTGAGAACAAATGAGAGCTATTCATCCACGTCCTGGCTTTATTTCGAGCCACACTTGGCAGGAAGGGTCTTCGGCCGCAGTGCCGCGGCACCGCTCCCCGCATTGCTGCGGCTGGCAGAGCACAGGGAGGCATGGGGGGGGGGAGGCCCTGCCCCTGCCACACAGACCTGCTCCCACGAGCTGTTAGGGCACGCGGCTGCAGCCCAGCACAGGCGGCTGCCCCACCCCAAAGCCAGAGCAGAGACCGGGCCGAACAACGCGAGCTGGGGGCAGCTGCGAGGAGGAACGCGCCAAGCCAGGCCTCGCGCGCAGGCCGACTGCCTGCGTTGGGTTTGTTTGTGCTCCGGGCCGTGTTGCTCACCTTCCCTGGAGGGAAAGTGAACCTGCCCAGAGCGGGGACACAGTCTCACCTCAGGGAGCCACCACGGCCTTTCTGCCACCGTAGTGAGGGGGTCTGTGAGCCCTCGCCTGTGCGTGCTCCCATGTCACAGGCCGGAAAGCGAAGGCCCTTCTCCGGAACCACCACTGCCTCTCCCGATCCCAAGCCCCACCTCAGGTTTCTTCCTGGTCTTCAGTGACTACCTCCCAGCGGTCACGGTGCAGTGAACACCACCGAATGGACACACACGTCCCCCAAACAGCGGGCTCCTCCTAGGTCCCGCCTGTGTGCCCCATGGAACAGGGTGCAGGTATCTGCCTCCCCCATGCACAGCTCTTGCCAGTTATGGCAATCGCAGCCTTTGTGTCAAAACAACTCACAGCCTGGCCTCTGACGACCTTCCCGCTCTGCTCTCTGTGCAGTCAGCGGCAGGCCTGGTCATCAGCGCTGTGAGCAGCGACAGAAGCGGGGGCTTCCTGGGGGGAGGGGGCACGTGCTTGGCGTGTCACACAGACTGCTTTGTCAAAGCCAGTTCTCTCGCCTGGAATTACTCTGCGTCTCCTGCCAGGGCCTGAGGGGGGAGCGGCGTGAGCGGGGAGCCAGGGCGTCTGCTAGCATTGAAGTCTGGCTACGGGAACAGATGAAAAACCTGCGTCCAGCATCTATTTTAAAAAGTGCCCAAGGGTTAACGGCTCAGGATCAGCTCAGAGACCCCGGGGCCTGCAGCAGCATGGGACGCGTGCGATTCAGGGCAAAGCGAACTTTTACTGGCTGCACTGACGTCAAAGGGAGATCATTCCAGTGGACACAAGGGCACAAACGCCGGAGCCCACGGCTGGGCTACTCTGAATCACTACAAAGAGGCTGATGAATCACTACTGAACGTTCTCAGAAGAAAGGCGGCCTGATGGGTGGCTGTCAGCGGGTGGGGGCCTGCAGCCCACAGCCAGAGCCGCAGATGGAGCGGCAGGGACGAGCCCAGCATCACAGGCACTGGCAGTGGCTCCCTGCCTCCCTCATTCCCCTGGCCACACGGGCCTGGGCCCAGCAGTCACGGGCTCGCAGCATGGCGAATACCGAGCAGAGAGCATTTTCCTCACAGGCCGTCTGTTCAGAAAACGGCGGGCCCCTAACTGACGTGAGTTTCTTAAAAGTTCTAGTGCAAGTTCGGTTCCGGGGGCAGGACAACGCATAGACACCCAAGTGTCCCGCTGCATGGATGCGTCCGGCTACACATTCAAATGGATTGAAGCCAGCGTGTCCATACACTATGGTCCACGAAGGCTGTTTCTCAGGCATTTGTAAATTACGTGCTCAGTGGCCAACACCCAACACACAAGGGCTTCCTTCCTTAGGTAGCAAAACCACCTTTTTTCCTTCACAGAATGAGCTGTTTGGTGTCTTTTAGAAAAGACTAATTTGCTTTCCCCCCAGGTGTTTGAATACTTTGTAAGCATTAATCCATTAAATACACACATTTTATTTGAAGTCGATGGAGTCATCCAGTGACAGTGAAGGAAACTACCAGAACTGGGCCCGCCTCAGGCACCTGGCTGTGGATCCTGAGTCGGCCCCACTGGCTGTGAGCACAGCTCAGCTGCAGGGGTGTCAGGACAAGTAACTTATTTACCACTTCCTGAGTGCTCCACGTGTAATCGTTACAGCACCTGATTGGGGGGATGCTCTAGCACCCCAAGTTAAGGGGCAGGGAAGACACAGACAAGTCAGGTAGCTTGCAGATCACACAGCTTGGAAGCTGCAGAAATGGTAACTTGAGTGCGTCACACGACACCCTTGTCACAGGTGTGGAATGTTAGGGCTGCGCCCTGTGGCTGCAAGTATGACAGGGCCAGTGAAAGTGCCCTGGGGTGTGAGACAGTGGCCAGCTGCGAGCAGAGAGGCCTTGCCTGCTGCGAAGATCGCAGAGCCCTCAGCAAGCCCCAGGGAGAGCAGAGGCCAGTTGCCCCACCAGGAGGGCAAGGAAGGCCGCAGGCTGCAAAGCTGAACCTTAAGAGAAAACTGACATGACCCCAGGGCTTTGTGAGGGAAGTTTCAGCCCGGCCTCCCCATTAGAGATAGTCATGGTGGGGTGCTGGGGCCCGGGACCCTCCGCGCCTTGGGTGAATTCTGCACGCACATCACCGTGGGAGACTCGCGCTGGGCTGCGTTGGGAGAAAAGAGCAAAGCCCCGCATCCGCATGTCTTGCCCAGCAGTGCCATGTCCGCTGGCCGTGGGCAGAGGCCGCCACACACCCACACAGCAGGCTGCGCACGCGGGAAGGTGGCCGTCGGGTCCAGACTCGTTCTTGTGGCCACGTGAAGTGCTCCCCAGGGAGGAGGGGGGAGTCTGTACTTCTACCCGAGGCACTGCTGCTGCGTACAACCCCGCCCCGTGTGACAGGGTCAAGAGCAGGTGCGCCGGGCAGTGTGCGTCCTGGGCGCCCGCCGACCTTGAATCCAAGCTTAGTCCCCTGCCCCTTCCCTGCATCCAAGGACCAGACATCTAGAAGGCTCGGCAGAAGGAGCAGCCGCCAAGCTAAAGAGTGAGACTTTCAGCTACAGAACAACAGTGCATCTGCCAGAGGTTACTCACATGAATGTAATGTTTCTTGGGCTAATTAATCCGCCTCGGGAAGAGCGAGGCTCAAACTTCCAGACGCCCCACCCGGGCCACTGCAGCCGGGATCAGGATCGGGGTCGGGTCGGGGTCTGGGTCTGCACGGCAGCCGGGCGAGCCGGTGGGGGGGGCCTCCGGCCCAGGTCGCCCGCCCCCGAGTTACGAGGCCGGCGGAAGAGGTCCGGGCAGTTGGACAGAGTCGGGGGCCGCCTCCTGCTCCTCAACCCCCGGGAAGTGAGACCTGAACCGTGCTAGGGCCCAATTTCCAAAGCACGTCCCGCGATCGCAGGCCGCTTCCCAGGGCCGTGCCGGGCGTGTAGGCCGCGCGCGCAGCTGCTCTGCGGCGGGGCAAAATGGGCGCCCGCGCTCTGGAGGCGCCGACGCCGGCCCCGCCGCCCCGGCGACGCTCACGGAGCACGTCCGTCCGCACCCCACGCCCCGCCCCGCCCCGCCCGCGCGCCGGCCGGCCCCAGGCGCCGCCCCGCCCCGCCCCCGCCCCGCCCCGGCCGCGCGCCGGCCCCGCCCCGCCCGGCCCGGCCCGCCCCGGCTGGCCCGGCCAGGCGGGCCCCGGCCGACGCGAGCGCGGCGGACCAAGATGGCGGTGCAGGTGGTGCAGGCGGTGCAGGCGGTGCATCTGGAGTCGGACGCCTTCCTGGTGTGTCTCAACCACGCTCTGAGCACCGAGAAGGAGGAGGTGATGGGGCTGTGCATCGGGGAGGTGAGTGCGTCCCCGGGGCGTCGGCCGCCCCCGCCCGATCGCGGCCGCGCCCAGGCCCGCAGGGACCCCGCACCCCTAATGCCGATCCGGGGGCTGAGGTTTGTCACCGCGCTGCCGCAGGGACCCGGTTTCCGCGGTCGGCTTTCCGCGCTGGAGCCTCCCGCCCGGCCCTGGCCATCTGCCCGGGCCGCGGGGGCCCTGCCTCGTCCCCTGGGCGCGGGCGGCCGGGGTTTCCGTGCGCAGTGAGCGCGCCGGGTCCCAACCGCCCGAGCCGCCGGAGGCGGTCCCGGGGTCACCACAACAGCCCCCGACCGGTCCACAAGCCCGGCCTCCCTCCTGGGAAGCGCAGGTAGCAAAGCGGCGCCCGAGCGTGTCCGAGAACCGCGGGACTCGGCTTCCCAGGCCCCCAGCGGCTTCGCGCCGACGCGCTGCCCAGGGGCGAAAGAGGAAACCGAGCGCCCCACGTCTCAGCCCTCCAGCCCCTGCCCACTGTGACGCTTGTTCTCTGCTCTTTCCACTCTAGCTCAACGACGACACCAGGTAAGAGCCCGCGGGCCCAGCCCCGGGGCGCTCTGCGGCGGTTCTCAGAATGACAACCCTGGCCCCACTTCCGCTGAGCCCGCGCTCCCTTCAGCCCCACCCCAAGTCTGAAGGTCGCTCCCGCGGCGCGGTGCGGGTGGCTCCGGTGGGGCACACCCAGAGTGAACCTGTCAAACTACAATGTCCATCGGAGACAAAGGCCACCACGTGGCTTCCCCAGGCCCTGTGATTTCTTGTCCTGCTTGACATGTTTCGTGACCTCTTCCCCAGCAATTACCAGACCAGACTCTTCTTTGTGGCGGGTAATCTGAAGGCACCATTCCCCCCCCTCCACTCCTGCGTGTCACCTGTCCCTGCAGCGGTCGCCTGGGAGATGTGCTGACTGCCAGGGCTGGGCCTTCCCCTACTCCCCTGAAGGCTGCCAACGTGCGCACCTGCAGGTCCACCTCTCTGCTGGCTACGGTGCTAGGAGCTTGGCTTTGCCCTTCCGTGCCTGAGCACTCGGGCGCCGCCACCTCATTTTACCCTCCTGCCGCGTCCTCTCTGCTACTCTCGTTGCACAAAGTGCTCATGCTATTTGCTTTTATTCTTTATCATCTAAGTCTCACGTCCTTTTTATTTTTATCGCCCAAAGGAGCGACTCCAAATCTGCATATACTGGGCCTGAAGTGCGCACCATTGCTGAAAAGGTATGTGCTGGGGTTCAGCGGGCGGGGACCTGTGTTGCCGGGGTCAGCCAGGCACCCTTCGGGGGGTGCAGTCCACTTCTGTGGCCAGGCGGGGTGTTTTCTCTGGTAAATTCAGATGAAGAATCTACTCACCAGGACACAGAGTTCCCATTCTCTGCAGCGACAAGCAGCCCCCTCAGCCCCCTGCTCGCCGCCATGCGCTCTTCTGCCTTCCTTGAACCTCGGGCTGGGTTATGCTCCAGCCCAATTCTTTCTCCCTGCAGCACGTCCCTCTGCACGGGCCAGCCCTGTCTTCTACAGCACACGATGGCCCCATTGGTATTCCTAGACTGTCTTTGCTCCTGCTCTGCCCACTCAGCCTACACAGGTCGTGTGGCCGGCTGACTGTCCCGAGGGTGACGCACCCCACTCTCTGGCAGAATACACTCGAAGTAACTCACAGTCTGTCTCCCAGCCAGCGGATGACGGAGGTGCTAAAACTTACGGCCCCACCAGCACACTCTTCGGTGGTAGTCACTTTGCCTGCCTGCTCCCCAAATCAAGGGAAGAAAGGCCCTGCACTCGGCTCTTTCCCCTGTGGGTGAGCTGTGCTGACTCCCTTTGCAAAAGGAGAGAAAACAAACTTCTCAGTCCTGTGTCATCCGCAGTCATGACTCTCACGTCCTTCTTCAACAGCCAGGCCTCTTGAAAGAACACATGGACTGCTCCTTCTCCTTCATCTCAAGTCAGACACCCCAAACTCTCCACCTGTCCCTCCCAGCTGCTGTCGAGCCAGCAGGGGTCACTTCTGCGTGCACGTCTTGCCTCATTTTTCCCTCGAATCTCTGCTCTTTTCGCTGTGTCTCCTGTTCCTCTGCACTCTCCTCCCTGCATGGAAGCTCCCTGCATGGAAGCCCCCCGCCTGCCCACGCATCTTACCCTTATCCAAGCTTCTGCCCTGGCCCGTGTCCCCTGAGACTTCAGCTGTAGCAGACTTTGTGGTCAGGCAGATCCGTGAAAATCCTTTCCCTGCTGCGGACTCTGTGACTGGCCACGTGGCCTGGGCTCTACATTGACATCTATGAGCTTCACTTCCTTTATCTGTAAAACGGGGATGATGCCAGCCACTTGCTCAAGGGTGGGGACAGTCGGCTCTTAGTCACATGTGAAATGAATTGAGCAGCGACACTCAGCACACGCGTGTGTGTGTGTGTGTGTGTGTGTTTGTGTGTGTGTGTGTGCGCGCACATGAGAGAGAGAGAGAGAGACAGAGAGAGAGAGAGAGAGAGAGAGAGAGAGAGATGGCAGAACGACCAGACAGGGAGTTCCCAGCCTGGAGGAGGCCTGCGCTTGGCCTCTATCCCCCTGAAACTTTTTTAAAAAAAGATTTATTTATTTATGCATACAAGAGCTGGGGTACAGCCCAGAGGAGGGGGCGGTGAGAGGATTCACCAGAGACAGAGTGGGGAGCAGAACAGGCAGACTGACTGAAATACACTGCTGAGGGGAGCGGCGGGGAGACAGGAGAGGTCTGCTGCGCCATGTGGGTAGCTCCCTGGCCGGGGATCGAAGTTGTGCTGCAGAGACTGTGGATTGCTTCATAGGTTGTGTCTTAACCCCTTGCGCCACTAGGGAAGTCTCCCCTGAAACTCTTGACCTTTTCCATTGTTCTGCTGCTTTCCCAGTACCCATCCTCAACCTGGCTGAGTCAACCTGGCCCTCTTACCCCACCCTGCCTTCGTCCTGTATTTACCTCCTCTCGTCCCAGGTCTTGTGTCTCCTCTGAGCCTTTCTGGACTCACGTCTGCCTCCCTTGTCCCACCAAGCACAGCGGGAAGCTTGAGCATCATTCCCGGCAATTTCTGGCCTTTGTCGCCCTTGGCCCATGCGCCTGCTTCCCTCACGTCCCGCTGCCTCCGCCTCGCGGGGGCTTCCTACCACCCCTGGCCCCAGAGCCGAAACACTTTGCCTCCTTCCCTGGGTGTTCATCCTGCATTGGTGGCTTTGAAGCCCGCTACTTTTTCACTCGAACTTTCTTTCTTTGTCTTGCCATCAGCTCTGCCACCTAAATTCTGCATCTAACCCGCTTACCTCCCCAGTACCTCACTCAGTTCCATTTGGAATGTAAGAAATTCTGTGTGTGTGTGTGTGTGCGCACACACACACGCACACTGCAGTCACATGCTTAGCAGTGGAAGTTGATTATTCAGAAAGGCCTTCCTTGATCTAAATGCTAGGTTTTTATATTTTTGTTTCTGGAATGTACATATTGACGCTGGATGTCTTTCATCTGAAATACTCTGTTAGTCATGAGAAAAACGTGTTTTCTCAAACGGAATCTCTACCCATGGAAGATGTTACTGGAGTGAGAAGTAAGTGTCTGCGGGTTTTCCTGCAGGTGGACACCGTGAGAATCGTTCACATTCATTCGGTCATCATCTTGCGACGCTCTGACAAGAGGAAGGACCGGGTGGAGATCTCCCCCGAGCAGCTGTCCGCGGCCTCCACGGAGGCAGAGATATCCTTCCGCTGTGTCCCGACCTGCCCCAGGATTTCCCGCTTCTGCAGGCTGCCCCGAAGGGCCCATCACTCGGTTAAGCAGCATTTCCCCCCATTCTCCTTTGAGGGGGAAGAATGACTTCCTTATGACATTCCTGCTTTTAAGCCAGAGCCCCCTGGGTACCGCCCCCCCCCCCACCGCCGCCTGGTGACTGCAGACGCCGTGGGAGGCACTGTCTGTCCTGCCGTGCCCCACTCGACCTCTCTTCATTCTTCTGTGCCTTGCCCAGTGTTGCTAAGATTACTTCATTTCTAGACCTTTCTGAGCTTGCTGTCTGTCCTTGGGAGAGAGGCGCCCCAAACCCGGGCATCTCTTTCTCCCTACACCGTTGCTTTGGGTGTAGCCAAGGTTTTGGGCTGTTGACCATGGGATGGGCAAGAATCACCTCTTATCACCTTGTTACCACTTTCTTCTTGTCAGTAAATGTGATCAGTTTTCACTTTCAAGAGTGAGTTCCCTGGAGATTTTCTTTGCCCATCTTTCTGTTAATTTGGAAATCATTCCTAAAGGGTTACAGGTACTCGACAGATGAAGGTAACTAGATGTTTGCGGTCAGGACAGTAAATTTCTTCAGTTTACTCACCATGTGTTTCCCCCCAATTTTTGTGTTTCCATCTTTCTGTAGCGAGATGCATGCATCTCCTCTCACCCTGTGTAGCTCTGGCACCTTTTCTTTAAACTCTATGTTGAAATAATTGTGGATTCATCAAAAAAAAAAAAAAAGTATAGACAGGTGCTGGTACCCAGTTCCCCAAAGGCTACATTATACATGATTTATGGCACAGCTTGATACAATTTCTGCCATGGTCAGGCTCCTGCTCTGCTTTCCCCACTCCACCTGACATTGTCTTGTCCATCTCTGTAATGTCACCTCAAGAATGTTCCGTCAGGGCACCTTTGGGAGCAGGCTGGAACCAGAGATGAAGTGATCCGCTTCTCTGCGGCGGGCACGCTGCTAAGTTGTAGTGGTGGATTGAGAGCCTGGTGGTGCAGCCACATACAGCCACAGGCTCTGCCCGGAAGCCGGGCCCTGATCTGACCTCATTGTTTTGTTGGCCTCAACCATGGGGCTTTCTGAGCCCTCATTGGCATCCCAGATTTTGTTCCCACAAGTTGAAATGCCTTGACAGACACACAGGTTGGCTGAACTAACTGGCCGTCCCATGAGAGTTGTGGGCTGGTATCACTCTCACCCTCACATCACGGTGTGGCCTTCCCACGTCGGTGAGTACCGAGCGACTGTGGCATTTACTGTGCCTGCAAATGAATCTCCTTTTTCTTCTCCATTCCGGGGGCTGTATTTTATTTTTTTTTAAAGATTTATTTATTCATACAAGAACTGGGATACAGGCCACAGATGTGGGGGGTGAGAGGATTCACCAGAGACAGAGTGGGGAACAGAACAGGCAGATCTACTGAAATACACTGCTGAGGGGAGCAGTGGGTGAAACAGGAGAGGTCTGCCTCGCCATGTGGGTAGCTCCCTGGCTGGGGATCGAACGCATGCTGCAGTGGCTGCGGACAGCTTCATAGGCTGTGTCTTAACCCCTTGTGCCACCAGGGAGGCCCTGTGATTATTTTAAAGCAGTATTTAACCTTAAATACGTCCTCATTTTTATTTCTTTCTCCATGTTTTAAAAAGAATGATTCATGTCATTGAGTATTTTTAATAAAATCTCAGCGCTGTGTTTGAAAGCCCGACAGTTGGCTTCTAGTCACAAAATGAACAAAATTCTCGTTGCAAATTGCCCGGGTGTGAAGGGTGAAACGACAGCACCGATGCTGACAAGCTCGTGACACGGACTCTGGAGAAAGAGCGGAATGTCTTTACCTGGGGAGAGGCTTCGCTTCTCTCTCCTGCTCATGGGAATCTGGGTGTGAGTCAGAGGCTCCCATGGCTTAAGTAGAGCTGACCTTTGGGCCCAGATTGGTCCCGTGGTCTGTTCCTTCCACTGCTGTTTCCTATTTGCAGTCCTAAGGGCTTGAGTTGATCACAGGATCCATATTCCTTGGTGAGGGCATAGTAATGCCCCCCCCACCCCCGCTCCAAATTCACCGTGGTGCAGTGTCAGGCTGTAGTTGCAGTCAGAGTTCCTGTAGCTGCACTAGCCTGTGTGGGCAGATTCCAGTCCAGACCACGCGAGACTCTGACATGGGGCCCAGGCCGGTTGGGTGCAGGTGCCCCAGGAAGGCCGGTGCTGAGCCCCTGGTAAATGCTGATTTAACGGATGAGGTAGAAACCTGGCCACGGCGTGTGGCAGCCCTCGAGACCAGGGGGAAAAGGCTGGAATCTAGAAGCTGCAATAACAATAATACAGGCGCTTTTCACTTTTATTTTGGAAAAAAAAACCGCGTTGGTCTGTGAAGTGGAATGCTCAAACGGGAAGTTCAGAATTCAGAGAATACTCGAATTTTTCTCTCGGACAGAAAATCCGAGTCATGCGACAGAAAGTCACTGAAGAAAATCAGCCGAGATGAAATGACTGAGGAGCCAAGTGAAGATAGCCCAGCACAGGTGGACTTGGGCACTGGAGTGTTGGGACCTCAGCTCGCTGCGCTGTGGGGCCCCCTGGGAATACCGACCCTTTAAAGGCAAAGTGGAAGTTCAGGGATGCATTGGCGTCCCCTCGGGGCCTCTCAAGCCCTGCCTGCCAGAGCACTTGGCAGTTCAGGGCCCGGAACATGTGCAGCTGGATGTCCAAGGGGAAGGGTGGGGTGCTAGCGTGCCGGTGATGGGCTCCATGGGGTTCTGGGAGTGCCTGAGAGGCAGAGAAAGGGTGCGAGCAGAGCGCGGCAGGCAGCAGGCCCAAGCGCGCACAGCACGGCTCTAATGCTGGATTTCAGACTCACAGAAGCTGCGCCCGGAAAGAGGCGCGTCTAGTGGGCGGTAGCCCTTTGCCTCCTTTGCTTTATCATGTTCGCAGACACACGCACACAGCTCAAGAGAAAGTCGTGGACACGATTGTCCTTTAAAACCCTTCCCAAGCCAGGGGTGTGTGTGGCTTTTAAGAAAGGAACTGCGGGACCTCCCCGGTGGCGCAGCGGTGGAGCGCTGGGCTGGGAAGCTGCCCGCAGCCTCTGCAGCGCCGGTTTGATCCCCGGCCACTGTCAAGGGTCCCCCATGGCGCGCAGACCTCTCCTGCCGCCCGCTGCTCCCCTCAGCAGTGTCCTTCGGTCCTTCTGCCTGCTCTGCTTCCTGCTCTGCTCTGGTGGATTCTCTCACCCTCCCGCGCTTCTGACTGTACCCAGTGCTTTCATAAATAAATAGATAGATAGATAGATAGATAGATAGATAGATAGATAGATAGATAGATAGATAGATAGATACTGACTGTACCCAGTGCTTGTATAAATAGATAGATAGATAGATAGATAGATAGATAGATAGATAGATAGATAGATAGATAGATAAATAAATAAATGGAACTGTGCCTAGGCTCTGGCCAGTGGGTGAGGAGCGGATTGAGAACCGACAGACACTTGAAGTGGGAGGTGGAGGCGGAAGTGGAGGCGTGTCAGACGCCAACCGAATCTTCCTGTGCTTGGAGAGTGAGAGAGAGAGAACGGGCCGGCAGGCTGTTTCGGAGCTTGGTGAGCCCAGCCCTCAGGGGCCCTCATGCTTGCAAATGTATACGAGGAGGGGCCGCGCCCTCAGCTCTGCTCCTGATTTAGACATCTGCCAGTCACCACCGGTGGCACAGGCCCCTTTGTCAACGTGATGTGCCCAATACCGACTTGTTCTGCGAGCTAGCCAGTCGACAAACTGCGTCTTCCCAGCCGAGCTTCTTGTTCTGGAGGCTGCCGGTCGGTTCTCAAGAGAGTCGTTGTGGACACATTTCAACACTATGGTCCATTTCTAGGTACTTCTTAGCTTCTTACCTCCAAGACTTAGGAAGAAACTATCAGGGAGACCGGAGGCCGAGGGCCAGGCTGGGCCTCTGGGTGCCGACGGTGGGGTGTGACTGTTGTCCATCTATCAGCTTCATGGCCCACGATGGTGCCCGACCATCAGGATGTCTCCAGTGTTCACAAATACCTGTTTTTGGCCTCTGAGTGCCAGCAGCTGCTTTATGTGGATACGTAATGGCCGGGTCCAGTGCTGACAGAAACACTGGCGGGAGGCTGCGGCATCAGCGGTGACTTAGGGGACAGGGCCTCTTTTGGATTTGGCATTTAGGAGGTGCCCTGAGCTCAGGACAGGGCCTGGAAAAAACTTTCATCCTCACATCCAGTTCCTTCCCTTCTCATTTGCCTTTCGTGTTTTGGGGCCTTCCCCAGCTTTATTTTAAGCTGCAGCGTGAACAGTCCAGCCCATTAGGAAGTTTCCCGGGGCTCACATGTGGGGTGCACACAGAGAAGCAGCTGCGATAAAACACACAACACTTTCTCCTGGGAGACAATCATACATGGTCACATGAGCACAGAATGTGGCACAAGGACACAATTAGGCCTCGTAGACATGTTGACAGTCGAGTGAAAACTGGAAGGACGTGACACTGAATCCCGAGCAAGCAGCGCGAGGAGGCAGGCCCAGTTCCTCTCTGGGCTGTAGCCTAAGGTCACGACGTGCGTTCTCGGCGGTGGTTCCCTCGCCTAGTGAGGTGCTTACACCCTGACTGACATGGGCCAGAGGACATGCCCCATTCTGCCTGGAGGCCAGAGTTGCAGGGAACCGGGCACCTCTGTTGTGAAATCTCCAAGTCTGGGCAATGTAATTGACCGCAGGTGTTTGTTTCTGTTTCCGTGCAGATGTCCGCACACAGGCCATGTACCAGATGATGGATCAAGGCTTTGTGGGGCTTATTTTTTCATGTTTCATAGAAGATAAAAACACAAAGGTATTGTGTGTGTGCGCGCGTGTATGTGTGTCAGCGTGGGCGTGTTGAGAAATGTTGCAGCAGTTTGGGGTCTTGCACGCCCCACCACAGATGCCACACCCTCAGCCTCCCATGCGTGGAGAAGATGTTGCACGTGCCTCTCACACTCACCACAGCCCTTGCGAGAAAGGCTGATTTACGGCTGTATCTATCTCTGGAGTCTCTTAACCTCCTTCCAGAGAGTGACATTTCTTTCCTTCACGCTGTTTTTTCTAGACTGGCCGGGTGCTGTACACTTGCTTTCAGTCCATCCAGGCCCAAAAGAGCTCAGAGTGAGTATAACAGGCACACGTGTGTCGCCGCATTCATGTCCACTCCAGGGAACTGACCGTTTCTCTTGCTGATGACACCTATTGACACCCACGGCCCGGGCCTTCCTGCCTGTAGGGGGCGTGCCCTTGGCATCGGCTCCCATTCGGGCCACAAACGGTCACAATGACAGCATGTCATCGAAATGCTTCATCTACCTCCACGCTAGACTGTCGATTGAGGTTGCCCTGCTGACCCAGTGTCTACTACATGCCAGGCACCGTGGTTGCATTTTGTTTTTTAATCTTTCTCTTTGGTGGCTATTCCCATTTCATAGCACCCTAGTCTTCATTTTGCTTGGGTCTGGTCTTTTGTCCCCTCTACATCAGTGTAATTCTGTTAGTCATTTGAAGGCAGAGAAGTGTCCAGTTCAATCAGTTTTCACAAAGTGGAGATGCCCACACAGATCAGCTGCACAAAACACCTCCATGATAACGAACAAGAAACTCACTGAACCGCTGCTCTTGCAGGTACGAGAGAATTGAGATCCCCATCCACATCGTGCCTCATGTCAGCATTGGCAAGGTGTGCCTGGAGTCGGCCGTGGAGCTGCCCAAGATCCTGTGCCAGGAGGAGCAGGATGCATACAGGCGGATCCACAGGTAGCGCCTGGGCCCAGCCCGCCCTTCTGCCCTGCTGCTCCAGCCCCTCCTCCAGCCGCTTCCCGCCCCCCACCCCCAGTCCCTAAGACTCCTCCCTCCCTGCTGTGCTCCGGCCCTTTGAGGACAGAAGGGCCTTCTTGGTTGTTACAGAGAAATCACAGTAGCCCCGTTGCCTAGCGGTGGGCCTTGCTACACGAATGCTTCAGCGACAGTACCTTCAAAAGTTATCTGTTTACGTTACCTCAGAGTCCTGAGTAGTGTCATTTCCCAAGCTCATTAGAGATGAAATCACGGGCTCCACAACGACCCGCTTTCGTCTGACACCGCGGGCGATGGTGTAGCACGCTTTCTAGTTTCCACACATTGCATTTCCCGCCACTGCTACATGGCTGCTAACCTCTACCATCTTATCCCTTCAGCCTTACACATCTGGACTCAGTGACCAAGATACACAATGGCTCAGGTGAGATTTTCTTGGCGTGGTGGCAGGTACCCCTGAAATATTCAGCAGACAGAGCATATTCATTGTAAAGTAATTGAGGTGATTGAATGTCCTGCCTTGGTTTTTCTCTCAAACCATGTGCGCCTCTGAACTGCAAGTTCTATCTGGAGTGAGGTGGGAGGGAAGGGACGAGCTGCACTTGCTCATGGTCGGTGCTTGTTTGACGAGCAGCTCCAGGCACAGGGCCCTGCGTGCTCGTGTTTGCCACTGTCAGTGGGGCTCAGCAAGCCCCGGAAACGTCAGCAGCTGGCTCTTGTCCTTATTCCGTTGTGTGCATGTACGTGTGTCTCTGTATCTCGCGCCTCCATCCCTTCGTCAGTGGGTGAGTGGACAAAGGAGATGTGGTCTAAAGAAAGATGAAATCTTGCCATTTGTGACACCAAGGGCGACCTTGAGGGGACAACCTTGAGGTGAGGCTGTGGGGGAGGTAGGGTCTGGCTCAATCTGGAAAATCATGTTTAAAATATCCTCGGACAGCCCTTCGGAAGGAAAGGCGCACTTTACGTGGCAGAAGGCTGTCTGGAGCATTGCCTTCTTGCTCGCTGTGCTCTCAGCCTGGGGGTGGTTCCTTCACACCCCTACCTCGCCTGTGCTCTTCCTTTTGAAGTGTTTACGAAGAACCTGTGCAGCCAGATGTCAGCGGTCAGCGGGCCTCTCCTGCAGTGGTTGGAGGACAGACTGGAGCAAAACCAGCAGCATTTGCAGGAGCTGCAACAAGAAAAGGAAGAGCTTCTGCAAGAACTTTCTTCTCTAGAGTAACGCAGCAGACAAGACAGGTAAGAAAACAGTTTTGATGTGTGTGGTAAATGTGGTGTGCATGCGGCTGACGCGCTGCAACCCTATCCCGGTAGCCTGAGGGCCTCGGGGGCTTCCTGGCACTGCCTACCTGTAACACCCACAAGGAGCATGTTCAAGATGGTTTGAAGTTGGATATGCAGCTTCTGTTCTGGGCCGTGGGGGGCATGCTGGGAAAGATATGCTTTCATAACCTATCTGGGGAGTATATTTCAATGTTTACTGTTCCCGTGTTTGACTTGGGAGCCTTTATTTTCATGTCTAGATATACTTACTCCCTAGAAGAAGCTAAAGGAGCAGCAGTGTTGCATGTTTCAATTTCGCAGTCACTGTGTGCGTGTCAGAGAAGTACATGAGCCTGCAGCGGCGAGGCGCAGGGGGTGGAGAGGAGGCCCTCGTCTCTGAAGGGACTCTCTGTGGGCCCTTTTGCACCACAAATGAATTCTGGCCTAGTTTGATGCAAATTCCTGTTGCGCAAACCCCATTTATCGAGGAACTTCCACTATAACGCAAATGTGTGTTTCCAGGAAAAATCAGGACTTAAGCTGCAACAGGAATCTTGCTTTCAAAAGTTCGGTCGCACTGTTTTGACCACAGGTAACCACGGATGCACGAGCGGCCTGAGGACGTGAGAAGCACGAGCCGAGGGAGCCCGACTCCTACAGCAGCCACAGGCGTTGCTTTTCTCTTCCTTTTCCTTCTTTCTCTCCAGATCACTGCTAGTCCAGAACCACCTGTACAGAGTCACCTGGAGGTCAAACTTCTTATCTGGGAGTGGGAGCCAGAAATCTTCATGAACCCCCAGCCCATGCCAACTTTGCCACCCACGCTCCCAGCACATGGAAGGGCACCGTCTCCTCTCTCGTCTCCCACTGTTGTCATATAAAATTAAGCCAAATTGACTCTGAAGAGGAAACACCTGGAGGACTGTCCTGCCCTGGCCGCAGTCACGACAGTGACCTCGACAAAGGTGCAGAAGCGAGGCAGAGGCGGGAGGCCTTCTCCCCTGGGGGTGCCGGGTGAATAGGACAGTACAGGTGAAAAGTGAGCCCTCACCTAAACTTCATACCTTACGCCAAAATTAATTCACAATGTATCATGGACTTGAATGCGATGTGTAAAACTATGAAAGTTCTAGAAAAATTCACAGGGGTATCCGCAGAATCTTGGGCAACATGCTCTTGGCCTTCATCCCAAAAGCACAACCTTAAAATGAAAAGGGTGATATATTTGAGTTCATCAACATCAAAGACTTTTGCTCTGCAACAATTTTGAGAAAGCAAGCTATGGACTGAGAGAAATCACTTGCAGACCATGGGTCTGGGAGGACACCAGATGCGCCTACCGTGGACACGCATCTTACACGTTGTTGGTGAGAGTGTGAGTGAAAGGCGTTTGAAGTGTCTCGTCAAGTGAAACACACACCCTTAACCACACGCCCAGCAGTTGTACTCTGTACACATCCCAGAGACATGGAAGCCTGTCTTGGCTCAAACACCGGGACACGAATGTTTTTAGCAGCTTATCTGTAGTGGCCGCAGAGCGGAAGCAGCCCGCCACCCTGCAGCTGAGCGCGGTGCGTGGCCCCACCGTGCAGCCATGGGCGGCTCCTTCGCAGGGAGGAGGACTGGCATGCGATGCACACGACGCACACAGGCGCAAGGTCAGCATACGACCGCACTTACTGACATTCTTCAAGTGGCAAAATCACGGATATGAGCACATAGTGGTCGCAGGGGTGGGGCCGGAGGGTGGGACACCTGTCTCGTGCACACCCCTAATGTGAATGCACGTGAAATCTGGTGAAACTCAATAAAGTCTGGTCTAGGTGTCACGTTTATCAGCGTGCCCAGGAGACGGGGGTGGGGGGGGATTGGGGGGTTGGGGGAGCGCTGTGGTGGGGGCAGAGCTCAATGAAGGACCAGGACATAAGGCATGGTGGGGGAGCCAGTGCTGGTGGGCGAGGAAGCAGGCGGGTTTGCGGTGCTTAGGTCGCGGATGACCAGTGAGCATATCTGGGACAATTTGCATCAAAATAATGTGAGTTGGGCCTCCCCGGTGGCGCAGCGGTTGAGCGCTGGGTTGCGAAGCTGCCCGCAGCCTCTGCTGTGCCGGCCACCGGGCGAGGGTCCCACATGGCGCGCAGACCTCTCCTGCCACCCGCTGCTCCCCTCAGCAGTGTCCTTCGTCAGTCTGTCTGTTCTGTTCCCCGCTCTGGCTCTGGTGAATTCTCTCATCCTCCCGCGCTTCTGACTGTGCCCAGTGCTTGTATAAATAAATAAATAAATCTAAAAAAAATAAAAGCAAAAGGAGAGAGAGAGGGACTGCATCAAACTAAAAATCTTAAAAAAAAATAATGTGAGTTAAGGATTTTAACCCTTTCAGTAATGTAAGAATCAGTCCACAGTGATAACAATAAGCAGATGGGGCGGCACAGGAAGCTCTCCCTGCAAGTGCTGTGCACGGTGTCAACTTGGGCTGCCTCGTGGCTCCCGAGCTTCTGCGATGGTGAAAGTGCTTGGCTGGGCCAGTGGGGCCTCACTAGCCATGGGCACGGCTTCATGGGTGCTGGTGCGCCTGGCATTTGTGGATGAGGCCTGAGCTGGGCCTCAGTATCTCCCTTTTGCTGACGGTGTAAGCCAGAGGGGGCCGAGTAGCGACAGGCTCGCATGTGTTGGACAGATGTGGTGGCCAACATAGGTAATGTCAAGTTGTATGCCTAAAAAGCATCACATTGTACAATCTAAACAATTTTTATTTGTCAGTTATACCTTAATAAAGCTGAAACTAAAAGATAAACAAGTAAATTGAAATAAGGGCAAAGCATGTAGACAGGTCTTTCTGCAAAGTAGATACACAAATTGCCAAAAAGCATATGAAAAGATTGTGTAAAAATTTTTGTCATTAGGGAAATGCGAATGAAAGCAAGAGGTGGCAGATGACATGACAATAGAGAGACCTGTAAAAAATTCAGAGAAAAAAAGTAATTGCAAGAATAAAGCAGTTTAGTGAAGTGGGTTACCAGATGAACATGCAGAAATTAGTAGCCCCTACACACACAGAAACAGCCTCCAGAGGGTGAAACAGTCTCCTGTAAGTGGGCGAATGGTATGATGTGCATTATATAGTAATAAAGGTGTTTAAGAAAATATGCCCTGAAAGTCAGTTTGAAACGACACAGACAGATATACAGAGCATTCCATTCAAAAGCAGCAGGATATACATTTTTGTCAAGCCCACATGGAACATTCTGAAAGGAAAAATCACATGTTGGGGCAGAAATGTGTTGATAAACTTAAGAAGGTTGAAATCGTATGAAGGATCTTGTGATCACCATGGTATGAAGTTAGAATCAGAAGAAGAAAGGTGGAAAAGACAGAAATATTTGGAGCATAAACAACGTGTTGCCAAACAATAGTTGGGTCACTGAGGCAACCGAAGGAGGGGTCAAAAAGCATTTGGGGGCAAATGAAAATAGTCTGTGCCAAGATGTCTGGGGCACAGCACGAGCAGTAATAGGGGCAGGTTACGGCAGCACGGGCTTATTTCAAACGGCGGAGCCTTACAGCCGCGGGAGCTCGGAAAAGAAAAACAAATGAAAGCAGAAGAAAGGCCTTCTTTACCACCGACGTGACATTCTCTCTGCCCCGCTCTGTAGGTGTGGCCATGGCTTCCAGCCGCATGTGTGGAAGCTTGTATTTTTCTGCTATGCAGTGGAACTTGTCTCGGTTTATCCCGGATGGGAGCAGACTGTGCAGGAGAAAAGGTGAGTGGAGTTGAAGACGCAGAGAAAGCAGTGATGTGCAGCTTGCGCGAAGGCCCGCTCTCCACAGCGCCCATGAGGATCACTCCCCCGCCGAGCGCAAACGTGCATCTTTCAAAGCGGTGATTTCAGGTGATCGGGCCTCTGCAGCGGCTCAGGACCTCTGCAGCGGCACGTGGCAGCTGAAATGGCGGAGCCTCGAGTGCAGAAGATGACGTAGGAGGAAAGGAACTGCGCGCAGAAGCAGCACGCGCACGTGCACGGGGGCCCAGACCATCGCTGGCCGGAAGGAGCCGAGTGGTGAGCCCAGAAATCGCCAGTGGACCTGGGTGCCGCGGCGGGGTCCGCGGGCTTGGGGCCTCTGGTCATAGGTGCAGACTTGTAGCTGGGGGTCAGGGTCTGGGTCAGCACGCCCCGCGAAAAGGTAGAGAAACGGGGTGACGCCACGGGGGCGTGCACGGGAGGGGCACGCATGCGCAGCGTGGGGGCACCGGCGCCGTTGTCCCGTCACTCCCGGGGGGTGTACGTCACAATGCCATGGGCATCAAGATGCACACATTCGTCCAGATCCGCTCAGATCCGCTGCCTCGGCCCGCGGTGCGTCCAGAAGGGGCGGCACCACCTGGAAGCCCCTGGAGGCACCCCTGCCGAGCATGGGGTCATCCGCGTCCAAAGCAGCCCTCGCGGCCACCACGGAAGAGCCCATGGAGCCGGGGCCTAAACATCTGGCGGGTAAGTGCCCGCTTCATCCCCCGCCCGCACCCTGGCGGACACAGTGGCTGCGTTCGTCTGCCGACTTCTTACAGAGCTCTCAGCTCCAAAGCCCCAGATGCTTCCGCTTAGACGTAGGAAGAATGCAGCCAAGACCTCACAGACGTTTCTGGACGAAGAGGCCAGGGTGTACAGCCGTTTCCGCAGGCTCCCCTCCCCCCCACCGCGGCGGCACGCCCCCCAACCTCACTGCCCCCAGGACAGCTTTTGCTTCTGTCATCCCAACGGTTTCAATGGACTTGGTTTCAACAAATCTGATTTTAATCCTGGCCCTGCAGCTTCATTGGCCGCGTGCCCCTGGCTGTGTCGCTTGTCCCTGGGCAGGGCGACTGCACCGCAGCGCCTTTGTGACATCCTCTCTGTGCCACGCAGATCTAACACAGTACATCAACGAAACCCACATGAGCGTGGCACATCTGGCCGACATCCTGTCTAAGAAAACGGGCAGCAGCAGCTGGGTGGTTGTGTTCAAGGCCTTAGTGACGGTGCACCACCTGATGGTGCATGGGAACGAGGTGAGCCCCTCACCCCCACCAGACCAGACAGCGCCTAGGGCTGCAGTGACCCCCACCTCCCACTCCTGGGGCCGGGGCAGTAGCAGGTGTTCAACATGAACGCCTGAGTGCATAACCTAACATTTGTGTCAGTAAACTTTCAATTAAAAATTAGGATTTTGAAAAAAATAGCATTTTAACACTTGTAAAACTACAGCAGTTACACATGATGGCAAAATTAAAAGCTCAAAATCCAGAGAACATGACCTCACTAAACTGTACTCACGGGAGTTCGGTCACACAAGGGAATTATGGCATTAACAATAAAAAAAACTTGCTACAAATAGCATGGTGATGGCAGAAGTGTAATGACATCTTTCTCCCCCACACAAAATCACTCCAACACAATAAAATTCTCTATTAAACTGAAAGCTGCTGTGAACTTGCTGCTGCGATCTTGCTGCCCATCGGCCCACAGGTGTGCTTGCCAGCACTTCTCTACTAATCAAAACGTACACTATGAACCAGAGACACTCTATGGGGGGTGGAGGGTGGGGAGGGGAGGGATTGGGGTCAAAATAAGGGGGTCGCAATTGTATGGGGAATATAAAAATAAAAAAAATTATATTAAAAAAAAAACCGCACAAGTCACCAAAATCCCCATACGCAGGGAACAGGCACCTAACATACCTGGGTTTGTATGCTGAAATCCCAACAGTCGTTAACCATGTATTTGCAGATTTGTGTTCGACAATCGCTCATGTCCACCGAAACATGCGCATTCAGTGCTTGCACATGGAAGTAACACATAGGAAACCATGAAGTAACTGGACTGTAAAACATGATGCCAGTTACTTCCACACAACAGGAGGAAAGTGAACTGAGGGCAGCACAAAGGGCACTTTTTTTTTTTTAAAGATTTATTTATTTATACAAGCACTGGGTACAGTCAGAAGCGCAGGAGGGTGACACTTCACCAGAGCCAGAGCAGGGAACAGAACAGTCAGATCCACTGAAACACACTGCCGAGGGGAGCAGCGGGTGAGACAGGAGCAGTCCGCTGTGCCCTGTGGGTAGCTCCCTAGGTGGGGATCGAACTCGCGCTGCAGAGGCTGCCAACAGCTTCACAGCGCTGCACTCAACTGCTTGTGCTACCAGGGAGGCTCGCAAAGTGCACCTTTGACTTTGTAATGGTTCACTTGTCCCCTCTGGGTAGCGGGATGTGCAGCTGCAGCAGCTTTTAATTCTCAGTGAAGTTATTACATCACATTAAATCATTCTGTAATTCATTGACATTTATCAAAATCAGAACCAGGGAAATGGCTCCATGGAAAAGGGGGAGACTGTGCCAGGACACTGGCTTATCTTCGAGCAGACGAGGGTCAAGGACACTAAATCCTTGGGGTGGGGAGCGCAGACTATGGGTGCTCTTACCTCCAGCAGCTGAAGTAGAATTGGGGTGAATACGCACTCAATGACGCAGTCCTTCATGAACTGTATTTGCCAACAAGTAACTTTAGAATTGACGCGTTTATTTGCAGCGTTTTATCCGACATCTTGCAGCTAGACACTCTTTGTTCACTTTACACAACTTCCTGGATAAAAGTGTCGGAGAAGGTAAGATGATTCTTGGATGGGCATATCCCCATGCGACGACAAGGGAAAAGCGCTGGTGACCGTGTGGTGTGTCCCGTGTTGGGGGAGGAAGGGAACCTACAGCTTACTCAGGGAGGCCTTCCTTGTGCCACTGGCCAGGAAATGGGCTTCACCCGCCGGGAGCTTAAGGAGAATGCTGAGGTCACAGTGGTTTCCCTGCAGATGCGAGAGGTTGTTGAGCAAGTTCAGGTTTAGCTGTACAGAAAGTCGCCATTGGCGCTTGTGAGCATCCATGATGATGTCAAGGCTTTCAGGGAAGGAGAAAGCATCTTTCGCAGGAAGTTTGAGAAATGCTGGGCTATGTGATCAGCATAGGCCTTTCTCCCTTTTGTGCTTCAGAGAGATTGTGAGGGGTGCAGGGCCCGGGCCTGTGTGGCACCCTGGGAATAATGACGCTGTGTCACTTTCAGGCTACGCCATGTCCATCTTCATCAGACGATACAGCAGGTACCTGAATGAAAGGTCGCTGGCATACAGACAGATCGCATGTGACATCACCAAAGTCAAGAGAGGGTCAGTCAGCCGCCGCTCTGTAAGCAAGGGACAGACGCGGCGTGCTGGCATGTGCCCACTCTCGCGCTTGCTTTGCAGGGCGAGCGGCGTGATGAGAAACATGGACACGGACAGGCTGCTGCACACGCTTCCCGTCATTCAGACGCAGCTCGACGCTCTGCTCAGCTTTGCGGTAAGCCCTTGACCACCCTTTGCAGACAGCGCCCGCCGCCGGCGCGTCTGCATCTGCGGGAGAAGGGACGGCTCTTAGCGCAAGGGGGCTGATCGCGTCCCAATCCCTAGGCCGACCCAGACGAGCTCAGGAACGGCATCGTCCGTGCCGCCTTCCGGCTGCTCCTCAAGGACTCGCTCCGCCTCTTTGCCGCCTACAACGAGGGCATGTTGAATCTGCTAGGTAACCCGCTCGCTGCCAGAGGCGCCCACGGAACGTTGCCTGACGAAAGTCTTGTGTCCGTAGGAGTGTGGCACTGCCGCTTGGCGGTGAGCGCCGAGCACTGACCGGGCCACCGCTCCTGTCCCCTGTTTGTAGGCAAGTACTTCGACATGCGGAGGAGCCAGTGCAGGGAGAGCCTGGAGCTCTACGCCAAGTTCCTGGCAAGGACCGCCAAGCTGACGCGCTTCCTGAGGGTGGCGGAGGTGTGGCCGCTTCTTCCTTTTCGTGCTTGACCCTTGTCCTGTCTCGCGAGCTGCCAGCCGCCCGCACAACTATTTAATTTGGGGAGTTGGCCTTCACCCTCCCACGTGCGACTGCCCCTCTCTGCAGTCGCCTGCGCTGTGCCCCCCCACGCCCCCCCCACACCTTGTGACCGCAGTTTGTCTTAACGACTCTCTCAATAGCAGACTTAAAACTAAAATCGGCCATTTCAAAAGTGCCCCGGAGGCTTCCCTTAGACATGCCATGAGTCGGTGGTGCCTGAGGGGTGCCCCCCTTCTGGGGTGCCCTGCCCCTCTGAGCGCCCCACGCGGGACACATACAAAGAGACCCAGGTCCTGGCAGGCAGCACCAGCAAGCGCCACCTGCTGAGCCCTGGCCCTTCAGGCGAGGGCACGTTGGTGCTGAAGCCCGCCAGAGCCATGGTGCCGGCTTGTGTCCTGCGTGCCGTCCGTGTCACGGTGGGTCACCCCTTCCTGCCATAATGTGCGCCCCCCTCCTTTTTTATGACTTCAGCAAGTTGGAATCGACCGGAACAGCATCCCACATCTCACACAGGTCAGTGTGTCTCTCCTGTTGCTCTTCGTGCGTGTGTCATCGCGGCTGTGAAGGACATACGAGAGCGCCCGGCGCAGCTGCCGTGACAGGCCATCGGCATCCCCTATGGGGCGCTCCATGCGGCACAGTAGCCGCAGGCCGTGCTTTGGAAGTGGCCACGACTGCTTCATTGCGTGGGTCCCTAGCTCGGGCGGCCTTCCCTTCTCCCTGGCAGACCCCCGGCTGCAGAAAGGCCCCCTACTCCTGTGGAGCCCTAAGCTCCGGCTGCCCTGCTGTCTCAGCTTGGCCTCCCTGGCTGTCTGTGGCTTGGAGCCAGCACGGTGCCAGGTTGGCCAAGGCCTGCCCCTGGGAGGGGCACCAAGCGGAGGCCACTGACAGCGGGATTTGCGCCTCGGAGTGAGCGTCTGTTTCTTCCTGGTTCTTGGTAGGGCCACGCCTTCCCTCCTCCCCACTAAGCTCAGTTTTTGGTTTACACTTGCCTGGGGGCGGCAAGCCCACATTTGTTCAAACTCTTATGTGGGAGAGCATGAATTTGCTAAGAAAATAACTCTTACAAAGATGTGATTTCTAGGCGCCCTGCAGTTTACTTGAAGCCCTACAACAGCATTTAGCGTCTTTGGAAGAGAAAAAGGACTTTTTGTGTCCCTGTGGGTAAGTGGGTGTCTTCACGTGGGCTCTCTCTGCTGTCCCCTTAGGGCCCCTCTCGGGAGAAAGACTAGTGTAGGTGATTGTCAGAGGTCTTCAAACAAAACATTCACAACACCGCACACACACGCGCGCACGCACGGGTGCACGCCATATGAATAAATTTAGTAGTACTAATTGGGAGGTACTTCAGTGTTCTCATTAGCTATTTTTTCTCACATCAGCTGTTTCTGACCGGAAAAATTAGAGTCGATTTCAGTTTTCTTTTTGGTACTTTCCAGTATTCAAAATGTAATCAACAGTCATACATTCTTCATTTGTTCCACTTTTAGGCTACATTGATTGTAGTTCATTTATACTAATTATTTCTCAACTGTCTGCTACAGACTGAGGTGCGGTCAGTGTGCAGCTGGATGGATGTAGCATGTAGACTCTCGGGGTGGGCTCTCTGGGATTCTATTCTCGCTGCATTTCACGTCTCTTATGATCTCTTAAGTCTCCAGCACACAGTGACCCTGTCCATCCCATATCGCCCCACTGGCAACGCATGTGCCAGGAGAACTTGGTTTGCAGGTAATGTACATCCGCGACGTGGCTGTGTCGCTCATCGCTGAGCCACGGTTGCTGTGCAGTTACCAGCACGTGAGCTCTTGTTCTCAGCCGTATTCTGTATTTCATGGTGATGGTGTTTCAGTGCTGCTACTCAACTCTCCATGTTATTGTGGGGTTCATGTATGTTGGTTTTTCTTTGTTTATTTTTACTTATGCACACAAGAACTGGGGTGTAGGCCTGAGGTAGTGGGGTGAGAAGATTCACCAGAGACAGAGTGGGGAGCAGAACAGGAGGATCCACTGAAATCCACTGCTGAGGGGAGCAGCGGGGAGACAGGACAGGTCTGTCTGCTGCGCCCTGTGGGTCAGCTCCCTGGAGGAGGATCGCATTCAGGCCATAGCGGTGACAGCCTGAGACTTAATCCCTAGGCCACCAGGGAGGCCTGTGGGTTCGTTAAACTTTGTTGAATTAAAAGTTTGTTGTTGACATAAGTGAAGACTTCAACTGTATCCATTTTAAGTGTTTTTGTCTTTCTTTTGTACACATTCCCAACGGACATACCTTCTGCATCTCCAATGGTGAGTTTGATCTTGCCAGGAGCCTAAGTTCTTTGTGTAAAGCTACAAGCATAGCAAGAACTGTCCTTCCTGAAAGAACAGCTACTTTACAAGAGGTTAAGCGTAGCGATTGATGAGTGATTACCCACAGCCCAAATGAGCAAACTCACGCTTCGCCAGGCGGCCTAACGCTTCTTGCTTGAGGTGACTCAGTTGAAAATCCTGTGGTCAACTGAAACCACGTTTTCTTCTAAATCACTTTTTTGGTTCCATATAAATTTCAGTAATGTTTGCTCTATTTCTTTGAGGAAGGGAAGACAGAGATTTTTTTTGAACTTTTTTATTTGCTGCTATATTATTAGCACCTAGTACAACCTACTGTTATGTCCTTAGCACCTACTACAGTATCTGGCACATAACTGTAATTTAAATTCATTTCATGAATAACTTAGCATGACTATACTCATTTATCTAACCTGCGATTCTGCTAATTTGTGCTAGGAAGGTACATATATGTCATGACAGTACTGATACAATTGGGTTTATGTTTTCACGTAACTTCCTTATTTCCAGATTATTTTCCCTACACGATCTTCACCCTTCCAAGCCCACAAGCCTGCTGGAGCAGAGCAGCAAAATACGGGTAGGCATCCTTTCTAAGTCAACATTTTAGATGTATTTTAAGTGAATTTTTAAGAATAAAGTAAAAATAATGCATAAAAATAATGTGAAATCTGTGTTTGTTTCATGAAACAGATCTTAACGTTGGCGAAAAGCCATCCAACAAGTAAGTTTTGTTATTTAAAAAATACAGCCAATAAATGCGCATTCAGAGGAAGGAATTGAGCATAACAACTAGAAAAGAATTAGTTTAAAATGAAATATAGGAAGCGTTCGTTATAGTTCATGGATTTTTTTACTTAAGGCAGAAAACTTACCTGTTCTACATGATCCCAATTTTTGTAGGTCGAGTTCTTGGTTTATGGTGTGATGTGGGGCTGGTCATCCCCCCACGGTTCAGCTGAAAGGTTGTCTGTATCCAAGCTTACGCATGGGCCCTCCTCTTGCTTTTTTTTTTTTTTTAAGATTTATTTATTTATAGAAGAACTGAGGCACAGGCCAGATGTGCGGGAGGGTGAAAGGATTCACCAGAGACAGAGCGGGGAACAGAACAGGCAGACTGACGAAATACACTGCTGAGGGGAGCAGCGGGCGAGACAGGAGAGGTTTGCTGTGCCATGTGGGTTTCTCCCCGGCGGGGATCGAACCCGCACTGCAGAGGCTGTGGACAGCTTCACAGTGCGGCACTCAACGGCCTGAGCCACCAGGGAGACCCTCCCTACCAGGTAGAGCTGCCGAGCCTCATAAGACACCCAGTGTGACTTCAGACAGTGAGCCCCTAAACTTCGAGCCAAAAAAATAAAACAGGAACATGGAAACCAGACATGGACGTGATAATAAGAAATAATGTGGCACATAAGGTGAAAGCACTAAGCAGAACAGGGGCTGCTCACAATGAGAGGCACTGTTTATGGGCTCTCACGGCCTCGCCACCAGTACGCCCATCACAGTGCATTTACTTGTTTGGTGACCTTTTGAACCAGAAGGTTAAAGGGTTGAGATGCCAGGGGAGGAAAGCACTAACACTGGGCCAGGAGGAAGTGTAGCACTGGCCCTTGAACAGCAACACAAGAGCTAGAGGACAATACTTCAAGCTGCTGAAAGTTCTCAGTGACATTTACTTCTAGAATTCAGTACTTAGACAAGCACCCAGAGACAAACAGCTGTTTTCAGGCTATAACCTTTGAGGCACTGTTCATGCTGATTGTCAGGTAAGAGTTAATAAGAAGGAATTGCAAACAAAGCCCAGAGCGGCTGATGTGTGAATCCCGTTTCAGGGCCAGCATAGAGACGGATGCTAGTGGAGGGACGAACTGGCAGCTGAGCACCTGTGCCTCCACGTCAGCCATCTGGACTTCCGTCTCTGGCCCCCCTTCTCCGCACACGGTAACTTCTGTGATGCAGCATTAGTTTACTTTTCCAGCATATGCAGCTAACGTAGAAATTTACATTAAGAAGTAGGTGAAGCCAGAAATGTTTCCTTTGTAATCAGTTTTAATAATGTACTGAGCTAACATTTATTTTTTTATCTTTATTTATTTTTGATATTATTATTATTATTATTATTATTATTATTATTATTATTTTAAAGATTTATTTTTATACAAGAGCTGGGGTACAGGCCAGAGGCATGGGAGGGTGAGAGAATTCACCAGAGACAGAGTGGGGAACAGAACAGGCAGACTGACGAAGTACACTGCTGAGGGGAGCAGTGGGCAAGACAGGAGAGGTCTGCCACGCCATGTGGGAATCTCACTGGCCAGCCGGGAATCGAACCCACACTGCAGAGGCTGCAGACAGCTTCACAGCGCTGAACTCAACCCGCTGAGCCACTGGGGAGGCCCTATATTATTATTATTTTTTAAAGATTTATTTATTTATGCATATAAGGACTGGGGCACAGGCCAGAGGTGCGGAGGGGCTGCGGTTCAGGACCGTCCCGGATGGGCTCCAACCACGCCTTCTGCCTGCGCTGGGGCCTGCGCTCTGGGGTCAGCTCCACTGTCTCTGCGCCCTTGTGCTGCTGCTCGGCCCTCTTGCTGTGCTGCTCCCTGTGCCCTCCCCCCACCGCCCTGGGGCCCGGCCTGTGTGTCTCTGCTGGCCTAGTCATCAGTCTTGGGTCTGCTCAGTGCAGTCAGGTCCTCCCCACGTGGTGGGAGTGAGCCTGGCGCTCCCGCACACATGGATGGGCACTTTGCCCAGCCCTTGGGCACCTGCTGTCTCTTGTGCTGTGATGGCAGCCAAATTATCTTCACTTTTCACCTTACCTCACACATGTAAGATGTGGTGATGAAAGCCTGGAAGTGAACACAGAAAAAGCTTTATTTATCGGAGGTAGTGAGACTGGTTGAAAACTTTCCTGTCAGCCAACGGTCATTTAGTGGAGCATCACTGTGGGGCTTGTGTTGGGTCAGCAGAGTGATGAGACACTAAATTTTCACGTCTTGTTTTTTTTTTTTTTTCCCATTCGTACTCATAGGTAACATCTACCATGGCCTTTCCTCCCTTGATGTCACCGCAGTCCCTGGTTTCTTCCCCCCCAGGCTTAATGGCTGACGAGCTCGAGCTCACTGCATGGGCAGGACAGCAGGTACGTTTGAGCTGGGTGCTAGGGTGTGGAGGCGGTGGTGCTGGAGGCCACACTCTTGCTCTCTCAAGGAAGAAAAGAGAAACCTGAACCTTGTGGAATGGTGAATAGGCACAGTCACTATTGACTTTTGTGGTCAAGCCTCAGCTTTACTTGCTTATCTGTTCAATATACCCAGCTGCGATCAGTGCTGGGGGCCAGGCATCTCGGGGCACAGCGTTCAAGGACACTGTCCAGAGACACGAGCCTTCAGTTAAGCCTAAGGCTCAGGTGTAGGCAGCCGGTGAGCAGAGTGGGGCAGCTATTCTGACTAATGGAAGGCGGTAGGAAAGTGCAGAGCACACGGGAGGGCCAGAGGGAAGTTCTGGGAGGGCTGTTGTCAGGCGTAGCGCCAACAGGTGGCATGACGGGACAGGAGATAGGTGGGCCTGGAAGGGCTGACACACATGGGTGTGGCGGAAGCTTCTGTCACATTACAGGTCTTCCTTGCCTTGGAATGTTGTTTTCTAGAAGTCTTCACAAGATTTCTTCCTTCAGTCTTTAGCCAATGCTTGTTAGGAGGCTTGACAAAGCTTCAGATATTAGATAATGAGAAGACTAATGAGAATTTTGTGCAAAAGTATTTGTAATTTATAATCACAAAGAAAAATATATGTAGATGATAAAAGATTTATTGACCTATGTTCCTTTCACACAGAGCCAATCCATGTAGAAGACCAAAGAAAAACATTGAGAGCCAGATGTGGCAGGAAGTGAAGACCTCTCTTCAACTGAACCATCCATGGGCCAAGTGAAATAAAGATTCGTTCACATATCATGTACCCTTAAGAGTCTGCAATTCAGTGTTTTGGAGGCTATGCAGAAATGGAGGAGCAGGCCAGGCCCCGGGTTCCTGAAGGAGTGGGGGAGGAGTGCAGCCTAGGAGCTGGGCTGGAGGAAGGCTGCCCTTGGGTATAGGGAGGTGGAGGGGCAACACTGGCCACCATTATGTTAGAATGAAAATACTGGGGTACAATTACTTGGTACGAGTACAATGAAATATGCTAGTTACTATTAGACACACAATAGTTGAAAGAAATTAAACAGTGTGGGAGACACATCTGTAACCAGAGAGGCCCGACCTAGGTTGGGGACTAATGACTGTCCAGACTAGTCAGCACGAACCAGGATTGTGTTGTACTTTGCGAGCCAAAGCGTCCCTTTGGCAACCGCGTAATTGTGGCTGGACAGGCCTGCCATGTTTTTTGCCTCAACATTCAGATGGCTTTGGGGTCCTGGTTCCCTGGGGCAGGATCATGACACACATGGCTTCATTTCTTCGGGTTCTCAGGCTGTTCTTTGACATCGTTGTGATTCTGAACTCATAAGGACTGCACTGATGGGGAGTGGACAGGAAGGGTGTTGGAACCTTAGGTGAAACAAGATAATGTAAAACCACTTCTCTGGTCTGTGTGACAGGTACTTATTAGCTGTTTGACACACTTAAGCCCATGGAATGTTTAGCATGGGCCTTGCCTGCACATTGTTCTCATTAAAACACGGAACTGGGCTGGAGCCTTCATCTAAGCTGCCTTCGCACCCCACACCTGGCTACTCCAACATTTAGCTTACCTTACAAATGGGGCATTTTGTAAGGCCTTGTCTGTGCCTGAACGTGTGTGTGGGGGGAAGTTGGGGAGGGGTGTGAGGACTGTCGTCTCAGTCTGGGGACAAACTCCCTGAGCATGTGGCTGTGTCATACATATGTCCTCGATTCCCGAGGGCCATGAGGGGGTGGAGGTCTGCATTGCAAACCGAGGCAGGAACGAAGACGGTGCTTGGACGACAGAATGGACACCAGGGACGTCCTTAGGTTTGGAGGATGCATTTGCTGTCGAGCCCGGGTGCGTGGAGCTTGGGCAGAAGCTGGGAGCTTTCTGAATTCGGCCTGGGGGGACATGCTCATCAAAGGGGTTTGGGGAAAGGGGGCGGGGTGCTTCGTGGAGTGAGGCCAGTGTTGGACCCCGAGACAGGCCTAGGGCCAGCTACCACGCTCGCGGGTTTGCCGGGCCCACAAGGCTGGGGGCCCCAGTGCGGGTGCAGCCGCGGCCCGGGGCTTCCCGCTGGCCTCGCCCTCAGTGTCCCAGGTTGCCCGTATGTCACTGAGGGGGGCGGGGGTCGGGTCGCTGCGAAGGCCGCCTGGGCGGTGCTGTCTGCTCTGGGCCGGGGTTTCGGTTTAGTCCTCGATGGCCAGGGCGCTCGACCCCGCGCACCTGCCCCGGGCCCGGCAGCGCCATTTCCGCCCGGCCTAGTCCGCCCCTCCGCGCAGTCCGCTACTCCGCCGCCGTTCCTCCCTTGTCACTCACCTGAGTGCTGCCAATCACCACCCTCGGACGGTGATTCGAGGCGAAGGGGCGGTGACTGCCCTGGGCCAATGAACGCGCAGACTGCAAGGAGGGGCGGGCCTGCGGGTGTGGGCGAGCCAATCCGGGAGCCCCGGCGCGGCTGCGGCGAGGCCCCGAGTCCCGCGCCGGCTTCCCTAACATGGCGGCCGCGAGGGACGGCTGCAGCTTGGGCGAGGCGGCCGCCGGGAGCGGGCGGCGGCTCCACCTGGGCATCCCCGAGGCTGTGTTTGTGGTAAGAGGCCCGCGGGCGCGGAGCAGGCGGATCCCCGGCCGCGGTCGGGTCCGGGGCTGGGCGTGGACACGGCGGAGGCCGGGCGGCCGAGACGGCCCCCGGGAAGGGGCGCGGAGCGGGCGGGGGCCGCGGGCGCGCCGGCCCGGGAGGTCCTGTTCCGCCGCGGAGGCTGCGGTCCGACGCCGCCGCTTCCTGACCGCACCCGGTCGCGACCCCGCGTTCCCGCAGCTTCCGGAGAGCCGGCAGTGCGCGCTCGGGGCACGCCGCGGAGGCCCACGCGTCTCCCGGCCCCGGTGGGGGCAGCCCAGCGCACGCCCGACGAGCAGGCGGGCGCCCGACGCCCGCGGCCCTGCCCAAAGCGGCGGGTAGCACGTCGGGTAACGGGAGCGAATCCGCCGGCCCGCGGGCGCCCGCCTTCCCCGCGCGGCTCGGCTGAGCTGCCGGACTCGACGCGGAATCTTCCTGCGGCCCTGGGTGGACCCGCATCGCGGGGCGTGCCCCGCTTCCTCCCGCCATGCCTCCGCCTGAGCCCCGCTTTCTGGGCAATGCTAGGCCTCTGCCCGCGCGTCGGTCACCCCTTTGCGCCGCTCTCTTCAGCTGCTCGCTTTGGCCCCCGAGCCGCGCCCGCGTGCCCGCATCGCCTCCTCCGCGGACGGAGCTGCCCGTTGGCTGAGTGCATTGCGCCTCCCGGTGCGTGCGGAGTCGGCGGGATGAAGCGCGCTCTGCGGAGGTCTCCGATGGTCCCTGGGGCTCCCGCACCCTGTCCCGCTTCTTGCCCCCCTCCCGCCCCGCTTCTTTGAGGACCGCTCGTGCGGCGCCGCCTGGGGGAGCAGCGCTGCTCGCCCTCAGCGTTTCTTTGCTTCTGTGTGCTCGTCGGCCTCGCTCTACCTCAGTTCCTAGGCCCTTGAGGAGGCCTGCGACAGGCCTGGCACTCTGGCCCTGCCTGTCGAGCTAACACGTAAGCGATAAAGTGCACTTTTGGGTCACATGTGTGTGCAGTCCCTTGCACCTGCAGCCCAGCTCGGGGTGTTCCCAGCTGGAGTGCAGACGGCTGCGAGGTCATCTTCCTTCCCTAGAGGCGCAGGGAGAAGAGGGATGGCCAGGGTAAGTGGCCGTGTGCTGAGTGTGCATGGTGGGTCTCTAATTTACTAATCGCCACATTTTTACCTAAACACAACCCTTTGGAGAAAAGCAAAAGCATTTTCTCAGGTTTTAAACATAAGGCGAAGCAGTCAAAAGTCTGACTCAGGTGTGAGCTCCAGGACTTGACACGTTGTTTCTTTTCTTTTTTTTAACATTTATTTATGTATACAAGAGCTGGGGTGCAGGCCAGAGGTGTGGGGGATGAGAGGATTCACCAGAGACAGAGCGGGGAACAGAACAGGCAGAATGACTGAAATACACTGCTGAGGGGAGCAGTGGGCAAGTCGGGAGAGGTCTGCTGTGCCATGTGGGTAGCCCCCTGGCCGGGGATCGATCTTGTACTGCAGAGGCTGCGCACAGCTTCATAGGTTGTGTCAACTCTTGTGCCACCAGGGAGGCCCGACATGTGTTGTTTCTGCATTACAGGAAGACGTGGACTCGTTCATGAAGCAGCCTGGGAACGAGACTGCGGACGCCGTGCTGAAGAAGCTGGATGAGCAGTACCAGAAGTATAAGTTCATGGAACTCAACCTTGCCCAAAAGAAGAGGAGGTAGGTGTGAAAATCCCAGGGGCCCTGCCCTCCTCTTGGACCTCCGAGTTCTGAGTCACAGCAGCAGGGTGTGACCTTGAGGGCAACCACATGCTCCCAGCACCTGCGGGCGCTGCAGGCGGTGCAGACTGGGAGGTTGCAGGTGTATAGATCAGGGATGGGTGGGGTGGGGCAGGCCCACTGAAGGATCAGGAGCTTGCAGGATGCCACCGTTTTGGAAAGAACCTTCGAACTGCCCTGTGAGTGCTGCTCTGCATGTGGGAATCCTGCACTTTCCTTATCTGTGCACTGCACTTCCCAAAAAGTGGTACAAGTGGCCTGAGTGTGGCAGTTTGTTTTCACTGTAAACAGAACAGTAAAAAGGAGAGGTCCCCTGCAGGGAGGTGTTAGGGAGAACATGCACCTCAACACTGAAACGGGGGTAAACCTGCATCACAGCCCGTGAACACTAGTGGTGGGGTATGGGATAGTGTTGGGGCGAAGAGGGTACTCCCCCTAGGGGTACAGCTCCTCGGAGCTACTGGAAGCAGGGGGCCGCGGCCCTCAGAGGAGAATGCGGGCGCAGCAGGCTTGGGGAAGGGCAGGGGTGCAATCCCAGACTCGGTGGCGTAGCCTTTTGACATCCAAGTGGAAATGTGAAGGAGACAAATGAACAGCGAGCATGAACTGAGGCATGGCGGCGCAGAGCTGCGTGTGGTCAGGGGCGCCAAGACGCCACCTGTGCAGGCCCTGCGGGGTTTGCCCACTCGAACAGCAGCTGCTCATCTGTCAGGGCTGGGACTCGCAGGTCGTGCGCGTGAGAGACTTTTCTTCCCTTCATGACTCTCCTTCCTTCCTTGTGGTGTCTTGACGAATAGGTCTCCGTTCCCGCGTCTTCGCCAGTTTCGCTTTCTGAGCCTCTTCAAGACCCTGCCCTGCGTGCCGTGTTGACAAGCACAACCCCGTGTTTTCTTCTGAATCTTTTAAAAGTGCTGCTCTTTATATTTAACTCCTTAACCCACTCTTCGGCGGTCTTGGTGCCATTTAATTTTAATATAATCCGACTTCACAGTGTCTTCCCTGGAGCTCAGCGCAGCCTATGTCCCAGGGAAGAGGTAGTTCCGCCCACCGGAGATGCCCTGGGGCTGTTTTGTTCTCCAGGCTTGATTGTTTTTCTTCCACCCAGAACTGTGTTGCTCTGTGTCAGCATTGGGGCTTGGAAACATGTTCCTATGTCCGTTCGCTGTAGGTGGATGCTCTTGATCCTATTCAGGCTGGATTTGGGGGGCGCTGCCGCTTCATTGCTCTGTGCCCTGTTCCTGCGCTGAGAGGCAGGGCACGCCCAGTCGTCTGCGCACTGCTCAGTGCTACTGTCTGTTCCCTGCTGTTCCCTGCGGGCGGCGGAGCGTGCGCTTCTCCTGCCTCTGTCTGGGCCACGTCCTCCTGGGCTGGTGCCCTCCCGGTGCTCCTTGCTGGAAGTGGCTGCGGGAGGGTTCTCCCCTTGCGGGCGCCTCAGGCTCGCCCTCTGGAGCCTGGTTGTGTGCGTGTAGGGACTACTGATTTCTGCGTGCTCATTTTGAAACCTGCTGCTTCACATCCTCTGCAAATGGCGCTCACCTCACTGCTCCTATCCCTGCGTGAGCTCCTGGTCTGTCTTCCCCTGGCCTCGTCGCCCTGGCTGGGACCCTGGGACTGTGCAGACGAGCAGCGGGGAGAGTGGACCGGAGTCTTGTTCCAGACCTTCTGGGGAAGGCGCTCTGTTTCCCGCCGGCGCGCCTGGTAGCAGCTGTGCGGTCGTCATATGGGGCTTTTGCTCTGTCGAGCTGTGTGGCTCTTGTCCCGTTTCCGCGCCTTCATCATACGTTGGCGTTGGGCTTCGTCAGGTGCATTCTCGGCATCTGCTGACGGGATCACGCGGCTTTGCTTTTTTTTTTTTGCGATGTGGTGAGTTACATTGATTGGTTTTTGGCTGCTGAGCCCATCTCGAGTCCCCGGGGCGGTCACCCTCGGTCACCCTTGCACGTATGAGCCTTGAGGCGGCTTTGGGCTCGGTGTGCTGGGATTTGGGCAGGATTTTTGCATCCGTGCTCGTTGGGAGGTTGGTCTGTAGTTTTCTTTTGTGTGTTGTCTGCGTGTGCACTTGGCGTTCGTGTGATGTCGGCCTCGTGAGATGTATTTGGCAGTTTTCCTTCCTTCTCGATTCCTGGGAAAGACTTCTCACTGGGGTGCTGCCTGCTGTTGCCGAACTCCTCCCTGCTGCCTCCCGGGGGATCTCGGTGCTCCGGCCTGAGGGCCTCTTGGCCTCTTGTTCCAGCACGGGTGTCTGCCAGAGTCGCTCTGCGGGGTGCCTCCCGCTGCCTCGGCCCTCCTGGCCTGACGCTTTTCCGGTCTGTCTCTCCCAGGCTCCGGCTTCGGTCCTGTTCGCACGGGAGGCCTCCGTGTGCGGGCCGCGGGCTTGCGGCCGCTGAGTCTGTTGAGGGGCTCTTCATCTTGGCACTGCGGAGACCGTGCTTGCTGGCCTTGCTCCGTCACGCGTCTGTGGCGCTTAACTGCCCCTCAGTTTCTGTCACTGGACACCTGCGTGGTTTCCCTCAGAGGACGTGGCTTTTGCCAGGAGCTGGACGTCTACCAACCTTGACCCCTTGAGCCCTGTTCCAGGCTCTTTCACTTGGTGTCGGTGAACTCGGCCGCAGCTGGAGTCTCACAAGACCTGCTTTTTTCTAGTTCTCACTGCTCAACCCAAAGCCTTTTCCGGGTTTTTCCCCTTTCATTTTTTCTGGGCTTTCCCGGCGCCCTGTGATACCAGCTGTGCAGCCGAAGAACTTCGCGCCTGCTGTACCTGCTTGGCAGCTGGTGGCTCCAGCCTGACAAGTCGTGTTGACTGTCACCATCCCTCCAGCTACGTGAAAGCTCGTTGCTATTTCATGGTTATCTTTGGGGTGATCTTCTCTTGCGCATGTGACTCTTACTCCTTTTCTCTTTTTTAAACTGGACATTTTGTGTTTATCACATTCTCGCTCTCCCCGGCTCTCCTCCTGGGCTGGGTGCTCTTTGGCTGCCGCAGCATTTCCTCTCCCGCTGCCCGGCCCCGGCACTTGGAGGTGTAGCCGTGAACGCTTCACTCAACCATCGCGTCTCTTACGCTAGAAGTTAGCTTGGTTCTTCGAACAGCTGCTTGTTTCTTCACAATACCTGTATCCTGTCCGCTCCCTGGAGGTTTTAAAGTACTTTCTCTAGGGTCCTCTTGTAGGCTTTCGTTTCCTCTGATAGAGGTGGTTCAGATTATTGTCTTTATCTCATTGCAGTGGCAGTTAGCACCTTATCTCCTTCCTTTTCCCTTCAGCTCATAGTCCCTGGGGACAGCAGTCATTTCTGGTGGGAATGGGGGTGATTGAAAGCCCTCTCGGTGGGGGGCAGATGCAGCTGCTCCTTTCCCTGACCAGGTCCCTTGGTCTCTGGGGGATTCGTGCCTGCGCTGGGCTTCCCTGTAGTCCCCTCTGAGTGGGGGTGGGGAGAGGGAGCTGCCAGTTCTGTTCCTCGGTTCTCTGTTCCTCGGCCCCGCCTGCCTCCTCCCCTGCCCCTGCCCGCCTGAGCTCAGGTTCTGTGACCACCCAGGGCCACGTCGAGGGAGAACAAGACATGGCTAGCAAGTTCTGTCTCGATCTTAGTCCCCTTTTGAATCTGCTTCCCTCCTAAGCTGCTGTCACCCTGCTCGCTCCTGGGTAGGGGACCTAGAGATTTCCATTGGTCATGGAACAACAAAGTTGTGTTATTCATAATTGAATATTATGTGGAGTGAAATGAATAAATCTTAGGAACCTACTTTAGTCAACAAATCAAACCCCAGAAAAGTACAGACGACATGAGACCATTTATATCGAACCAAGAAACCAGCAGTGAACATGGAGGGTGTGTTGCTGGGACGTGCGCGGCGGCCTTGGTGATCTGGGTCCTAAGGTGGCTGGGGTCACAGCTGCTTGACTCATCCACACACCTCGTGACACTGTCACCGTGGTGTTTGTCCATACGCCACAGGCACCAGCCCCATGACCAGAATAACTTGATCCCAACGCACTCTTTAGGTGTGTACCAGGCATTTTACAGATGAACCTCTATGCTTTTTGGCGCTTACCTGTATCAATAAATCATATAAAGAGAAGCAAAACTGAGAGCACTTCAGCATCCATGTTGAATTACTCAGAGTTCACAGGCCATTAGCCTGCAGGCTCTGGAAGAAAACAAGCCAATGCTAAGTGTATTTCTAGACTGTTCGCTGAATTGTATTATCTGATCGCTGTCTTTACATCTAACACATCTGCCAGGTCAGTAGCACAGGATGTAATCACGTCTGCCCGCCAGCTTGCTGCACATGCTGTGACTAGCTTCTTTGTATGATGCAATAAGTGCGTTTTCATGATCATATTTAAATTTTGCCTGTATGCTGCTCTCCAGTGTGTCTGGTGATGAATTCTGCAGGAATCACAGCTTTGTTGTTGTTTTTTTACTGAGGTGACATTGGTTTACAATGTGTTTTAGAGGTGTAGGAGCTCTCCCTTTGGGTGTAGTTACCCACTACCCAAAAACCGTAGTCTTCCACCACAGGCCATTGTGCTCCCTCCTGGCTTTGTCCCCAACCTGAAGCCTGAGTTCTTTAGTCAGGTTTTAGGGTTGCTGTTGGCTCGCCCTCACCTGACCCTGTCTGCGCTCTCTGTGCCCACATGTAAGTGCACCATCAGTACTCACTTTTCTCCTCCTCCCTCCCTCATGTGCTTTGGCACAGCCCCTCCAGTTCCATCCATGTCACAAACGGCAGGTTTCTCCTTTTTCATAGCTGAGTAGTATTCCATTGTGTAGAGAGACCACCTCTTCTTGGTCCATCATCTGTTTTGGGGCACTTCGGTTGTTTCTATAACTTGGCTGCTGTAAATAGGGCTGCAGGGGACCTAGGAGTGCGTATTTCCCTTCAAATGACTGTTTATGTTCTTGGGTAGACACTTTGTATTTGGATGTGTTTTTTTACAAATTGCATTAGAATTTGACAGGGACTTAACTGTTACCTCCATGCAGAACCCTCAAAAGCCTAGGATGGCATCTCATCACCAGAAAAAAAACAGCTGAAGCTCAGCGACAAAAATGTTTCCTCCTTTGCTCTAAGTGACTTTGAGTGTTTTCCCCTTAATTTTTCATCTTATATTCTTTTTTTTTTTTTTTAAATTTTTTATAGAGGCATGTTTATTTATATTTATTTATTTGTTTGTTTTGTTTATACATGCACTGGGTACAGTCAGAAGCACGGGAGGGTGAGAGAATTCACCAGAGCCAGAGTGGGGAGCAGAGCAGGCAGAAGGACCGAAGGACACTGCTGAGGGGAGCAGCGGGCCGCAGGAGAGGTCTGCACGCCATGTGGGACCCTCCTCTGGTGGCTGGGGAGCAGCCGGGGATCGAACCGGCGCCGCAGAGGCTGCGGGCAGGTTCGCAACCCAGCGCTCAACCGCTGCGCCACTGGGGAGGCCCCATCTTATATTCTTGATAGTGAAGTTTATTTCATCTGGGAATCAGTTGCTCATAGTTTTCGTTTTCACATTTTTTAACGGGATTTTTTTTTTTTTTAACAGCAGTTTTAGGTTCATAGCAATGTTGAGCAGAGAGTGGAGAAAGGCCCCTTCACCAGCCGGGGCCCTGGTGTGTTAGCTTGCCAGGGGTCACACTGGTTTCATCCATTTTACTGGTTTTGACAAGTACATGCATTGTAGTTTTGCATTTTACATTGAGGTCTGTGGTCTGTTTTCAGTGAATTTTTGTGGAAGGGCATATGGTCCGTGTCTAGATTCTATGTGTGTGTCTGCGCGTGCACATGCATGCAGCGGTGCAATCATCTCAGTGGTTTCCCTAGTAGCTGTAACTTCCTTTTGCATCTGATCAGTCTCATTGTGCCTGTCATTTTTTCTTTCAATTTCTCGTGTTCAGGCCAATGAGCCAGTCGTAATTTTAAGAGCAATTGTTACGTTACTTGAAAAGAGACTAGCATTCATCGCCGTGACGTCAGAGAAGTTGCCCCAAGCTTGACAGGCGTTGCTGCATCTGCTCTTGGCACCCGCCATGCCGCACGGTTCAGCGCCGGTGCTGATCATGTCTGTGCTTTCCGGCTCAGTGTGGTTCATTCTTGCACAGTTTGACTTCTCCCCTCAGGTGGCGGCCCCACAGTTCTCCTAGCACCAGCCCCCGCGCTCTGTCCCCGCTGTCCCTCCCCCGCCGGAGGCCTCAGCTCTGTGTTCAGCCTGCTGGCTTCTTCTTTCTCCTGAGCCTTTGCTCGGTTTCCTTGTGCTCTGCATGGAAGTGACAGCACCGTTTTCACTTTCTCCTGACTGCCTCCACTTAGCGTCATCCCTCCAGCTGCACCCACGCTGCTGCAGAAGGCCCGGGTTATCTGTTGTGATCCATTGTGTCTATAGACCATGTTCTTGATCCGTTTTCTGGTTTTGGGCAGTTAGGGCTGGGGTTTGCTTTTTGCCTCTAAACTACCAAGTTAACCCTTTTTCTTTTTCATAGGCTCAAAGGGCAAATTCCGGAAATTAAGCAGACTTTAGAAATTCTAAAATACATGCAGAAGAAAAAAGTAAGTACATTTTGTTTGTAAATACGCATGAACCAGAATACTTGGGCAGAAATGGGGCTTCCTTTAGCCCTTGACCCTGATGCTGGGGCTCTGCCTCCTGAGCACATGCGCTGGCATCACACAGTGGGCTTCCCGGAGAAGTGCGACCTCGTGGCTTCCCCCAAATTCAGGTTTAAGTTAAGGCCTCAGATCTCGGGTTACTTTACTTTCATGTAGTACTTGCAAAAGTTTAGTGCCCTCTGAAATTATTTTGGGTGTGAAAAGGCAATGTCTTTTTTTTTTTTTTTTTAATAGAGGCATGCTTTATTTATTTGTTTGCTGGTTTGTTTGTTTGTTTGTTTACACATGCACTGGGTACAGTCAGAAGCGCGGGAGGGTGAGAGAATTCACCAGAGCCAGAACGGGGAGCAGAGCAGGCAGAAGGACCGAAGTACACTGCTGAGGGGAGCAGCGGGCGGCAGGAGAGGTCTGCGCGCCATGTGGGACCCTCCTCCGGTGGCCGGGGAGCAGCCGGGGATCGAACCGGCACCGCAGAGGCCGCAGGCAGCTTCGCAACCCAGCGCTCAACCGCTGCGCCACCGGGGAGGCCCGCAATGTCTTTTTTTGAGGTAGCAGCGTCTAAGGGCTTGCTGTTTATCATCCCCCTCAGACTAAGGAGTCCGAGACTCATAGAGGTGGTTCTCATTTCCATGTTAAAGAAACAGTTACTGAGAAGTCACACCTGACAACTGTGTTGTGTAGCTAGTTAGTGGCAGCACTGAATTTGAGACTGTTTCATCCAATACTTGTTAAATAAAGCCAGGCGCTGCAGATTAGATTTTGTAAAGCTGTTGTGTGTAAAGACAGCACGTGTGTGATCTACTGCTTGGCTGGTGAGCACCGACCCTTCGGTGTATAATGTGTGGTATGCACGGGAGAGACTCCAGACAACTGGCCGAGCGTGAAGCACTGCTGAAGTAATGCTCATGGCCGACTGTGGGTGCGCCAGGGCATGGGGGGCGTGGGGTGTGCACACGCACACACACACTGCTTGTCATAGCCTTCAGAGTTGTAGGGACTCTTCCTCTTACCTCAGTTTTACGGGAAAGGAACGTGGGGCACAGAGAGGCTAAGCGATGCCCAGTCCGCACCTAGTGAGCAGCCGAGCCACGCGCTGTGGCAGGTATCCGCCTGCACCTGTCTGCCGCTGTGGCTCGGCCCGTGCTTTCCCTGTAAGCCTGGTGCTGTGCGGGCCTGTTCACGGGCCTGTTCACAGTCCTGTCACTTTTTTGAAGGAGTCGACCAGTGCGCTGGAGACCAGGTTCTTACTGGCGGACAACCTGTACTGCAAGGCCTCCGTCCCTCCTACCGATAAAGTGTGCCTCTGGCTGGGGGTAAGTACAGCGTTCCCCTCCCTGTGACTAGCGGGGATGAGGCCAGTGTTCTGCTTCCTGTCAAAACGTGACTGACAGGAGTGTCATGATGACTGTCATGAAGATGTGCCCGGGTCTGCTCCCTGAAGTTATTTTGAATCTCTGAGTACAGATACAGTATTTATACCCCTGCTGGGCCTCAGATAGCTGTTTCTTCCTCATAAGAGTTCCTTCTAGGAGGGCTCTACACTTAAGATTGGAGCCCATTTTTTGACCCCATCACAGACCTTGTCTGTGCTCTCCTGGCTTTGTGCTCTGTGTCCTGAAAAGCAAAATGAGAAGCAATAGAAAGTGGCTGTGAGGAGCCAGGGGGACCTGTGCTTCATCGAGTTGCTGAATCTTTGGTTTTCTTTCTTTCTTTTTTTTTTTTTAAGATTTATTTATTTATGCATGTAAGAACTGGGGTACAGGCCAGTGGTGTTGGGGGGGGTGTGAGAGGATTCACCAGAGACAGAGTGGGGAACAGAACAGGCAGATCTACTGAAATATACTGCTGAGGGGAGCAGCGGGCGCGACAGGAGAGGTCTGCTGTGCCCTGTGGGTCAGCTCCCTGGCCGGGGATGGAACTTGTGCTGTAGTGGCTGCCGACAGATTCACAGTGCTGACATTTAACCCCTTGTGCTACCAGGGAGGCCCCGAATCTTTGGTTTTCTAATCCTTGTGCAGTTGGTCATCTATGCACTTGCAAGTGCTCACGGGGCACCTGCTTCTGCCTGATGCCTCTGTGTTGTCTCGGTGGCCTTCACATGGACCCTTTGAGTCATTTTTAAAAGCCGTTTGTCAGATGAGGAAAGCTGTTTTTCTGCCCTGGCCAAATGTAGATACTGAAGTGATTCTCAAGTTCAGAAAGAACTGTTTAAGTTCACTCAGTGATGTTAACACCACTGGGTCATGATGGAATTTGACATGGAACGTGGGTTCTCCTCATGCCTGTTAGCTCAGTAGCTGTGCAAGCTCCGCGACTGGGCCTTGCGTGGCCTCCAGTTAACTGCAGAAGGTACCTCACCTCACTGGGGTTGTTCCGAGGAGTAGATGATACTGGGAGTGTAATATCTTCTCCCGCTCAGGTAGTGTTACAGATGCGCAAACGAGTCTGGAAGTTCCCTAACCTGCGGCTTTGCAGCCCGTGTGCTCTGTCACGATTGCTTGTGCACCGGTGGGCCGGAGTGTAAACGCAAGGCCGGCTGCTCACTGTGCCCGCAGTCTATGGTCTGAGAGCCTTTTCTAGCCTGTCAGGCCTGTAGTGTTCACTAACCACCGGGCCTTCTCTCTTCAGGCGAATGTGATGCTTGAGTATGACATTGACGAAGCACAGGCACTGTTGGAAAAGAACTTATCAACTGCCACAAAGAATCTCGATTCTCTTGAGGAAGACCTTGACTTTCTTCGCGATCAGTTTACTACCACAGAAGTCAGTATCCTTTCTTAAAAAGTAAGCGAAAAAGGAGGACAGGAGAGCAGTGTTCTGGGTTCGTTGCTCTGGTGAGGAGCTTCCTCTGGGTCCGTGTGCCACTTTACTTTATGAGGGTGATACATAACATGCCTGGAATTCTTACTTGAGTCTGCATCTGGCATCCGCGATGTGGTTCTCTCACAGTGGTTCACCTTTTCGGAGTAGCGTAGGGTCCTTCTAAGCCTGAGGACAAAAGCATGGCTCTGACACTTGGTGCTGAATAGCAAATGTGTTAGAAATGCAACACGTCATTCAAGAAAAATCAGAAAATTGAAAAGAACATTTGGATTCTACTTGCAGTCCCCGGGGTGGAAGGGGTGGAAACAGCAGTTCAGATATTTTCTGAAGACGCCTTCATGCCTAGTTAAGCGGTTTGGCTCCACGGGCATTTATTAAGGGCCTCCTGTGTTCTGCCGCTGTGCTGCGCGGCGTCGGGGACATCTGCTGGGGCGTCGGTGCCGCGTCTCGTAAAGTTGGAACTGCACTTGGAGAGTAAGTAGCTGAGCGCTTCAGAGCAGAGGATACACTCGTGTACGCACCGCCAGGGAAGTGGAAAGCTAGGGAAGGATGGAGGGAAGCTGGACTCGGGTCAGAGAAGACTTGGAGAAGAGAGAACTGCGGCAGACTTCAGAGGTCGTGTGGGGGGTGGGCAGCAGGATGAGGCTGGGGGGTTCTGGGGGGCACGTTGGCGGGTTGGGCTGGTGCTTTGCCTTTCCTCTCTGACCTGTCTCTCGTCTCTGTACGCAGTCCCTAGCCCCACCGAGTCAGCTGGGACGGACACCTGTAGGCACCCCCGGGGCCAGTCACAAGTCTCTTTCCCTGCCCTTCCAGAACCTAGGCTCACCTTTCTAGCCCTTTCCAGCACGACCTCACTGAGCTACACTTCGTGCTTCCTCTGGGCACAGCACTTTAGTGCGCCCTTGTCACATGCACGGCCAGTCTCGTCTTTGTCCCTCCACCCGGAATGATAGCCCCGGATCCTCACTCGCTCCTTTGACTCTGCCTGTTTCAACTCGAGCATCTGGACACTTTGACCCTTGGGGCTTTGCCGATGCTCTGTGCATGTCAGGCTTCGCGCGCCATCCTTACCCATTGCGCAGGCCAGCGCATGAGTGGGGAAGTCAGGCCTGCTCATGCCTTGAACAGGGCTTGGCATGTGACTAGTGATGTGGCGACTCCTCAGGGCTTGCCATGGCACAGATGACCTTGAGCACAACACGGAACACACGAGGCAGGGAGGAGACCGCGGGCCTCGGCTGTGGGCGCTGCTTCTGCTGACAGTTCGGTCAGCCTCAGGGAGGGTAAGAGGCCCAGTTGCTGAGAATTAAGTTCACTCATCTAAGTATCACCTGTCAAGAGACGGCTCAAGGGCCTTGGAAGTCGCTCGGGCAGAGGGAGGCTCTTTCAGACTGGTGTTGAGCAGAACGCGCTTGCTGGTTGCAGACTCGAGGTCTTGGCTGTGCGGGACTTAGTCCCGGGCTCAGGGGCGGCGCCCTGTGAGGATCGTGTCTGTCCAGGGCGTGTGGACTGCACTTGCGTTTTCTTTGACAGTCCTTGCAGATATGGCCAGGGTTTACAACTGGGATGTGAAAAGAAGAAACAAAGACGACCCCGCCAAGAACAAAGCATGATGCTGGCAATTAAAAATGTGATTCAGTTTTCCAAACCTGTTCTTTTAACTACCCCGAACTTTATTCTGAAAGGTTGATAGAATTTTCAGTGATTTTTTTTTTAACAGCAAGAATAATTAAAACTTTTAAAAAACATAAACATCATTTTATTTATTTATAAAAACAAAATTAGTTTCAAACACTTTATGCTATCAGCAGTATTATTTTCCCCACATCTCCAACACAGCAAACGCCGCTTTCATCATTTTGTTATGTTTCTTTGTTGTAGTAAAGTCTTAGCCGAAATGGCCGAAAACTGTGAGGTCTGCGGCAGAAGCTAAATTCTGGACACGTTAGCAGTTTCATTTTTCTTTGCGGCTCATTTTACTCTCACTTTGATGAGATGGGGCCAGTTTAGAGGCAGGAAGAAGTCGCTCTGAGTGTTTGCAAACTTGTTTTTCTTTGGTAGACGTGGGGCTCTGCTGGCTCGTGAATCACTGCTTGGCCGGAACGTTGCGCTCTCGTGCGCTTCTCAGGAAACGGTCCTTTGCCTTCCTGAACAGCACGAGGGCCGCTGAGACACTTTTCTTACCCCGTGTTAATGTGCAGTGTCTTCGCGATGCCAGCCGTTGGGGGATCTTGGCCACCGTGAAATAACGTCACTCTTACTTGAGGCAGTTTTGTATTTCTTAGCAGTTCTCCAAAGCAGCTGAACAGTAATCTTGAGATAAATATAAATCTTCAGTGGTTGACAAGAGTTGTGAGCTTTTTTATTCATGAAAAAACCTCATAGGAATAGTGAAAACTCCCCGTGGAAAGCTGTTGGCATGGAGGCCAGTAGCAGGCGCTACGCATTCTGGGAAACATAACGGTCGTATTCTCTCTCCGTGTAGTGACAAGTACACTTGTCCAGTGTTTTGTACGTGTATTTCATGTTATTAAAGCAGTGAAGTCAAAACTGGCACCTGTTTTCCTGTTATTCTTTCTGACGCTTCCCTGTTTGTCAAGGTTATTGTGCAAATAGCTAGCGCGGCCCAGGGCTGCTTACATCTGTAGAAACAACATAAGATTCCTTCGGCAGGAGTTCAGACAAGCAGACATTTGCGAAGTTAAATAGTAAAGATACCAATGTTCCTTGGATCAGTTTTGCTTTCAAAATTTTAAACCCCAGTGTTTAAAAATTTGAAGCTTATAATATCTTTGAGATATTGTCAGTGCTACTTTTCCCCAAACTTTATTAAGGTAAATATTTGGGTACGAAATGTTCCTGTTGATGTTAGGACAGAAATCATGTGCTCAGAGGGCTTTATCTTATTTTATATCCATGAAAATCTGAATATGAATTTTTGGGTACTCCGAAGAATATGAAGAAACATAGCTGTTTAGAGGTAGGAATCAAAGAACGAAATTAGGGTAGTCAACAAATATAAAAGCGGAATTTGTGTCAGAAACAGTACTAGGCTGTTAATTAAATAAAAGAAGTGTCTGCATCTGGCTTCTGCGACGTGGTTCTCTCGCAGTGGTTCACCTTTTCGGAGTAGCGCAGGGTCCTTCTAAGCCTAAGAGGACAAAAGCGTGACTGACACTCGGTGCTGAATAGCAAATGTGTTAGAAATGCAACACGTTCATTCAAGAAAAATCAGAAAATGGAAAAAACATTTGGGTTCTACTTGCAGTCCCCGTTAATGTTTCTACATCTTCCATTTCTTTTTTATATGCATAGGGTCTTAAACAAAGAAATAGTCTTCTCTAATTTGTACCCTACTTTCTTCGCCTAAGGCATTTGCTTATGGCACTGTCACATTGACCTAGTTTTACTGGTTTTGTAGGAATTCTGAGGGGAAGCTGCCATTCACAGTTAGACCTTGGGTTTTAAAAATATTTTCTCTGGTAAACATTTTGGTAAAACACAAGTAGAAAGTAATTCAGTTGAAATTTTCATGTGAGAGTTTTTCTCTGTGTTTAGAATTTTTCCCGAGACCAGGTCACCAAAAATGGAATCATGGAGTCAGGATAGTGTTTTTACTTTCTGGGGTTAAGTGAGAACGTGTTTGCTGCGGCCCCGGCAGGGGGCAGGGGGTTGTCAAAGTGTTATAGAGCAACCCCGATATTAAACGGGTTCCTGGCTGTGGGTCCTCACCCGCGCGCTTTAAAGGGACTTATGAATACTCCACTACAGACACACGCAAAAGGGTTAATAAAAGGTTTATTTACAAGAGAAAAAGAAATAAGGAAAATGGACAACTCAGGGAGAAAATAGGGAAATAAAGTCTTTAATGCGTCCTACCCGATCCGCCGACCTGGAAACCCAAAGTCACTCTCAGAGCTGGCCGGACGCGGCGAGCAGGCGGAGAGCCAAAATGGGGGATCCCCAAAGCCCACGTGTCTGCCTTTTGTATCCACCTGGCTGCTGAACCCCACCCTCAGGTCCCAGCCACCTTCCCTTGGGTGGTGATGGGATTTGGAGTTCCCAGTGTCTTTGGCTTTGACCTGGGGTGGGGGTGGAGTCCACAAAGCCTGTATGGAATTTGCTTTGGGACAGCCTGTTCCCCTTAACAATTTGCTTTGGGACATCCTTTTCCCCCTAACAAAAGCACCACTCACCCCCTGCTGCCTCCCCTCCTCACCTGCACGGAGACCCTCAGCCTGCTCTGCAAGTCACGAGGTGGGGGGCACCAGCACACTGCCTCCGTGGGGACCCTCACAGCAGCACCCAGTCTGTGCAGGCAGGTACAGGAGCCGCCCTGCCTTAGGGCCTCTTGCGTCATACCCTCGTGACAGTCCCTGCACCCCAAGTAGGGCAGGGCCCTTGGGCAGCCCGGGCTGTGGCCCCCAGCAGCTGTTTCCCTTCATGGGCAGCCCCTCCCCCTGGCGTTTTCCAGGCGCTGCTCCGCTCGGCTCTGGGGTCAAAGCTCCACCTTCTGCGGCTTTGCAGAGGAAGCTGCTGGAAATGTAGTCCCACTCAGCTCTCTGCCTCAGAGAAGGGGGCCGTCAGGTCATCACGCCCGTGTTTCCCATTGGCCTCTTCCTTTTCTGGCTGCGCTTATGCGGCTCCCGCGGCAATTGCTGCCTCTGCAGAAGGCGCTGATGTTCAGAGACCTGGACAGCCGGTGAAGCCCGGTCGGCTGGGGGCGCAGGTAGCTGCCACATCTCAAGATGACATTGCTGGGGAGCCCTTTCCTCCTGGTCTGGGGCGATGCCGTGGACGAAGTGACGCCGTTCATTGCAGGCCGAGTTTTTAGGCCAGTGGGTAACAATTTTCAGGCGTAAACTAAGATTTTATAGCTCTGAGCCGTGGCCCGGGGCCCTGTGCGCCCAGGGTTCTGCGCCTCGGGCTCGGGCTCAGGCCAGTGCAGTCAGCTTCCTCCCCGGGTCAGAGCCGTGGACGCCAGTGGGAAAATGGGACTCGGAAAGGAGGCGTCTCCACAGAGCCGCCCCCGCTGCGTGCTCAGCTCGCGTCGGGATGGGATCGGGTGGTGGCTTCTTGCTTCTGCCGGAGCCTTGATGGTCACTGCTGCCGTCCCGGGCCGGGCCTTCCCGTGTCCACTTGGCGCCGCATTGAAACGCGGACAGCCGTGGGCTGTGCTGGTGGCCTGTGGGTGCTTCGGGGGGAACAGCCCTGGATGCAGGGTCCTGTGTGGCTAAAATACAGACGACGAGGCAAAACAAACCGCTGCTGCCATCGGGATTAAAAATAAAGTCTTGGCCAACTCCAAAAAAAGACAGTGGGCTGTGGTCACCTTTGCCTTCTCTGCTGGACCCTTGGCTACCTGAGGGGATGAGGCCTGAGGGTGAGGCTTCACCAACTTTCTGGCCAGAGCCTGTGGAGATGCATTTTGTCCTGCGGAAAGGGCAGGCCAGTGGCTACGCAATGAAGTGGCTCTGGAGGTGAGGCCTGAGGGAGGCCACCCTGGGGCCTGGCGGACTGGTGAGCCGGGAGCTGCCCTGAAACCTTTCCTCCCTGGGCCCTGTCATCCCCACCGCCCCGTCCTTCACCCAGGCCACAGGGAAAGAGGGTGACAGTGCAGACAGTACATTGGGCCCAAACTGATTTGGGGTGAAATCTGCGTTAACTAGTAACTGAAGGAAACATTTCTCACCCATGCTAATGACTAATTAAAAAAAATACTACTTTTGAGGTGGCATTGGCTTTCAATACTGTATTTATGGACACAGGTTCACGCTTGAAATGCATGTCACACCACACCCACCAGCCAAGTGCCCCTAATTCTCTACCACCAACCAGGGGGCCCCTGCCCTGCTTGCTCTCATTCCCACTTCCCTGGGAGCCTCACCTCTGCTGTCAGATGTCTGGGGGTGGTTCTGCATTTTTTCTCTTTCTTTGTTGCACGTGCAAGTGAACCATCCAGGATCTGTCTTTCTCCCGACTTGCTCGCTTAGCGTCATCTTCAGGTCCTTCCATGTTGTTGCAAATGGCAAGAGTCCATCTTTTTCATAGCTGAATAGTGTTCCGCTGTGTATGCAGACCTGATCCACGCATCTGCTTTTGGGCACATAGGATGTTTCCACTGCTGGACTACTGTCGTTCACCTGCTCCCTCAGGTGACTGTGTTCTTCAGATGGACACCTCGGAGTGGGATGGCTGCGTCATGTGGTAGATCTACTTTTAATACTTGGAGAAACTTCCATACTGTTTCCCATAGAGGCTGGACCAGACCACGTCCCTGAAGAGAGTGACAGTGGGGCGTCCGGAGCATTGACTGCAGTGGCACACAGCCCTCTCACTGCCATCTATTTCTGTGTGCTGGGTTCCAGAGTCCTGGCCCCCCCCCCAGGGTCTTTGCACAAGGAGTTTTATTCAGTTGCTGTTTTGTTAAAGTTGTTTTTCGTCCTACCTTCATACATTTTAAACAAGATCCTGTTGCGTTGATAAAGACTGTCATTTATGACAGATGAAACCTTTGAGAGCATGTGTCTGATGAGTGGCCGTGTCAGCTGGTACCAGGTCAGCAGTGCGAGGGGGAGGCCGGGAACATGGACTGAGCATGTTCTACAGCCTGAAGGTCCCTGTGACATGCTTACATCATGCCTGTCACACTTAGCGAAGGCAGGTCAGAGCAATCAGGAATGGATAAATAGTGCAAATGAAAAGAACTCAAAGCACTTCAAAATTGAACACTTCAGTAACTTTTACGTCAAAAAAAAAAATCAAGACTAGAAGTACAGGTCATTTAGAATGTGGTGCAGTGAGGACAATAGGAAGCTTCAGGATACATGAACCTAAGGGCCTTCGATGTCAAACTCGGAAGAAACAGACTGCGAGCGCCAGTAGCAAGGGGCTGCGGGCATGGGCAAGGGCAGGCCAGGGCTGGAGGCAGGTCAGGGTCACTATCAGCCTTGATCTTTATTGAGAGAGGCTGCTTCGTGCTCTCCCAGGCTTGCCAGTGCCCTAGCGGCCTCACTTCTGCCCTGGTGGCCTGTTGTGGCCCCTTCCTTGGTGCTTGTTGTCAGGCCCTGCCCATCCTGCTTCGCCGTGCTGACCTGCCAGGTCTGTTCACTTGGACTCTGCCAGCTCAGAAATGCCCGCTCCCTGCTGTCCCTGACGTGGTAACTCACGCTCTCAGCTCACGCCCGAGGCTCCAGGCTAGCAGAGGCGCGGGCAGGCGCGCTCCTTGCCCAGCTGCCCGCCTTCGCCAGCCTCTGTGGTTACTGGCGTCGGTGCCAAGGAAGCGGGTCTGCTTCAGGCCCTTTCAGGCCAGAGGAGCCTGGTGGCCGAGGGGAGCCCCACCAAGGCCCTGGGCTCGAGAGCAGCTCCTGTCCGAGAGCCCCTTCCTGGCCCAGGGCCTCCGCAGAGAAGGCTCCGGGGGCAGGAAAGCCCGGGCCCATCTTTCTCACCTCCAAGTACCGTTTCTGCTCAGCCTGACTTCTCTTCTGGGCTCGGGGGTCCTTAGGTTACTCCTTAGGCCGCCAGTGTGTGTATTTGAGGAACTGATCCAATCTTGGTTTGGAAGGTGCTGCCTGCAGAGACTGACGCCCAGATTTTTGTCTGCGCTCACGGTTCCCCCTTCCTGGGAAGCGCTTCCCCATTAAGCCAGGGGTGGCCGCCTGTCTCTCCCCCCCCTCCCCCCAGCCGGCCTCCAAGGGCCAGCCCAAGGCTGCACTGTTGCCCAGTTTCCACACTGGCCACTGGGTGGCGCGCGGACACAGGCAAGACCCCGGGGAGCTTGGGGCCGTGAACATCAGCCCACAGAGGCCAGGCCAGAACTGGAACCGAACATCCCAGATAGATTTTCAGCTAAAAGAAAACTAACATTCTCGATAGAATTTGAACAAGACCCAGGTTGCATGGTAGTCGAGGTGTTCAGATTAGAATGAAAATTACTTGGCATGGGAAGAATCCCGATAAGAATCTCGCTGTGTTGGATCGACAAGTTTCCAAGCGTATTTCCATGCAGCGACTCGGGTGAACACAGCTTTCCTGGCGAGGCTGTTATCAGCCAACCATAAACAGGAATGTAGAAGCAAAGACCCTGACAAAATTAAAAAACACGCCATGAACGAGTTGTTTATCTTAGGTGTGTAAAGACGTGGCCGCCCGTGGACACATGTGCTCATCTGAGCAATGACATTAACAGGCTAAGGCGCGTGCTGCTGACATGGCACTGCAGGTTCCAGTCAGGGGAAAAAGGAAATGCAGTAGAGATATGAGAGAGGGCAGGAGGAAGTCGCTCGTAGATGATGATGCTCATAGAAGCGGGAGAGCAAGCGGAAGCCCAGTTGCAGCAGTAAGAGTCGAGCAAGGTGTGTGGTGTCAAGACGCAGCCGCCAGGCCACGGCGTCCGACACCCTGCAGTGAGCAAAAGCACCAGGGAGCTCAGCAGAAGTTACAGGAATAAACAGAAAGTCGCTAAAACTTCAGCTGTAAGAACTGGCAGATGCAGAGAAGGAAGGGGAGACGGACTCGCTGAGCTTCCGGCAGCATCAGTCCATCCACAGCCTGTCGGGGAACAGGGCCACATGCCGGTTTGCAAGTGAAAATGGGGCACCTCCACAGCGTGCGCCGCGACCGTCGGCGCCTGTCTGTGACCCCGCAGCCGGGCTGCCCTCCCGTGGGCTCGGGCTGGACGGCACCTTGGCTTCGTCACGGGATGACGTACTAGGAGCCATCCCACTGAAGCAGCGCAGCGTGAGGGCAGGAGCAGACGAGCAGTTCGGGGAACTGTAAAGTGAGAGCACGGACCGGGAAGCCTGCCGGCTCCGAGGCGTGAGCGCACGTCAGAAACTTCAGCCGGCAGCCCCGGAGTGCATGTGGAGAGGCCGGCCGACTTGACTGCGATGAGCAGACACTGGTGAACAGACTTCAGACTCCAGGGTCAGTTAGCTGGGAGTAATTATACAAACTACACATCGGACTCCTTTCTCAGTGCGCCAGTCACGGGGAGAGCAACAGCTGCAACGCTGACACAACCGTTTCCAGGGTCTTGTAGACAACATTTCAAATGATGATTAAATCTTAAGTATTACAGACTTATGCACCACCAAACACCATCACTAAAGCTAAAGCCAGAAAGATGTGAAAACGTATTATGTGGTGGATAAAGAGCTTCCACACACAAGGAGACCTTCCTAATTCGTGAGAAAGAAGTCAACCTTTTTCTATTAGGACTAGTCTCGGCTATAAGCGACAGAAAACCAATAACCAAGCCTGAAGAGTTAAACTATTTACTGTTCACTCATCTTTGCAACAAGTTAAAAAATTGACAGTAACACAGCGTAGGCACTGCGCAGGCTTCCTGGGCATCTGGTGAAAGCTCCGTACACAGCAACCTGAGCGCTTCTATCACAACTCGAAGAGTGCATGTTTGATGCGTACATTACACCTCTAGGATTTGACTTGAGGACATAGTTGGTCCACACAGATATTCATGGAGAATGGCTCGAATATCTATATCCCCGGTGCCCACTGGTGAGAACGGGTTGGCTGCATCTTGTCGTCTGTTCATACAACACAGTGCTGCGGTGCCAGGAGACTTTCAGCTACAAGTAGAAACATGGCATAAGCTCAAAGGGGCCTCACTATCTCATGGAAGGAGCTGTGTTGCTATGCCAGGATGGTTGAATCTGTGCCCTGATGGCATCAAGGACCCAACTCTCTTCTGTGCCTGGGCCATTTGCAGTGTGTGAACTAACTTTCCTCCTGGTCGCCTGCAGCAAGTGGCTACCAGGCGCTGCTTGACTGAGAGATGCAGTAATTAGCAAGAACAGGCTGCTCCTGCCTTCAGGCTTCTGGAAAACGACTGCGCGGTTTGAGCGAGCTGCAAATGTTATAGAGAAACAAACGGGTCACCTCATTTCATCTCCACAACGACCCTTTGAGCTGAAGGCCGTGGTTATCCATGTAATGCAGGTGTCAAGAAGACTCAGGTGCTACCTGGGTGTCAGCTGGAACTCATGTTTGCTTAATGCCAATCTCACTCCCTTAACTACCAAGTGGAACAAACAACCTTCTGAAAAGTCAAAAATCTAGAAGGAACTAGACCAAAGCTTTAACAGCCATTACCCTTAGGAACTGCTGACCACAAGTGCAGAAGTGGGGAGGGAGACGAAGTCTGGGCACAGCACAGGCTGGCGGGGTGCTGGTTGCTGGCTGGGAGTGCCCAAAGAACTTTAAAACCAGGTCAATGGACGAGAAGAGCTTGGCGCCTGCATCGCGTGTGTCTCAGGACGGAGCATTGCACTGAAGTGAATTAAGTCAGGGTGATTGGGTGAAAGCGGGATGAGGAAGCAACTGATCGCTCCGGGCTAGAGAAGTGCTGCGGAATTAAGATGAGTATCTGTCTGCCTTTTTTTTTTTTTTTTTGCATAGAAGAACTGGGGTGCAGGCCAGAGGTGTGGAGGGTGAGAGGATTCACCAGAGACAGAGTGAGGAGCAGAACAGCCGGATCCACTGAAATCCACTGCTGAGGGCAGCAGCGGGGAGACAGGAGAGGTCTGCTGCGCCCTATGGGTCAGCTCCCTGGCCGGGGATCGCACTCAGGCCGCAGTGGCTGGTGAGAGCTTGATGGCGCTGAGACTGAAACCCTACGCCCTCAGGGAGGCCCCTAATTCTTACGTTCATGGAACTCAGAATTGGAGAGGTGGGCAGAGGCCAGAGCAAGCACACAGCCCTGGTGGGAACATGAGGCCTAGTTGGATTTTGCTCTAGATGTGTGAGATTGCACCCTGGTGAGTCTTAGCAGCGGTCTGCTTCCTGTGTTGACAAGACTGTGCTGACTTGTGAACGTGTCCCGGGAAGCAGAGCAGAAGCAGGGGGCTCCGTTGGGGAGATGTCAGAGTAGTTCAGGAGCGAGTTGATGGGGCGTGGGCAGAGGGGTGGCCGTGGGGAGGGAGAGAAAGGACTCGAATGTGTTTTGAAGATAGTGTGTGGTGCCTCAGAGCGGGATTGGTAGGGGAGGTGAGGGGAAGTGCGGAGTTCAGGCTGGACCCCAAGTTTCTGGGGTGGAGTCGACTACAGGGAGGAGCCCTGGTGGGGGACACTGGCTTGATGCAGGACTCCACGCCTTCTCGTGAGCCGGCCCAGCCCTGCCCTTCTCGCCGACGCTTCCTCTCCCCGCTTGTGAACCCTGAGCTTCGTTGGGCCCCAGGGAGCCCAATGCTGGACTACAGGTGGGACCCACAGATGCTCAGCAAAGGGAATGGGGATGCTGTGGCCGCCGTGCCGTGCGCTGATTGGGCGAGCAGGCCGCCGCGGAGACGGGGTGCGGGCAGAATGCACTTCCTCTGGAGGCCACGGGGAGCTTCGTGTTTTAGGCCGAGCCCGTGGGAACCGCTAGGGCACTGTGCGAGCATGAGAGCCGCCGTGCCGGGGGTCGCCGGTGGGGTGAGTGCAAGTGGGGAGACAGGCCGTCGTCCCAGCGACTCGGGCAACCAGCGCCTGTGGAACGAGCCGTAGGCGCGTGGCCGCGCAGGGCAGATGTGCTGGTGACGGGAGTCGCGCGAGCGGTGGGGCCTCGGCCGCGGTTGCCGCCCGCGCGACGGAGAAGCCTGTGGGCTGAGCGCGCGGGGCCGGAGGCCGCATGGCCACTGCCGTGCAGGGGTCACACAGGCAGCTGCCCGCGAGGACCCGGGGTCCACGGGAAAGGGACAAGGCGGGGACAGGAATCGGGACCTCGCGGGCTCATCCAGGGCCTTCGTGGCTGCGGAACAGACAGGCCCCGGCGTCGGGGGGGAACCGAGCCGTTTCCAGCGGCGAGGAGCGGTCCGTGCCGCCGCCCTGGGCGCCCTTCCTTGCTCCTGTCCTCCCTCGCCCACTCCCGGCCACGCCAGGGACGACGCTCCGGGGCGCCCGGCTCCGCCCGGCCTCAGAGGGAGACGTCTTGGTTTTCTTCCCTCCCCCACGCGTGCGCAGGAGGCCCAGGGCGCCGCAGCAGCGAGTCCCACGGACGGACGTCCCAGGCCGGAAACAGCGACGAGACACACGGCCACGTGATCAACCGCTTTACTAAATACAAGCATATTTTCATCCACGTTTCATCACAGCGCACGACAAGGCGAGGAAAAGGATACAGCACATTTGTTCTGGAATAGGAGACGATCTAACCCAACATGCAGTTGTGGTCATTGTGACAGGTTAGTTTATCTTTTCTTTACCTATGTAGTAAAATAGCTTCTAAAGCTTTGTCCTTAGTATGGTGTTAACACCTGGCTCTTCCACACTTATTTTCTAAAACCCACTGAGTGCAGTGACAATGGCACTGAATTCTACTAAAATGATTTTTAAAGTTTCTAGAACTTGTTTAAGCAATTAAGCTTGGCCATCTCTGCTGGATCTATGCTATTTTAAAACCTGCCTAAAAAAATGTAAGGAATGGGAAAAGTATACATAGAATGTATTTTTAGTCAAGAAAACCATAGAGAATTTCTGTTTCTATCCTTTTTTGGAACTGACAGAATCCAGTCAAATCGTATTTATCCACTGGATAATCTTGCTTTCAGAGTTTCCTAAACATAATTAAGTATGACATCTTGTGATCACCCGGTCCGTGCAGCCTCTCTCATTTGCCTTCCGCAACCACAAAGCCTGGACAGAATGACCACAGCCAAGTCCAGCCGCAGGGAACGAGTGACGTGGGTGCTGCAGGCTGCCCCAGGGGTTCATTTCCACGATCTTCAGCATTTGGCTTCTTTGTTCTGACTGAAGTGAATCCCCAGACTTTCAGACTCAGTCACACTCATGTTGCAGTTCACACTCCCTGCCTCCCTGTGGAAAGTATGGCTTTTGCTGAACTACCTACCATCCGAGAAGTAACGTAAAGTGTCCCCTCCTTCGAGAAGGTGAGGCGACCTCCAGCCAGCCATTCCATCTCTGATGTTGTCCCCTGAGTTAAGAGCTGACACTCGAGGACGGCAGCCAGGCAGCGAGTGGCCGAGTGAGTCTCCTGCCTCTTGGTTTGCTCTCGTGTGGAATGGGGAAGAAGCCTCACAGTCCTGTATGATGGTCAAACTAGTCATGAACGTGACCGTCGCATTTGGAAGGGGACTGCCCCGGGTGCCCACAGACACAGGTGGGGTCTCCTGGATTGCAGGGAACCCCATGGTGCTCGGGGGGGGGGGCAAGAGGTAGGGTGTTTGGGTTCCAGTGTTTCTGTTCCTCACACCCCACTTGCACACAGCTGCTCGTCCTCTTGCTGCCATGTTTTCTTGAGTGTGGCAGTAACTGTGGACGTGGCCTCGCGCCTCATATTTGCACCGCTTGTACTTCACCTTGAAAGGGTCTTAGGAGTAGCAGGCGCGCACCCCTTGCCTGCACATGTGCTCTGTAAAGCTACCTGCTACCCTTTGTCCAAAGCGCAGCACTCCTGGTGTGGGCCGTTCTCACCGCCGAAGCTGGCCTGGACATGCTTAGTCCTGTGAATTGTTCCCAGTGTGATGGTCTGCCCCCTTGACATGTTACATGTTCATGAGCTATGAATGAGCTGAAGGACCAAGAACCACTTGTCCTGTCTGTGGGGGTGCTTTTCTGGGGGCCCAGCTCCCCAAGCCCCAGTCCCCAAGGGCACAAAGAGCAGCCACTGCCTGGCATAGGCCACATCAGTGGTTCAGTCCCTTCGTCACAGCACCCAGGCCCCGCCCACAGCCTGTCCCAGCCCCCAGTATCCAAAATGGAGGTCAACCTCTCTTTAGTCACACTCAGGTCTCCTCGTCTCAATCACCTGAGGTCAGGCAGGAGCGCGTAGTTTCACTAGCACAAGCACCTCCTCTCTGATTTGACCACCTCTTCCGAAGAGTGAACCACGTTTGGTACAAACCCACTCTTCACCCCTTCCCAGCCCTCCTGGATTGTGATGTCCCCCCTTTTAACCAGCTCATAAATGTCCCTCGTCAGGTCTGTGAAGGCTTTCTCCACATTGATGGCGTCTCGGGCCGACGTCTCAATGTACTTCATGCCGTACGCAGCAGCCAGTTTCTCGGCCTCGTGGCGAGTCACCTGCCTCTGGGTATCCAGGTCACACTTGTGACCCACCAGCACAAACACGATTTGGTAGGGCTGCACGTGCACTTTGGTCTCTTCTAGCCACTCGTGAACGTTCTGGAAGGACCTGCGGTTGGTAATGTCAAACAAGAGAAGGCCGCCAACTGAGTTCCTGTAGTAGGCCCGAGTGATGGATCTAGAACACAAGAGAGAAGGGAGGGGTCAAGTGAGGCCCAAACTCTGACACTGTCCTCTGGTCTAAAGGGCTTTCCCTCTTTTGACACGGGACTGCGGATGTCATTCAGTAACAGTGATGACAGGCAAACTTCTAGTCGCACAAAACTGACACGGCATCTAGAGGGGCTGCTTATGGATTTGCAGGCATTTCCACAACTAATTCTGAGTAATTGAGACTACCTCTCCTGTGAGACGGGCCAACTGGGTCACAGGCCGCTGTGTGGCACAGATGTGAGGGTCCTGTGAGCGGGAGGGCACAGGAGTTGAAGCAGGAATTTTTAGAATGAAAACGAATATGGTGGTGCTCTGTCTGCCCCTTATTATAATGCTTCTCTCCCAGTTCTGCCTATTTCAGTCCCACGGGAGTCCTCCCTCTCTCCTGTGAGCACAAATACACACTGTCCTGTATTTCCCAAGCCACCTGGGGACGGGGTGCTAGGCCCTTAAGCACATCTCTGTGAGTCTGACTCAGGAGCCCCCCCACAGGGAAACGCTGCTGAGACAGCCAGCGTGTCCGCCTCCAATGACAGGACTTATTGAAGCTTCTAAGTTCTGCTCTACACTTGCGGTGTCTTGTACAGAGAAGGGACCTGATGGGCCGCCCCACGGGCAGGGGCGGACTTGGGCGCTCATTGTGTGCGCGCTGACAGCGGTCGAGGGTGCGCCACTTCCCCTAGACTGTGCTGCCCGGGGTCCAGGTCTGTTTTTAGGGTTAATGTCTCCTAAACAGTGAGAGTCTCAATAGCTTAAGGCTTTGGACTCACAGGGCGATGCCCCCAGAGCAGAGGGTGGTAAGAACCATCTCACAAACAAGTTTGATCCAGGCAGATCAGCCCCGGGCCCGAAAGTGTTTCTACCCCCAGTGAAGGTGCTTCTACCTCCCTGTGCAGACCGGTGGCTGGGCCTGGAAAGGAGGTCCTGCTCCGCAAACAGCTTGCTTAGGCATCAAAGGCAACCTGACATGCGGTGCTAGTGGCTCATGAAGATTTAGAAAGTGACAAAGGCTTTGCAAGCACAGTGTGAGACTACATAAAAATGAAAACCTTCCATACATCGAAGATCTTTTTCTTCAAGGACAAATGACAAGGTGGGAAAGCATTTTGCCTTGGTGACACAGAAGGATTTATATTCTTGATCCACAGGGAACTCTTACAAATTAACATCACGCAGTAAGAAGTGGATACGAAAGGGCTGGTCACACTGAGGCTCCAGCAAACACACACGAGACACGGCTCCATTTATGATGAGTGCCAGGCACACATGCTCAGCCGCCTGCGCCGGGCTGCTTGTGAGGGAAAGCCGGAGACTGAAATTTGCAAGGGTGTCCTGTCTACTCTACGAACGTGAGTCCCACAGAGCAAAAGGGGGTGATGGCATCGGTAGGTCCATGTGACTGTAGCCCAAAACCCAGCTGCGCTGCCTACTCACTGCTGCTCTTTCTCCCGCGGCTTCCGCTCCTGGGCTCCGAGCTGCCTGGTCCTCCCCCGCCCGGTAGCCTTTCCCCCCTGTTCTCCCACTTGTGATGACAAAGGACAGCGAGGGCTGTACGGGAGGAGCCACCGTGCACACTGCCTCGTCCTGGCGGGCGCTGGAGCAGGGAGTGGGCCGTCTTCGCGCAGCGGCGGCCTGTGCCAGTGCACAACTTCTCAGAGGCCAGGGCCGTCCTGTTGCCAAGGCATTCCCTGGTGCTGTGCTCAGCGGGCGGCCTCGTGTGTGCGGTGTTGGGGGCCAGGGGCATCCATCAACGGGGTCTACTTCGCACGCACGCACAGACGCACGTACGTCTGTGTAACACAGCTGTCTGTGCACCCGTATCTGACCCACCTATGCCTACCCCCGCGGGCGGGCCCCGGCACGCGCCGGGACGGTGTGGGGCGGCCTGGACGGCGCCCGCAGGTAGGTGCCCGCCCGCCTCGCCGCCGGGGCAGGTTGCCGGAGGCGTGGTGCCAGCGGAGGATCGACCGCTTTCCGCACCAGGGCGAGGCTGTGGCCGCGCGGGACCTCCCGCGAGCTGGAGGTGCCCCGGGCACAGCCTACCGGCCCTGGGGCCGCCGCGACCCGGCCCCAGGCCCAGCCGGCCCGAAGACCCTCCCCGCCGCACCTGAAGCGCTCCTGGCCCGCGGTGTCCCAGATCTGCAGCTTGATGCGCTTGCCCGGCTCGATCTCCACCAGGCGGGAGAAGAAATCCACGCCCACGGTGGGGTCGGAGACCTGGGCGAAGCGGCCCTCGGTGAAGCGGCGGATCAGGCAGGACTTGCCCACCGTGGAGTCCCGATGACAATGAGCCGGAACTGGTACAGCCAGATGGCCTCCATGGCCGCGGCGGCCGGGGCGCCCGCAGGTTCGGGGCGCGGCGCGGGGCTAGGCCGGCCGCGAGAGCATCGCGGGCCGCGGAGGCCGAGGCGGGCAGGCCCGGGCGCGGGCCGCGGAGGCTGATGCTGCGCCGCGGAGGTGATGAAATGGCAGCAGCATCAGCACCACGCACTGACTCATCACCGCCGGGGCCGCCGTATTGCCCTGCGTAGCCGCGCCGCCCGCCGCACTGCCCCGAAGAGCGGCGCACGCGGACCCGCCGCCAGCCGCGCCCGTCCGCCCCGGGCGTCCTCCAAGGCTCGCGGACCGCGGGGCGGGCGGAGCGCCGGTGCCGGAGGGGCGGACGAGGGCGCCCGGGCGGGCGGGCGCTGTGGCCCGGAAGCGCACACGCCGGCGCAGGGACACGGGCAGGAGGCAAAGAGAATGAGCCCCGTACCTCAGCTTGCAGAAGTGATTCCTGGTCTTGAAAACTCAGGAGCTCGAGGCCAGCGTCCGCGGCCAGACCCGTCGCTTCCGCCCCCCTTCCCCCCCCCCCCCCCCCCCCCGCGCTTCCGCGCCACCTCCCGGGTTTCGCGTTGAGAAAGCAGCGTTTGCACCTGAGGCCCACTCGCCCTGCCGCTCCCCCGCCCCGTCACGTCTCCGGGCTAGGCCAGCCTCTGCGGCGGGTCCCCTAGTATTTCATCACCGGGCGCTAGGCAGACACCAGTCCTGGCTGTTTCCCACTCCGGGCGTTGCACGTCAGATGCCCTCAGCACCCCGGCACGCGTGTAACAGGCCTCTTGCCCTCACGCACCTCGCGCACATCGCCCTGAACTCATGTCTTTCTTCGTTGGCCCCGCGCTGACATCTTGTGCCCTTCTGCCGACTCCCAACCATCCTCTTAGGAACATTCTTTTATCACTTTTTCCTTGAACACCGCCCCTTCCCCAGGCCCCTGTCGGTGGTAGGGTGGAGCTCAAGAGTTCTGGGTCCAACTTCTCGTGCTTTGGAACCTCAAGGAGAGGTGCAGGCTATGACAAGTATGTGGCTTATTTGGGGGTCTTCAGGAATGCAACCCCGGAGACAGAGAACTAAGAAGTACCTTCATTGCCCAGCAAATGAGGGCTTCTCAGAAGGGAAGAGGACGAAGGTCATAAAAATTGACGCAGAAATCCTCTATCTACAGGATTGTTAAACTACTTAGCTTCAAAAGTCCCCAAGTCTGCTGTTTCACATTGGTTGCTGAGAAATGGGTGCTGTTCCAGGAAGGCTGTCAGTTTTGAGGTTCACAAGAGTCTGTTCCACAGGAAGAAGATGTAGCTAAGATTCACCTCCTTAATGGCCTCCTGACTCCATTTTATAGGCCTTAACCTAATAAACTGCACTTTAGATGTTTTCTTTGGTAAAGTCAAGACATACTTCTTGGAACTTGTCATAACTCATCATTAACTAGCTCTGTCATTTTTCCGTTCCCTATTTTGTTACTACCTACTTTTGTCTTTATCGCTTCCTTTTTCGGGTTCTCTTTCACTGACTTTGCTCCACTTTTTCTAGTTTTCTTTTTGGTCTTTACTCAGATTCTTTTGGAACCTCTTAAAACAATTGCAATAAAAACATAACACAAAACTAACCATCTTACTTACTTTTTTAAAAAAAGATTTATTTATTTTTATACAAGAACCAGGGTACAGGCCAGATGTGCGGGAGGGTGAGACGATTCACCAGGGACAGAGCGGGGAACAGAACAGGCAGACTGACTGAAACACACTGCTGAGGGGAGCAGTGGGCGCGGCAGGAGAGGTCTGCTGCGCCATGTGGGACCCCCGTCAGCTGGCATCCAACCGGCGCTGCAGAGACTGCAGACAGCTTCACAGCGCTGGCTCAACCGCCTGCACCACCAGGGAGGCCCATCTTAGTCACTTTTAAGTGTGCAGTTCAGGGGTGTTTTCTGAACTAGGATGTTTTACCAACTGAGGATGTTAAATGTTTTCTGATTTGGGAGTCGTCATGCCATATGGATTACAGAAGAGTCTTCAGTGTTTCTCTGAGTTTTTCTTAGTCTAAAGTTTTGCCCTAGTGTATCAAACTGCCAAGTCTACTGTGTGCTGGTGGTGCAGGGAGTCATGTCCCTATGGCATTTCTTACTCTCTTTTCTTCCTGCACGCTGCTAAGCGTTTGCTCTTTGCTTCGCTTTCTCTGCAACACCAACTTAGTAAAAGTTGCTTCTCACTTTTTTGGTATTTTTTTCTTCCTTACAAGTCATACCTTTTGAAGACTGCTACTTCAAGTTACTTCCTTGCACTCCATGCCTGCAGCTGCCATGGCATTTAAAATTATTTTCCTATGTGGAGGGGACTTTTGCTTTCAGTAATTAGAGGTCAACCGTAGCTGCCGGCCCCTTGCTCCCTACACTTCTCACCTTGCTCACCACAGGCCAGATGTGTGAGAGGGTGAGAGGATGCACCACAGACAGAGCGGGGAACAGAACAGGCAGACTGACGAAATCCACTGCTGAGGGGAGCAGCGGGCATGGCAAGAGAGGTCTGCTTCACCATGTGGGACCATTGTCGGCCGGCATCCAACCGGCGCTGCAGAGGCTGCAGCGGGATGTGTCTTTTTCTAGGTCCAGAATTATTGTTAATTCAGAAGTAGTAGCCTTTTTGAAGTTCCCTAACTTATGAAAACCAGGTCTGCCCTTCCAGCTTGGCTGAATTCCTGGGGTGTCCTTTCCTTGACATGAGTGTCTCAAGGCCTTTCCGCTCCTGCTGATCACTCTCGGGCTGTAACTTGCGAGAAAGAAAACCTACTGCAAACACTATCTGGTGTCCACATACCTTCTTTCCTACAAGTGGCCTCTTGTTTTTCAATTCTGCTTCTCTGCGGTATTTTCTTTCCACCCTAATTCGATAGTTTGCAGAATCTGGCGCAGAGTGAGCCACAGGACTGGATGGGGCACGGGCCCCTTGCTGGACATCTCACGCTGGGCGCCGAATGGTACATGGAAACCCTGTCCCCCTATGCGACTGTGTTTGGTGGTGGGGCCTTTTGGATATGACTAGGGCTCAATGAGGCACCGGGGCAGCCAGGGCGCTTGTAACTCCACGAGCGCGAGGAGGCGGCGGCATCAGCCCAGCCCAGCCCCGCTGTCATCGTCCTTGGTCTCTGAACTCCAGGGCTGCGAGGAAGCATCGCCTGTTGTTTAATCCCTTAGTTTTTTTTTTTTAAAGGTTTATTTTTATTTATTTATTTATACAAGCACTGGGTACAGTCAGAAGCGCGGGAGGGTGAGAGAATTCACCAGAGCGGGGAGCAGAACAGGCAGAAGGACCGAAGGACACTGCTGAGGGTGTAACAGGGTGGTCCCCAGGAAAGGGGGAGGTTCCCTGCCCCACCCAAGGGAGGGTGGAGCTGAGCAGGAAGAGGAGAAGCTGCAGAAGAGACTAAGGAAGGAAGCAGGATGGAGCCTAGAGACACGTGAAGAAACTGCGCTTGTCTTTTGGTCGTGGACGGGGTGACACAGACGTGGGTGAGACCCGTGGGGAGGTGACAATGGCAGTTTTTACCTTGATGTTGATTTTGCTCTTTTCCTTCCGGCCTTGTCTGGTTGTTTCTGACCCTTTTCTGTGGGTCCCCACTGGAAGATGCTTTAGACCTGTGGCAGGCTTTGGGGCTTTGCTCTGGGCCAATCCCATTTGAATGGACTTTTACCCACGAGGGGACGGGTCACTTTGGGTGCTTCATTTAGAAACTAGACTCTTTGCCTTTCCTGTATTGTTTCCTAGTTTTATTAAAGTTCCTTCCCATTAAAGTCTCCTATGTTTTGTGTGGATGCGGCGGATGGCAGAACCCATGTAGAATAGGCAGGTTTGCGGGGTTTGGGCTGCCCCTCTCCCTGTCCTATAACAAGGGGAGCAGCGGGCAGCAGGAGAGGTCTGCGCGCCATGCGGGACCCTCCTCCGGTGGCCGGGGAACAGCCGGGGATGGAACCGGCGCTGCAGAGGCTGCGGGCAGCTTCGCAACCCAGCGCTCAACCGCTGCGCCACCGGGGAGGCCCTGTTTAATTCCTTAGTCACGGTGTCTTGTGAGGGCAGCCTGAGCACACAAATGGAGTTTGGTGTCACTCACGAGCACATAAACATGCACAGGGGTCTGTGGAGCTGGGCGGTGAGTAGAGTGGGAGTGTGCAGGGCGATGGACGCTGGGTGAGATCCCGCTGGGAGTTCAGAACACTGAGAGCTGTTGAGAGCTCATTTCACGGAGCAGAATTTGCGTGAGGCTCCTCCCTGTTGCTGCACGTGGCAGGCCTTCATCCTCCACAACCGAGGGGTGCTGCAAGCGTGTGTGCATCCTCCCGGCGGGTCACCGGTCAGTGGGCACTTGGGTTGTTGCCAGCTCTTGGCTATTGGAAACAGTGCTGCAGTAAATGAGCGTGCAGGTATCTGTTCACACTAGTGTTTTTGTGTTTTTTGGTGATTACCCAGAGCGGGTAACTGTAGCCCCTGGGAGATCTATTGCTGACGAAGGGACCCAGGGCATACACCGTAGCCAGGAGAGCCTCTTCTGTAACTGGTGCTGGATGCTGGACCACCTCACTTGATAGAGACCAGATGCACAAAAGAACTCAAAGGTGGTTCCAAGACTTGGCTGTGAGGCCTGAATCCTCGAGTACACAGAGGAAACAGGCTCCCGACCACAGCCTCGGGGTGCGTCTGGGAAACAAAGGCCCAAGAGTTGAGGCTGCCCTGTGTGTTTGCTGTGGGCGGAGCATCCTGCTGCTGAAATGGGGCTTCCAGTCACAGGTCTTAGCACGCACCAGGCTGGCGTGTAACCTCTTTGAGCGTCACTTGTCGCACTAGTAAAGGTAAATATGAAGTCAAACCACTCCAGGTCTCTGCTTTGTTAGCTGTAAACTGGGAATAATTATAGCAACTACTTCTGAATTAACAATTATTCTGGACCTAGAAAAAGACAAAGGAACGATAGTTGATAACTTCATAGCGCACCAGAGCAATTCACACTCAACTTGACTGGCCTCCCTGGCCCTGACCGCCAATCTCTTGACTGAAAGTCCACAGCAGGTTGAGGCCCAGATGGTTGAGAGTCTCACAGGGGCAGAGCTACAAATCTGCAGAAATGCCTGTGTTCTTAGGATCTTAGAGCCCCAAGGAGAAGCGAACCCCAAGTATAAAGTGTTTTATCATGAAGATGAATTGACTTTCCTTTCCTGGCTGTGACTCTGTCCATATGTGTCTGTCTGTCCCTTGGATTCCTTTCAAACAGCTACTTTGTCTCTTGATGTTTTTTTTCTGAAATAAATTGCATTGACAGTTGTGTTTTTACATAGCTGTGGGGTTGTTGTGAGGATTAATAATACCATTATTAATGGATAACTACACCATTACTGAATCATGTTAATGTCATCTGAGGAGATGCTAAGCCTATGGAGTCGTGGTGGCCTCCTCTGGACCTGTAACAGCGCTGGTGTGACAGCGCCGAGTCTTCCTCTTTTGAGGTTGAAGTTTATTTCTCCTTTGAAAGAGCAAGGCTCATGTTCAACTTTTGTTTTCAGATTTGATTTATTTTAACTGTCCCTTAGTCTTCTATGGACAGCAACATGGTCTTTTGGCCAGTACAGCTTCTGAATTTCCTCCTTATTTCAGAATAACACATACAACTTACTTTGCAACTTTGCCATATATTTGCTTGTGCTCTTTTATTTTTATCATGTCTTATTTAACAAACGCTTGCTCATTTAGCAGCAACATTCTGGTCATAAGATCAGAGTCACGTTTCCTAAGATCTGAGCTCTAAACACATCCTACCACATCCTGAGGTCCTGATCTCTTCCTGCAGGTGATTTTTTTTAATTAAAATTTTATTTTTATATTCCCCATACAATTACAACCCCCTTATTTTGACCCGAAGCCCTCCTTTCCCCACCCCCCACCCTCCATAGAGTGTCTCTGGTTCATAGTTGTTTGTTGATTTTGATTTTCACTTTCTTATAGTTATTCTTTTTCCTGGTCCCTTATTTAAGTTTTCTAGATTCCTGCTAGGAGTGAGACCATCCGGTAATTTTCTTTTTCTTTCTGGCTTATTTTGCTGAGCATGATGATCCCTTCCAGCTCCATCCATGTTGCTGCAAATTGCATGTGTTTATCTTTTTTGATTGCTGAGTAATATTCCATGGTGTATATGTACCACACCTTCTTGATCCAGTCATCTATTTTGGGGCATTTGGGTAGTTTCCAAAGCTTAGCTATTGTAAACAGTGCTGCTATAAACATAGGGGTGCAGGTGCTCTTTGGAATTGATGTTTCTGTGTCCTTTGGGTAAATACCTAGGAGTGGAATTGCTGGATCCTATGGAAGCTCTATGTTTAGTAGGTCCAGAAATCTCCACACAGCTCTCCATAGTGGTTGGACCAGTTTGCACTCCCACCAGCAGTGCAGGAGAGGTCCTTTTTCTCCACACCCTCACCAGCATTTGTTGTTGCTAGTTTTTTTAATATGTGCCATTCTCACTGGTGTGAGATGGTATCTCATGGCAGTTTTGATTTGCATTTCCCTGATGACAAGTGATGTTGAACATTTTTTCACATGTCTGTTGGCCATTTGCATTTCCTCTTTAGAGAAGTTTCTTTTAGCTCTTCCCTGCAGTGATTTTTCACGATCGTTCCATTAGGGTTTGATTCTACCATGTGCTCACTCTCTGATGTCACTATTCATTCATGGACTACACTCATTTAATACACTCATTCGTGCGTTAAAGCGATAAAATATAACATTGTTTTAATGATTTATACAGAAAGTTTATGTTAATGAACTCATTTATTTTCCCATGTCTTTCATTATTGGTCAGTTGACTTCCCTCAGATGCCAACCCCGCTGTTCTCCCACCACCAGGCCCGAGCTCCGTCCCCAGCATCCCTGGGCTCTTCCCTCCCCCTGGACGCCCCCCCCCCCAATCTGTGGTCAGCTTGCCAGTTTTGTTAGAAAGTTTGTAAGCAGTAGGTGGGCCTCAGACATCTGAGCTTACACATGATGCATTTTAGGGACTCAATCAAAGAGCAAAAGTTGCTGCTGATGGTGTGTCATTTGAGACGAGAGCAAAGAAGTTGAAGCGAAAACAAGAAGGCCTTGCAGACACAGCCCGCAGTGGCTGCGCTGACTCAATGCAGAAAACATAGCATTGCTGTTCAGGAGGGCCTGAGCTAGAGAAAATAGCATTTTTGTATCCTTATATCCTAAAGGTTTTCTAATGCAGCGATGAGTGAAATATGACAAGAAAGGGGCGTTTTCTGTGGAAGGAGCCGCCCTAACTCTGCTTGGCCACGCTGGCATAGGTGTGCTCGATCTCCTTGTCTTCAGGGCACGTGTGGGCAAACTCCTCCCGGGCATAGGCGTTGCGGAGGTAGCGCCACACCCCCGAGAACTCTGCTGGGATGTCAAAGTCACGGTATTTCTTGGCAGCAACCTAGGGTTTGGGAACAACAAAGAGGAAGGCAGTTGGGGGCAGAAGATGCCAGCCCTGGCCTGCTGTGGGGAAATGTGAGCTCACCGAGGCGCCCTGGCCCTGGCGATTGCGGCTACACATAGTGTGTTCCACGTCGGGTGTTCGGTGTTGGGCATAGGACCTGGGGAGGGGTAAGTTCTGCCCAACGAACACTTGGCAGTGAGACCCACGGCCACGTGGTTCCATGGCCTGCAGTTCGAGGCGTTTACTTGCCTTAAATGGTTTCATTTCCCATGAAGTGGTGCCATCCTCCCTGTTCTGGGAATGAGACGGTGGACACCAGCGGAGACTTACTTTAATAATGTGCAGTTTGGGCAACAGGCTGCAGTCGGCCAGTGTCAGCTGGTCCCCGTCCAAGAACAATCTCCTGGAGACCGCGAGCTCCTCAGCGCTGTCTGCGTCTATTTCACCCAGGAGCGGGGTGTTCAGGTAGTCGTCCAGACGCTTCAGTTCTCGGAGTAGAGATTTTTCGAAATCTGAGGCAGAGAAGTCATAGGGTCACTGACACATGTAGTGTCTCTATATGAGACACCCCTCAGGCTACGTCTCCACACTCACTGCTGCTTCTTAGTCTCAGAAGCTAACAGGACACTCAGCCGTGGGGGCTGCTTACCCTTTGGACGTTCCCTGACTAGGGTTTTGAGACAACAGTCAGGTGACATGTGCGGGGCATGGCAGTGGCTTCGGGTTGAAAAGATCTTAAAGGCAAACAGGATTTGGAAGGTGAATCAAATAAAATTTCATGCAAAAGAATTTCAGAGGTGGGGACACAGGAGGAAGGGCAGAATAGTCCCAAACATATACTCTATATTCAGGGAAATCCTGTTGTAGCTGGGTGAGTATGTGAGAGTAAGCACGTGGCTGAGGAGAACAGATCTAGGGAAACGCGGCTTACCCTTATTTGCTTCCTTCTGCGTATTCTTGATATATGCAGAGAACTTGGCAAAGAGGTCACAGCCCACAGTGAAGGACTCCTTGTTCGTGGGACTCAGGTGGGGGAACCTGCATGGGAGACAATGGAGGTTTCTGACAAGAGGGAAGGAGGAGGGAGCAAGGCTCACGGGGCACAGGGGAGGTGGTGAGAAACAATCATTTACCACAACGAAATAAAATGGTGCACTGTCATTCACCATGTCAAGAAATCAAATACAGAAAACCATATGATCACGAGTAGATACAGAAAAGTGTTCAGTGAACTCGCTTTCCGTTAGTAAACAAACCCACTAGCAAATCATTTTCCTGGATTCCGTCCCTTCATTTAGCCCATCGGCAATGCCAGCCAGCTCACCTTCCAGAAATGTCCCTCAAATCTGGCCACTTGCGGACACCTCACTGCCCCTGGCTGGGTTCGAAGCCTCTGTTCCTGCACTAGTCTCCTGAGCCCCCCGTCTGAGTTCATAGGCCCTCTTGAAATTGTGGGTAGTTTAAAAAAAAATTCAAATTTGGATGAAAATCACATCATCAAATATTGCTTCTGCCCCTTCTCTTTGTGAGACTAATTACACATGCGGTAGAGCTCGCCCCACATCTGACATGTCTCTAATGCTCTGTTAGCTATTTGCCTCACTTGGGTATGTCCTGCCTCCCGGCTCATTGTTTTCTACTTCACTAAGCGTCTCTCGGGTTGTGGATCATCTGATGTTAAACCCGTGCCATCAATTATTAACTTCAGATAATGTATTTCTCAGTAATAGAATTTCATTTTGTTCTTTAAAAGTGCACTCTAATTCTTTAGTGAAAGTCTGTTTTTACATCTATTTTCTCCACGCTTCCCTCTATTGTATTAAATATGTCAGTCACGGTTATATAAACTTCTTAGGTCTCTCCAGCATCTTGATCATTTGTTGGTTTATTTATATTATCTTTTTTTACTCTTGTTTTTCCACCATATGGTCCTGTACATTTGTTGCATCTTAGTTATTTTGATTGAATGGCCGACATGGCGGAAACCGTGGAGGTCCGGGTCATCTTATGCGAGAGCGAGAGCACCATTCACTTACAGCAGTCAAAGCCGGGAGCCCTCACCCTAGCAGGCACTAAGCTCCTCTTTCTTGTGTCAGGGACTTGGAGAGCCCTGTTTTCCTCTTCAGCAGTTTTCTGGTTAGTCTTATTTATTTTCCCACCTCGAGAAGTCTCAGATTGGCAAATGTCCTCAAGGCTAAAACCGGCCATGCTCCAGAGGACCAAGCAAATGTTTGTGGGGTACTAGATACAGTAAAAAGCATGTGTCTAAGAAACACAAAGTAAAGGTCTAGACTGCTAACTACTAGGCAACTTCTAACTGAAATGAAGCACCTCAGCAAGGGGCTGAGGAGGTTGAGCTCAGCGGCCAGCGAGTTCCTCCGAAGCATCCGCAAAACCCCCAGAACTGGACTTGAGGGCCAGCCAGGTTGGCGCCAGGCGGGTGCTTGGGGAGGGCGGAAGCTGCCCACCGTCCCGGAATCCCTCCCCAGCGCACGCATCTGGCTGTCAGTGGGGACCCAGCGGCAGCCTTTGTGACACATCAGGACCCGTAACGATGGGTTGCCTGAGTCTTGGGACTGCTCAGCCAAATGAGTTGGCGCCCCAGGACCCCCAGCTTCATAGCCAGCCGGTCAGCAGCACAGATCTCAGTCTGGGCTCACGATGGACACCTCCAGGCCCAGGAGCGGGCCACGGGGACCTCGGATCTCTGGACCGTAGTTCGGAAGTGGGGGTGACAACCCAGCTGATGACCGGCGTCTGCAGGGAGGGTGGTCTGGGGACAGCGAGCCCCCTCCCGTGGCACCTGGTGCTGCCACCTGCAAGAGGACGGTGTTGGGTGGAGTGGACGCCTCAGAGCCCCGCTGGTGTCTGAGACTTGCTTGTCGGTGCCCGCCGGGAGGCCTGCCCGAACGGCTTTGCCAATGCTGCGGGACACGAACAACCTCATAAGCCTTCGCGCTGCGGGGGGCTTATTTTCTGGCTTCCGTCTACTTCGTGGCTCTGTGGCTCCGTTACTGTTTTATGTGAAGCACTTTCTGGTGAGCACTTTGCTCTCCTTGTTTGTTTCACTCAAGTTTTGGAGTCCTTTCCTTCATGGTTGCCCTGATGATTACAAATTAGATCTGTGGACCCTGATGCTGCCTCTGGGCAGAAAATGTCAGAATTGAGTTGAGTTCTCAGACACCAGCTGTTGTGGGGAACCCCAGGATCCTTGGCCCTGTCGGAAATTGTGCTGCCAACTCTGCAGTGGCTGAAATGCAATGTGGTCTGAATTCACCTGCCCTTTCCAGATCTCCAACTCTATTCTTTGCCCTTCTAGAAACATAGCAAAAGAGAGGTCTGATGTTGAAAAAGATATCTAGGAAGAAGAACCATCTATCTGGGCCTCCCTGGTAGTGGTGGTGGTGGGGGTGGTTAAAGACACAGCGCTGTCAAGCTGTTGCTGGTCACTGCAGCACGAGTTCAATCCCCAGCCAGGGAACTGACCCACGTGACATATCAGACCTCTCCTGTCTCCCTGCTGCTCCCCTCAGCAGTGGATTTCAGTGTATCCGCCTGTTCTGCTCCCCATTCTCTCTGGTGAATCCTCTCACTCACCTCTGGCCTGTACTCCAGTTCTTGTATGCATAAATAAATAAATCTTAAAAAAAAAAGGAACCATCAGTCTGCAATACATCAGCCAACAGAACAGAGGATCTCAAGAACAATAAAAAAGGCTGTACCTTGGAGGAGCCAGAGTCTGCTCTAGAAACTCTTCAATTTTAATGAAGTCTGTTTTCAACTCCTTGTTATACACCAGAAAGGGAGGATTGGCACCTGGGGCTAAGTCCTTCAGCTCTTCAGGCTTTCTAGAATCATTGAACACAAGCAGTATTAGGCTCCAGAGAAAGCCTGATGCAAACAGCCACAATGTATTGGTGTGGCCAGTTTCCGTCCCCAGCACGAAGTGTGCTCTGATTTCTCTTACCTGGTCATATCAACAGTCGTCACATTGAATTTAACGCCTTTAAGCCAGAGGATCATGAAGAGCCGTTGGCAAAAGGGACAGTTTCCGATACTCTCCCCATCACTTCCAGCCTATTAAGACAAAGAAAGGCCTCGTTCACACAGTCACTCAACAAGTGTGTTGAGAGCCCCGTGAACGCCTTCACTGCCCGAGCCTGTGTTGGAAACCGTGCATCTCCCGCCATGCGCCGTCAACCACAGACAGAGCACTAGGGAATCAAGGGATCTCGTTATGTGTAAAATGCTGCGATGAGTAAATAATAATAATGACAATTAATGTTATATGTTACCAGAACCTATATAACCATTTCCTACTGATACGCATGTCAGATATTCCAAAGATTCTGCTACTTTAAATACGTCATCAGCAAATATTCAGTTCTCTTGTTTTCTACAGCTATCACAGCATTCATTCATTCCTTCGACATTTCCTTGCTGCTTGCTATCTGTCTGACCCCGGGGGGTGCTAACTGCCAAGTCCAGGCCATCAGCACCTCTCATCTCTTGAACCTATTTTTTTCCTCTTTCGAGTCAGTCTGTAGAGGATGTAGAGGACTTCGTCTTACGGCTGCTCGTCTCCGTCATTTCTGGCAGTACCAAATCCCAGGAGCCATCAACCCCCCCCCTTTTTTTTTTTGGCAAATGTGCCTTTCCCTAGCAGTGGGTATGACAGAGGAAATAATGTTTATTGTTGATCTTTTGTGATGTCAGGGTGTGAGAAGAGACCGGCAGCCGGAAGGGTGGCCGGCCTTTGCGAAAGGAAAGGCCAGACAATGAGATGTGGGGTGCAGGGAAGCTTCACAGGAAAGGCCGCTTTGTTTCTGTTTATAATGTGCTGACTGCAAGTGCAAGCACGTAAAATTTTAGGATATAAATTCCCTAGCCTGGCTGATGATTTACCTACCTCTTCAGTGTCTTTAGCTGGAAAAGACAGGATGTGTTCATTCATCAGAACAACTTTTTCTCTTGTGTTTGTGATTGAAGTTTCTAAACACACACACACACACACAAATAGCTGTGGTTGCCTGGCATCTTCCTGAGCATTTACTGTGTTAGTGAGCACGTCTTACTGCTTGTTTCATTCGGTCCTCAAGTGAAGACAAGCCTGTGAGGTGGGCTGCCCTGCGGCTCCTGTTGTACATTCAAGGAAATCAAGTGCAGAGCGCGTGCTCCCAAGCCCACCTTCTAATGCTGCTTCCTCCCACCTCATCGTTGTGTTGCATTTTTAAGCCAGTATTTATGGTAATTCTGAGATAGTTTGAAATAGTCTGAATATTTAAAGAAGAGAATCATGTCTTTCCTCCTTCCTACACGGATTTTTAAAAAAAAGATTTACTTATTTATGCATACAAGAACTGGGGTGTAGGCCAGAGGTGCAGGGTGGGGGAGTGAGAGGATTCACTAGAGACAGAGTGGGGGAACAGAACAGGCGGATCTACTGAGATCCACTGCTGAGGGGAGCAGCGGGGAGACAGGAGAGGTCTGCTGTGCCCTATGGGTAGCTCCTGGGCTGGCCGGGGATTGAACTTGTGCTGCAGTGGCTGCTGATAGCTTCACAGTGCTGTGCTTAACCCCTTGCGCCGCCAGGGAGGCCCAGATAAGATGTTTTTGACAAAACATTTCTCTCTGAATTATGGACTACATGTCAGATTCTATAGTGTTATGTGCCAATCTATTAAAATTAATTTTACAGCGTTGGATAGAGAATAAAAGACCTCCATTAAACAATGAACAACACACTGACAAGATAAAATCTGCATTTAGAGAAAATAAAATGCATGTTGGAAAATCATTTGTTCTCAGTTCTTGCCCAAATCATTCAGAACTGGAAGCCAATGTTCTCCCTGGCAACATGAATCTGTATGCGGTGTGGGACAGCCTCTGTGACCAGAAAGTGCTTGTGGTAGGGTCTAGAAGCCACAGCTAATGGTAGCTGGAGAAATCACAGATTCGTTGACTCTTCAGAAAGACACCACATTATCTATAAGTGAGACATCTTTGGTAAGCACCAGTTTTTTTTTTTATTTTTTTTTAACTCATTCATTAACATTTGCACACCATCAGGCCCCATGCCCCCCTCCTGGGGTCGTCTATGGAACTTCCAGAAATTAGATTCTAAAGCCTGCCTTTCACTAGCTGTGTGACCCTGGACAAAGTGACTTGGACACTCTTTGCTTTAGGTTAGTATATCCGTAAAATCGGGTTAATGATAAGCTGCTAAGCACAACGCTTTCCAGGTAGTTAAGTACTCAATAGATGACTACATAACCTGAAAGTTATGTAATTCAACATTTGCTCATCCAATGTGTGATTTACTCACTTCTATCCAAATTGCTGTGAAGATCAGTGTTAACAAGTACTGAGAGAAGCTTCACTGGATGGAACGGACAGCTTAGACAGATTGAGAGTGCTTCAGTCATCCTGCGAACAGCCAGGGCCTTGGTTTGGATGGTAAAGCAATCCCCAGGGCCACTTGTCCAGTTAAGGCTAATTTATGTCCTGCCTGAGCAGTCACGTGCTGGATCCCAGCAAACACTTAGTTGGATTATTTTGCTGTGCAGGAATTCAAGAGTCTCTCCTCTACTTTTGAAAAGGCAAGTTTGTTATGGCCTTGGTGTGTATGTCTGGCCAGCTGTTAAATCATTTAAAACGATTGTGAAAGTATTACTTCGCTAACAGATGTTTAAGCTCGCATCTGACAAGCATTCCTTACTTCATGTCTTTGGGAGCCGTCCTGAGGCTGCCTAGCTCTAGAGGCAAGTTACCGAGACATTTTTGCCTGAGCTTACAACTATGGGAATGCCACTCCAGTGGGGGGCGCCCTGCTGGTGTCACCACCACTGCCAACCCACCTCCTGAATGAGATAATATATGGGGTTTTTACAGTAGGCCAGGCATGGTGAGAGTCTGTTGTTATTATTTATCAAGCTTAATACTTTCAATAGGCAATGAAAATACACAGAAAAGGCTAATGTAAGCAAGGGTTTAGGAAACTATGTAATTTCTACTTGGGATTATTAATCTTTCTTGATAAGCTCATTTCGAAACACATGTTCCTTTCTCCTGCTTGGGGGGTTTCCAAAGGGCTTCTCTGAAAAGTTGAAACATAAAAAAGCAACCCGTGGCAGACCACAAAGAGGAAGCACAGACCCCCACATGAGGCACACCAGCCCTGACTCTCTCCTATAGTGTCCATGGGAACCTGCTGGGCTGTTTGTCCATTGTGGGGGATTCTAGAAAGCTCTGCCTGGGCTCTTTGTGGAATGGAGCTGTATGGCCATTCTTGGGCCTTCTCCCCAAATTCAGGTTTTCCAAATCCTATCTTATAAAACACAGACTGTGAGAGCTGGAAAGTCCTTAAGGATTATCTTGTCAAATTCTTTCATCGTATAGAAGGTTCAGAGGGAAAGAGGGACTTGTCCAAGGTCACATGGGAAGCCACTAAAAAAAATCTCAGTTGCTCAGACTACCAAGCCACCGAGTGCTCTTCCCACCGTCCCTCCTGGCCTTTCCCTGCTGTGATCTCAGCTGGGCAAGGACTCAGAGCAGGAGTAGAGTCACAAAATTATTTCCTGTCTCTAGCCCAGATGTTGATGTTCTTTTTTTTAGACTTTTTTTTTTTAAAGAGGCATGTATTTTTATGTATTGATTTATTTGTTTGTTTTTATTTATACATGCACTGGGTACAGTCAGAAACGCGGGAGGGTGAGAGAATTCACCAGAGCCAGAGCAGGGAGCAGAGCAGGCAGAAGGACTGAAGTCCACTGCTGAGGGGAGCAGCGGGCGGCAGGAGAGGTCTGCGCGCCATGTGGGACCCTCCTCCGGTGGCCGGGGAACAGCCGGGGATCGAACCGGCGCTGCAGAGGCCGCGGGCAGCTTCGCAACCCAGCGCTCAACCGCTGCGCCACCGGGGAGGCCCATGTTCTTTTAGAAGCTGAGGCCCAGTGTCAAGAAAGACCATGTTCTGGATATCATTGTAGCGGAAAACTCACCTTGACAAAAAGCTCAATCTCAGGGTCCGCTTGCGCGTGGGTCCTCACGTCTGCCATTTTTATGTCTTTCTTGATAACTGTCAGTCCCCTGCGTCCGGCTTGGTCACCGTCCTTGTGGACTCTTTTCTTCCAGTTTTAGCCAAAGGCTTACAGAAGGTCGGTGCTTTAAGAGGAGTGCCCAGCTTGTATTGGGCTGAGTCAGACCTCAAGGCAGTCTCTTTTCTCAAGAGGTAGGATGCAAAGAATTCTAGATGCTTCAGAGCAGCTCTTGAATTTGTTTTTCCTTCTTCCTCGTGACCTAACATTTGCATTAGGGAGGAGCCCGAGGGTGTGCGTAAACAGACTGGCTAGGAGGGTGGGGTGTTTCCAGAGGCTTCAATGCCATGAGTCAGCAGAGGAGAAACACAGACACGAACATGCACCACCACGCTGGCATCGATCTATCAAGCCGAACAGATGTTCTCGAGAGCCTCCCTTCCAGCCCTGGGCTCCATGCCCAGAAAATGGGCTCTGATTGTTGTTCCTGTAACTCAACAGCCGCAAAAACCTCTTCCAGGAAAAGGACCAGAAATGACTTGGCTTTTATCATTGAGAAGGATGTTTATCTAACAATGCTGTCTAAAAGGGGATTCAAAAAAGTACCTCACCAAATGTCTCCACCCCATTTCTACTGCTCACACAGCCAGATGTCCCTTCTGGGCTGTGCCGTTCACTTCTCTATAACCAGGGCAAATCTGCTGGTGCGGGCAGCTCCGCCATCCTGTGGCGCCTGGCCTTGCTCCTTTCTGGGAGTGTGGAAGGGGACCCATGGCCTCCTGTGCTGGGCCATGGCATCAGAAACAAGAGCTGGTTGACATCTCTGCCTGTCCACCCCGGAGGGGTGGCTGGAGAGCCTCGTTCTGTGTCCACTGTTTCTGGCAGCTGCACGTCCCACCCACAGGTGGGGGGGGGGGCAGGAGCCCCAGGACTGAGAAGCCTCTTTGGTGAGTCTCTTTCCTCCCAGAGCCAAAATGGCAGGGACCCAGCAGCTGGGAGCCATGATGAGCCCCCATCTATGACACAAGTCACCCCTGTGGGACACGTGTGCCTGCCATGGCCCCCATCCAGGCTCTCTGGGCCGAGGAGCTCCACGTGACTCCTGCCCCGTGCCACAACTGCAGGTGCCGTGGCTAGGAGGGGCTGACGGGCGGCCAGGTGTTCTGGGCGTGCACGGCACTCGAAGACCCTGCCCCCCCCGCCCCCCGAGGCTGAAGGGAGAGTGTCAAACCGGTGGACATCAGACTGAAACAGGGGCGGGGAGGGCTACAAAAGGGCAACAAGGCAGGAGGGCAGATGGCTGGACGGAATGGGCGCGGGCGCCCACCTGCCAGGGCTCTGATGGCAGAGAGGCACCAAAAAGCCCCAGAAGGAAAACCAAGGGCCAGAGCAATACAACGCCCACGCGATAGGGGCGGAGGGGCCAGAGCCTAACAAAGGACAGTGCCCGCTAAGAGGGCAGGTCACTGTCTGGGTCTCACCCACGCACACAAGTGCCAGAGACCTCGGGCTTAGTTTATAAACGGGACACGAGGAGCTCGCGGTACCCACAAGCGGCAGCCGCCTCACCCAGACAGCGTCAGGGACGGTCGCCACCGGTCCCCGGGGGTGCTGGACGGCACTGGCCGGGAGCGAGGATCACCACCGGCCCCGGGGGGGGGGGGGCGGCGGGGGGGGGGCGCCCAGCGCTCACGGCTCTCCGTGAGGTGTCGGGCGCCCCCCGCGACAGACCGCGCCGAGACGCCAGGCCCGGGCCGTTCGCTGCTGCTCCTCTCGGGCGATGGAGGCCGGGGCCGCGGCCCCACGTCTCGCAGAGGCCCGCGGCGTCTCGCTCCTCCCGGGAGGTCGGCTGCCGCACGCACGCACGCACGCGTCTCTCCTGCCGTCTTCGCCTTCGGAGCCGGCCGGGACGGGCGTCTTCCCTTTCCTCCTTCCTTCCGCGGGCGGCGGCCGCCTCCTTCCTCACGGCGCCCGCCGGGGCCCGTCTCTTCTCGCGGGGCCGGCGGCGTCCGTCCGGCCTGCGTCGTCCGTCCGTCCGGCCTTCGATCGGCGCGCGGGCCCGGGCGAGAGCCGCTCGCGGGGTGCCCCGCCCGCAGGCCTGACGGGCGCGTCCTCCGCCCGCCCGGGCGGCTGACGGGGCGTGTCCCCGGCGACCCCGGAAGGGCGCGCGCGTGCAGGGCTCCGAGGCGCGCCTGCCTCGACGGACGGACGGACTCGCGGTGGCGCCGCAGGGTGAGGGAAGCACCGCTCCTGCCGCCCCCCTTCCAGGAACAACTCCAGGCCCCTGAAGGGGGTCGGCCCTGCGGGGGGTGCCGTGGGCAGGAGCCACCAGAGCTTCTGTCTGCGCCGGGCGCTCCCCCCGCGGGTGTGCTGCGGGGCCGGGCGTCCGCGCGCGGGCGGCAGCGCCGGGCCACGAGGCGCGCTGGGGTCGCGACATCCTGGCCGACCCGGCCGGGCCGTGATCGTGGCCCCGGGTCTCGCCGCTCCTGCCCCCGCGGCCCGGGCGTGACGACCCGCAAGGACTCGGCGCGCGGCGGGGCGCCCCGGGACGCCGTGGGGCCGAACTCGCCGCTTCTCACTCGGCTTCCAGGATCGTGGAGGCCTGCACGTGCCGGCGCGACTCGCACCCACCCGCCTTCGGCGTCGCTCCCAGGGGGTCGACTCCACGGCCGGCCCTCGCGGCGCCCTCACGCCCTCGCAGGAACCGCTGTTCCCACCGGCCAGGCCCGGAGGCCCCGCCTGGCCTCAGCCCCCAGCGGCCTCCAGTCCCGGGCCCCCGCGGAAGGGACCCCGCCGCCGCCGCCGGGCCCGGTGTCCGCTTGTCTCTCGGGCCGTGCCTGCCGGGGCCGCCGGGGCGCGTCGCTTCGGCCCTCGCGAGCCCGGGCTCCGGGCGCCCCCCTGCGCGTCAGAGCCCGTGCGTCCGGCCGGTCCTCGCGCTCTCAGCCCGGGCTGAGGCGGCGTCTGTGCGCACGTGCGCGTTGGGCAGCCCCCAGCCGGGCCCCGCGGCCTACAGTGCCTGGCGCAGGAGCCACGTGTCCCTGAAGCAGTCACTGCAGTGGCGTGCACGCAAGGGCTGGCAAAAGAGGAACTAAGAAGGCCTCCCTGGTGGCGCAGCGGTTGAGCGCTGGGTTGCAAAGCTGCCCTCAGCCTCTGCGGCGCCGGTTCGATCCCCGGCTGCTCCCCGGCCACTGGAGGGGGGCTCCCACATGGCGCGCAGACCTCTCCTGCCTCGCCCGCTGCTCCCCTCAGCAGTGTACTTTGGTCCTTCTGCCTGCTCTGCTCCCCGCTCTGGCTCTGGTGAATTCTCTCACCCTCCCGCGCTTCTGACTATACCCAGTGCTTGTGTAAATAAATAAATAAATCTTAAAAAAAAAAAAAAAAAAGAACTAAGAAAATGTGACCGGGCCCCTGAGGCCGCCTGGCTGGTGGTGGTGTCTGCGCGGGGCGCTTACGAGCAGGGATGGGACGTGGGGAACCAGGACAGACAGACTCTAGGTTCTCACGCTTCCACTTACCGGAGGGAGGTTGTATCTGGCCGACCTTCCCCGCTGGTAAATGAGGAGCCTGTTGTCCCTTCAAAGCCACCCCTCCGTTTCACACCATGGACGCCGGCCTGCACTTGGCAGACGTGTGGGCAGCCAGAGTCTTGCCTTAGAGGGTGCCAGCAGCCAGGCCAGCCTCTCGGCTCCTCGCTCTTCAACTTGGGAACTCAGCTGCTCTGCACACTGCGGGTTGCTCCTTGGTGCCTCCCTGGGTTCTTCTCGGGGTGGGGCGTGTGAGCCGATGTTTCCTAGGCTCCAACCTCCTGGAGGTGGCCCCGCGGGCAAAGGTCGAGCTTCCAGCAGAGCAAAAGGAGAATTTTCCTTTCTTGACCCACATCACTCCATAATGAGCATCTGCAGTCACCGCCAAACCGGTTTTTCTACAGTGTTTGCTCCATTTCCCATTCCCACCAGCCACTGTGAGGATCCCGAATGTTCCCACTGTAACAGGGTGGTCCCAAGGAAAGGGGGAGGTTCTCTGCCCCACCCAAGGGAGGGTGGAGCTGAGCAGGGAGAGGAGAAGCTGCAGAAGAGACTGAGGAAGGGAGAAGCAGGATGGAGCCAGGAGACCTGGAAGAGGCGCATGGAGCCTAGAGACACGTGAAGAAACTGCGCTTGTCTTTTGGTCGTGGACTGGGTGACACAGACGTGGGTGAGACCCGTGGGGAGGTGACAATGGCAGTTTTTACCTTGATGTTGATTTTGCTCTTTTCCTTCCGGCCTTGTCTGGTTGTTTCTGACCCTTTTCTGTGGGTCCCACTGGAAGAGGCTTTAGACTTGGGGCAGGCTTTGGGGCCTTGCTCTGGGCCAATCCCATATGGATGGACTTTTACCCACGAGGGGACGGGTCACTTTGGGTGCTTCATTTAGAAACTAGACTCTTTGCCTTTCCTGTATTGTTTCGTAGTTTTATTAAAGTTCCTTCCCATTAAAGTCTCCTATGTTTTGTGTTGATGCAGCGGATGGCAGAACCCATGTAGAACAGGCAGGTTTGCGGGGTTTTGGGCTGCCCCTCTCCCTGTCCTATAACACCACCATTTACTTTTTTGAGTTTAGCATTCCTAGTAGGTGTGAACTGATGCTTCATTATGGCTTTGATTTGTATTTCCTTAATCACTAGTGAGGTCGAGCCTATTTTAATGCACTTATTGGCCATTTGCATATATGATGTGGAGAAATATCTGCCCATGTCCTTTGCTTATTTTCAAATAGCTTATTTTGCCTTTTTGTTTTTGAGCTCTTCTAGATTCTACACCCTCCCCAGATATAGGACTTGCAAATATTTTCTCCCAGTTTATGGCTTGTCTTTTCACTTTTTCTTACTGTGTGTTTTGAATGGCAAAGGTTTGGAATTTTTATAAATTTCAGTTCATTTTTTCCCTTTACGGTTTGTGGTTTTGGTATTTAATGACTCTTTACTGAACCCAAGGTCATGAATTTTTTTTCATATCCTTTCTTCTAAAAGTTTGATAATTTATATCTCTTACATTTAGGTCTCTGATCTATTTTGAATTAATATTGCTGTTTGGTGTAAGGTAAGGGTGTAAGTTAATCTTTTTTTTATGTGGGTATCCAGTTGTCTCAGCACCATTTGCTGAAGACACTGTTCTTTCCTTGGCACCTTTGTCAACAATAAATTGAACTCTAAATATAAGGGCTAATTTCTGGATTCTCTGTTCTGTTTTATTCATCTAAATGTTTATCCCTACCCTGGTACCATGCTCCGTAACTACTTTATACTAGGTTTCAAAATCAGGGAGTGAAAAGGCTTCCATTTTTTTCCTTATTTTTGAATATTTCTGGCTAGTCTGTGATATCTGCACTGATTTTAAGATCAGCCTGTAATATCTGCCAAAAAAAAAAACCTGCTGGAATTTTGATAAGGACTGTGTTGATTATATACATTAATTTGAAGAGTATTGTCTTCTGAGCATCACTGAGTTTTAAAATCAATGAATATTAACCTCCTGCTAATAGAGTATTTAATGGTTAAAACTGAAAGCTTTCCCTTTAAGGTCAGGAACAAGACAAGGACATCCACTGTCACCACTTCTATTTAATTTAGTGCTGGAGGCTTTGGCCAGAGCTGCCAGACAACAGGAAATAAAAGGAATGCATGTTGGAAAATATGTGATACTGTATTATTCGCACGATCTGATACTAGAAAACCCTAAAGACTCCACCAAAATGACCATCCACCCATGAAAATACCAGTAATGTTCTTCAAAGAAATTGAACAAAAATATTAACATTTATACAGAACCAGAGAAGGCGTGAAATCGCAAAAGCTATCCTGAGAAACAGGCATCACATTACCTGACTGACCTTACATGATAACGTAACTGAAATAATATAATATTGGCATAAAAAACAAACATGTGGATCAATGGAACAGAATCAAAAGGCCAGAAATAAATTCACACATACATCAATACTTAAGTCACGGCAAAAGAGCCACAACCATACAAAGGGGAAAGGAGAGTCTCTAATAAATGGTGTTGGGACAACTGGACAGACACGTGTGAAAGGTGAACTTGGGTCACTTTCTGTAGAAGGAAGCGCTGGTGGTATGTCTCATGCTGTCAATGATGAAGATGTTTTGGAAGACAACACCTGCTGCCACCGGGGAAACAAAGGGAGGAGCACAGGGGACGTTGGTGGAGGACTATGGGTGTTTTGGGGGTAGGTGCGGTGTGGTAGCACCACCTGGAGGGGAAGATCCTATACCTAAACCATACCCCAAATGGCAAGCCAATGTTACCTTAACAAAAAAAAAAAAAAATCAGAAAAAAGCAAACATAAACGCGATTCACTCAAATCAAAAAGCTTTTACACAGGAAAGAAAATATAAGTAGGTTAAAAAGACATCCAACTGAATGGGAGAAAACATTTATATTCAATATAGGGCTTACTATGTAAAAAATATTAAAAAAAACATACAATTTAACAATAAAAAATAAACAATAAATGGGCAGCAGATCTGAACAGGCAGTTCCCCAGAGGAAACCCGGAAGGCCAATAGCCACGTGGCAAAACGCCCATCAGCACCTTCATCAAGGCTGTGTGGGTCAGAAGCACAACAGGCTGTCACCTCCCGCCTTGAGGATGGCACACATTGAAGATCACCGGCAACGAATGCTGCAGAGGAGGCGGAGAAAGAGGATTGCACCAGCCACTTAGAAAAAGCAGCTGGAGTTACTTAAAAACTCTAAAAGTGGAGGCAATCCCAGCACTGGGCATCTTTCCAAAGGACATGAACCATCAACTCAAAAAATGATGTGCCCACAGTGTTTGTTGCAGCCCTGTCTTTACTAGCAGGACCTGGAGACACCCTCAGTGCCCACAGATGGAGGGTGGGGTGGAGAAGATGTGTCATCCCCATGCCAGGGAAAGCTACCCAGCCACAAGGAAAGAGAAATGCTGCCACCGACTGTAGATCGGAAGGAATGAGGAGGACAGTGTGTGTGGTAAAGCAAGTAGGCATGACAAAGACAAATACTGGACATTTACATAGTGGACAATTCGACAAAGCAGAATAATTATTGAAACTAGTGGACACTAATAAACGAGGCGAGGTTTCTGAGGTTAAGAGGTAGGGGAGGGAGAAAGGGACAAGGGGGTGTAAGGGCTAGTGGCGGGGCATGAGTAAAATGAATGAATGGATTCACGACTAAGCAGGTGGAAGGGTATGCAGGACATAGCGAACAGACAGTGGGGAGAACAAAAGATCAGGCATATGCATGTCTCTTTCTTTTGCCAATGCAGGGCAGCGAGGAAATATACAAATATTTAATGACTTCCAGAAAAGCCATTCCTTTTACCTCTCCAACCCGTATTTGGCTCTTAATTTATTCTTGTGGTCAGATCTTGCCTTTCTTCTTGCTGGGAAAATAGAATAAAATCCATGAATATGAAGTGTCTATCCATTTGTGTACTTCTTGTTTATCTTCCAAATATTTAATAGTTTTCACCACAAGTCTTGCACTCTTTTGGATACATCTGTTTCTAGGCATTTGTTGATACTATTATAAGTGAAATGTGTCTTTAATTTCATTTTTGGAAAAGTCATACTAATATATATCTATAAATACGATTGATCTTTCAACAAGAAATTTTTATTTTGGAATATCTTCAGGGTTATAAAAAGTTGTAATGATAGTCCGGAGAGTTCTTGCATCCTCCTGAGCCCATTCTTTGTATTATTATGTTAACATCTTATACTGGACCATACATAGTGGACAATTTACCTTGGTACAATTGTCAAAACTAAGAAACCCACATTATTACATTACTGTTAACTAAATTTTAGACTTGGAGTTCACCATTTCCCCCCACTTATGCCTGTTTTCTTTTCCCGAATCCCTCCCAGGAATGACGCTGCATTAAGTCGTCATTTCTCTATTGTCTCCTCTCACCTGTGACAGGTGTCACTCTCGCTTCTTGTGACATTGGTAGTTTGAGTAATTTGTAGAATGTTCCTCTATTTGGCTTTGTCTGATATTTTCCTCATAATTAAACTGCAGTTTTTTGGGGGAAGAATCCAAGCAAGGGGACGTGCCCTTCTCATCACACCCTGTCAGGGGTAGATGCCACCGAGGCAATAGTAGTTTTTGCTGAGTTTATGTAAAGTGGCTATTTCCCTCCATTTGCACAAAGTCAAGCTCACACTCAACAGGGAGATTGGAGATTAAGTTGTATGTACTTCGTGGAGGGGGCCCGAGCTGCATAAATTATTTAGAATTCTCTGAGAAAGATTTGTCTCTGCTTCCCATTTTATGAATTATTCGATGATTTATTAGTATGAAAAAATACATATTTATTTTACACTTTGGGTCATAATCCAGTACTGCATCATTTGTGTTTTGTCGCTGAAACTGCTTCAGCTTTGTCCCCCTGCAGCTGTGTCAGGGGAGGGGAAAGGAAAGGAGAGGCAGGATTGGTCAGTTCAAAACACAAAGAGTGGAGTTTTGGAAAACTCCCTGGGAATCTTATCTAAGGGGAAGGAGCTGTGAGGCAATAGAGACTATCTGGTTTTGGGGAAGTCATACCAGGAACTTAGTAACTTGTGACTCTATGGGGTGTCATCCAGGACACGCACTGCAGGGAGGACCATTGTCTGCAGTCTCTGCCTCTGCACCTCCCCATTTGCTCCCAGCTTCAGGCCCTCCATCTGGGATGGCTGTAGAGCTGTTACAAACGCTTTCCTTTTTTTTTTTTTTAAATACATGTAGTTTAGGAAGGCATATATATATATATATATATATATATATACACACATATATTTTTTAAACCTTTTTAAAAATATTTATTTATGCATACAAGAGCTGGGGTACAGGCCAGAGGTGTGTGTGTGTGGGGTGGTGAGAAGACCCATCAGAGACGGAGTGGGGAACAGAACAGGCAGACGGACTGAAATACACTGCTGAGGGGAGCAGCAGGCAAACAGGAGGGGTCTGCTGTGCCATGTGGGCAGCTCCTTGGCTGGGGATCGAACTCATGCTGCAGTGGTTGCAGACAGCTTCATGGGTTGCTTCTAAAGCCCTTATGCCACCAGGAAGGCCCTGTCACAAACGCTTCCTCTGCATCTCTGATCTGATCACTTGCTTCTCTTTCCTGTGGGCAAATTCCACTCACATTCAGTGGCTTAAGAAGCGGGCCTGGCCAAAGCGGACGTGGGAGCAGCCGGTTGGGGAGGCTCCAATCCGTCCAGTTTGTCCCCTTCCGTCACAGCCGAGCACACGCTCCGGACAGGACGCCACTGAACACGGGGCCGGGAGGGCCTCCCGCGCGCGCGCGCGCGCGCGTGGGCCCTCACAGCCAGCATGGGCTCCCGCCCGCAGCCACACTCCCCGCTGGGGCGCCTGGGCCGCCGCCCGGGCCAGGTGCCGCCCGTCTGAGAGTTAGCCGGCTGCACCTCCCCAACTTCCGGAGACGTCTGGTCCCCACGCTCGGCACCCAAACCGGCGCCTGCTGGGGGCTCCTTTCTCAGGTCTGGGCGCGAGGGTCACAGCACCCTGGAAACCAACACCGAAGCGCTCCTTTCCCACGAGGCCCTCGCGCCGGCAGCGGCCGGACGTCTGACGGCAGCCAGAGGGCAAAGGCACGAGCCTCGAGTCTCGGGCCGGTCCTCAGCCACCTCCCCTGCCTGGTCCGGGTGCAAACCAAGAAGCCACGCCGCAGAGGCCGTCGCGGCCCGAAAGGGATCGAGGCGCCCGGCCCGGGCCCCCGCAGCCGCGCTGCCCCCCTGTGACAGCCCCACCCCCGGGCGAGTCGTCGACTGACAGGAGGCCAGGCCCGCCGTGCTCCGTGTGACTCGCCAAACTCAAGAGACTGCATGGGGGGACCCCACTCTCACTGTGCACCCGGTCCACTGTCAGTTTTCAGTGCTTTCTCTCAATTTGGTTAATTAAAGTAACAACGCCGCATTTGACGCTGGGCAGAAAGAAACACCACCCAGCGGGGCGGGGTGCACTGGGCAACACCGGACAAGCCGCCTGGGCAACGTCTGCACGCGGACGGCCCTCGCGCCTGGGGGACGGCGGCGGTCTGGCGTGTGCGCCCGAGAACGCGGCTGAATCTCCCGCGAGCGAAGAGCCGCAGAACGAAAGCGCCCCGCGGGGAGCGCCCGCCCGTGGCCCGCAGCGGCCACTGCAGAGGCCACGCGCCGTGGGGCTGCACCGGCCCGCAGGGCCTTTTCCGGCCTTCCTGGCAAAGCCCGGCTCCGTCAGGCACAGGCTGCCGCAGAGGGCGGGGGCCGAGGGCCCAGGACCCAGACCAGCACGTGCCCCCTAACCCACAAGCGCCCCCAACAGACTCTCGCACAGCAGGCTGCGGGCTGCCGCCGCCGAGGCGGCCCAAGCACTTTAATGACACTGGGTGGGGAAACGGACACCGGGAGGCGCCTGACCCCCGCCCCCCCATACGCTGGGGGAGCCGGGCACCGCCGGGGGCCACGCGGCCAAACGTCTCTGCGGGCGCGCGGCTGCGCGGGGGTCGGGGGGCACCGCCAGCCAGCGTCCAGAGGCCCGGCCGCAGGAGCTCCGTCTCCGCCTCCGCCGGGGTGGGGGGGAGGCTGTGGCCGCAGCAGACGGGCGCAGGAGGGCGCGCGGCAGGACGAGCAGGGAGCTGGCGACGACGACGACGGAGTCCACGGCGGCCTCCCGAGCGCGCGGGGGGCGGGGGGCGCGAAGGGCCGCGGCCCCCAGGGGCCCGGGCGCGCGCACACGCGCGCGGGCAGCGAGTCCCGACGAGGCCCGCCGTCGCCGTCCCGCCGGGCCCCCGCCCTCCGCGCAAGGGCTCACACCCCCTGCCCCGACGGGCAGACGGCCTCCTGCAGCACGAGGTGCAGCAGGTGGTTCTGCTCGGCGCTCAGCAGCGGCCACATGGCCACCTGCAGCGACTTGACGGCCTCCGTGTCCTTCTCGTGCGTGGCCATGACCAGCGACTGCAGCAGCAGGAAGAGCTCCTCGGGCAGCGGGCCGCCGCCGTCCTGCCCGTGGCCGTCGAACGCCTCCCAGGAGTACTTCTCCAGCGTGCGCGCGTGCTCGGGCAGCAGCTTGGCCGGCGGCGGCTGCAGCAGCAGCAGCAGCAGCACGCGGGACACCTCGCAGCGGACCAGCACGTCCGAGAAGGCGCCGAGCGCGGGCACCGGCGCGGGCGGCGGCGCGCCGGGCGCGGGCGGCGGCGCGGCGGGCCGGGCGGCGCCGGGCGGCGGCGGGGGCCCGGGCGGCGGCGGCGGCGGCGGCGGCCCGGGCGGCGGCGGGGGCCCGGGCGGCGGCGCGCCGTGCTCGCGGGCCAGGCGCTGCATGCGCGTGAAGAGCGCCAGGGCGCTGCTGTAGTCGCGCGCCAGCAGCTGGCAGGACGCCGCGTCGCCCAGCGCCTGCAGCGCGGCCAGGGGCAGCTGCGGCAGCTGCAGGTGGGCGGCGCGCTGGAAGTGGCCGGCGGCGGCGGCCGGCTGGCCCAGGTCGCGCAGGGCGGCGGCCAGCTCCAGGCAGAGCGCGGCGGCGGCGGCCGGCTGGCCCAGCTCGAGGTGCAGGCGCACGGCGGCGCCCAGCGCGGCGGCGGCGGCCTGCAGCGGCTCCCCGTAGGCGGCGGGGCAGGCCAGGCGCTGGCGCGCGTCGCGCTCCTGCCGCAGGAAGAGGCGCGCGGCCTCGGTCAGCGCCAGCGCCTCGCCGGGCCCGTGGAAGAGCGCCTGCTGGCAGCGCGCCACGGCCAGCTGGCACCAGGCCGCGTAGGGCAGGCACTCCTGGGCGCGCAGCTCGCGGCCCAGCTGGGCGAACTGCTCGCCGGCCTCCGCCACGTTGGGCTTCCGCAGGAAGCGCTTCTTCAGCTTGCTGGACACCTGGCGGTAGCGGGCCAGGAAGTCGGGGGCCTCGGGCCCGGGGCCCGCGCCGCCGGCGCCCGGCCCCGCCGCGGACGCCGCCATCTTGCCGCCCGGCGCTTCCGGGCCGGCGTGCCCACGCCCGCGTGCGACGGCGACGTGGCGGGCGGGCGGGCGGGCGTGCTTGCGTCACGCGCGCCGCGCGCCCGCCCGCCCGGCCGCGGGGCGGGGCGGGGCGGGGCGGGGCGGGGCGGGGCGGGGCCTGGCCGGCCGGGGCGGGCCCCGCTGTCGCTAGGCGACCAGGTGTTTGCGCGGTGGCCAGGGCGTCTGGCCTCCCTGAGCGAACTGGGTCCCCAAACCGCGCGGTCGCCCCCCGTGACCCCTTCCGACCTGGCACCCGGCTGGCCCCCCGCGCCTCAACCTTCCCGTCCGAGCCCGTGCCCACGGCGCTGCCCACCCATCCGCCCCGCGCCCCGGTGACCGGCGCACGGTCCGCCCGTCGCCTCGCCGCAGGCCTGGTCTGGTCTGGAGCTGCTCCCCAAAGAGCCCCGTCCTCCTGGGGACTCATGCCGACGACGGCGCAGTCGGCCCAGGCCAGCCCCACGCCTCGCCCTTCCCCGCCCACCCGGGGACACGCCCTCGCACCGTCCCGCTCCGCTCCGCAGGCAGGCCTCTGCTCTCCGCCAGCCCCATCCCGAACCCCCCAGCCGGGCGTCGCCCCGCCGCCCCCCCCCGTGCCCCGACGGAGGGCCCGCCCGTGCGCCCCCCCCCCGCCCTCCCGTGCCCCGACAGAGGGCCCGCCCGTGCGCCCCCCCCTGTGCCTCGACGGAGGGCCCGCCCGTGCGCCCTCCCGCCCTCCCGTGCCCCGACGGAGGGCCCGCCCGTGCGCCCCCAGGGCCCCGGGGGACCCCGCACCCCACGCAAAGCGACCGAAGCGCGCACGAGTTTCTTTCAACATTTATTGGCTTCCAGGACTGGGGGCCGGGGCTGCCGGGCGTGACGGGGGCCTGGCCGGGGCCAGGGCCCGCGGCCGCTAGTGGGGGCCCGGGGCCACCTGGGAGATGGTGGTGGCCCCGAAGAGGGGGCTGAGCAGCGCGTTGTTGTGCACCGCCATGTCCAGCAGCTCGGGGGTGATGCGCGTGAGGCCTCTGTTCTGGGCCTCGCTGCCCGCCAGCTCCAGCACGGTGGCCGTCAGGTACTGGAGGACGGCCGCGAGGAAGACCGGGGCGGATGCGCTCAGGCGCTGGGCGTAGCGGCCCTCCCGCAGCAGGCGCTCCACGTGGCTCACGGAGAAGGCCAGCTCGGCGCGGGAGCTGCGGGAGCGGTCTCCCCGCTGCTCGGCAGACGACCCCCGACGGCTTCTCCTCGGCATGGCGGCGGCGGCGGCGACGGCGAGGGGCCTTCCTGCCTCGGGCCTGGCTGCGCGGCGCTGGGAGGCGAGGCGAGGCGAGGCGAGGCGGGGCGAGCCGGTGCGGGCGAGGCGAGGCGAGGCGAGGCGAGGCGAGGCGAGCCGGTGCGAGGCGGTGCGGGCGGGAAGGTGCCCGGCTCTGCCACGGCGGGCCCCAACCGCTGCGTGGAGCCGGTGTCTGACCCGGCTGCGTCTCCTAGCAACCGCCGGCTCGAGGGGCCCCTCATTGGTGGGCTCGCGCGTCCCTAGAAGGTTCCAACGCACCGCCAGGGGGTGCCCCCCACCCCCCCACCCCCGCCCAGAGCGGGCCCGGGGCCGGGCCCGCCAGGTCCGGCCCACGCGGCTGCTCGCCCGAGCCTCCCTCCCGGGCTGCCTCCCTTGCCAACGGAGGGCAACGTGGGCCGGGCCACCGCCACCGCGACCTGCTGCCACCATGTTGGCACCACCCCGGTGCCCCCCAAGCCCCGTGGGATGCGCCGTCGCGCCCCCCCCCGCCCCTCCTCCCCGTTCGCCCCCTCCCGCTCGCGAGACGCTGGGGCCGGGCCCCGGCGCGGGAACGTGGGTGGCCCCTCGAGCCGGGCAGCTGGCGCCCGGCCCGGTGCGTTCCTCGGGGTCCAGCCAGAGGGCAGCTCGAGCCGGCGCGTCCTCCCTTTTCGCGGCTGCATGGTACTCCGTCGCACGGGCGGCCGCGGTCCTGGGCACCTCGTCGTGCGCGGGCGGACGTTTAGGGGGCCCCGCCGGCAGGACTGCGCCCGCGTCCCGTGCGCTCCTGGGGGGGAACGCCGGCTCGCCTGCTTCCTGTGGGCTGTCTGGGCGCGGCGGGCCGGGGTGCGCGTAGGGAAACTGTGTTGGCCGACTGAGGGGCCGCGCCACTGAGGGGCCGCGCCACTGAGGGGCCGCGCCACTGAGGGGCCGCGCCACTGAGGGGCCGCGCCACTGAGGGGCCGCGCCACTGAGGGGCCGCGCCACTGAGGGGCCGCGCGACGCTTGGGCAGACGCAGGGGCGGCGAGCGCGGCTCCCCTCCGCTGCCCGTCGGCCTGCGGCCTTGGTGTCCGTCTGCGTCTCTTTGGTTCCGTGCGCGCGGATTTATTTGCTCGGGTCGCGGCCCTGGCGGCTGCGGAGCAGCATCTGCGGGGGCCCCCTCAGGGTGCAGCGTGTGGGGTCTGGCGCGGGAACCTGCTGGCCGGGTGCTCCTGCCTCGGAGGCGTGTCCGCTCCAGCCCTCTGCACACTGGCGGGTCGGCTGGTCTTTAGGCCTTGAGCTGCCGGGTCCTGGCTGCGGCCTGGGAATCTTCCTTGCACACCCAGGCCTGTCAGCCGCTGCCCCTCCACGCTATGCTCCGCGACCCGAATGGGAGCCCTTGAGGTGCAGAAGGTTCTGGTGTGGTGGCTCCCATTGGTGTCTTTTTTTACTGGTGGCCTTGCCTCTGGGCCCCACGTCAGGACCCCTGTCCCATCCCACGGCAGGGACACTGACACAGGCTTGGATTCCAGTTTTCATAGCATCGCTACTTGTGAGGCCGTCCGTTTTTGAGTTGATTTTAGAGTTAATTTTGTATGTGGCATGAGATTGGGGCCCCAATGCATTTTTCTGTGTGTGGATACCCAGTTTCACAGCACCATTTGTTGAAGGGGCTTCTCATCCCCGCTTTGAAGCGTCTTTTCATCCTTGAAAATCAAGTGCTTAGCATGTGTGGGCTGGTTTGTGAGGCACACTCGATTCTGAGTCACTGACTCAGATGTCTCCATGGCCTGCACTGCCCCTTGCAGGATTGCTGTAGCTTTGTGGCACACTTTGAAATTTGAGCATTGAGTCCTCCAACTGTCTGTATTTTTTCAGCATTGTTATGTACACGTGGGCTTCATGATCTGCTTGTCAGTGTGTACAAAGCAGCCAGGTTGGATTCTAACAGGCCGGGCCCTGAGTCTGCATATTGTCTTGGGGATGGTGGCCATCATGACAGTTTTGCGTGTTTAATCCCATAACACGGTGCCTTACCATTCCATTTCCTTCAGCGGGGTTTTCTAATTATCAGAGTACACAGCTTATGTGAAATTATGTTAAATTTATTCCCCACTATTTTATTCTCTTTGATGATACTGTAAAAGGGACTATTTTCTTCACCTCTTTTCAGATTTTCGTTGCTAGTGGACAGAAATACAACCAACTGGTGGTGGCACATTGGTCAGGCTCCTGCTGCAACTTCGCTGGGCTTGTGTTGTGCATGCAAGCAGCTTGTGTGGGCCTCTTGTGGGTTGCTTATCGTGTTCTATGTATGTACACATGTGTGCTATGTAGGTAATACATGTAGTGTATATGTGTAACCTGTATTTATGGACATGTCACCTATAAACAGATGCTTTCTCCTTTCCAACCCAGGGGCCTTTAATTTATCTTGTCCTGACTAATTTCCCCAACTAGAACTTTGAGTACAGTGTTCAGTAGAAGTGGCAAGAAAAGACATGCTTGCCTTGTTTATTTTCATGTTGAACCAACCTTTCACTCATGGGATAAGGCCCACTTGGTCATGGTGTGTAATGAGTGGTCAAGACGTGTTGTGTTGAAATGTATAGGATTGATCAGGCAAATCACTGTGGGGTGTGTGTGTGTGTGTGTGTGTGTGTGTGTGTGTGAGAGAGAGAGAGAGAGAGAGAGAGAGAGAGAGAAAGAAAAGGAGAGGGAGAGACAGCATGATGAAAAAGGCACTTGGGCGAGGGGGAACAGGGTGAATGGATTGGGTCAAAGGGGTCAGCTGGACTTTCGTTGGGAACTAATGTAGTATGTACAGATACTGCTGTATGCTGATGTACACCTGAAACCAATATGACCTTACAAACCGATGTACATCAGTGAAAAATTAATAACAAGACTTACAACACCACCTGCAGAGCATCTACAGATCTCATGAGTTGTTGATAATTGTGTAAAATGGAACAGCTGCACTAGCAGTTGTGTATGAAACCACACCCCCCCCCCAACCTGGCCACTCCATGCTTCGGTATTTACCTGAATGAAAGGAAAACACAAAAACACTGTCACATGACCATTCGTGGCCCCTTTATTCACGATAACCCCAAACGAGAAACAAGCCAGGCGTTTCTTCATAGAAGTTTGGATTTTTTTCTATGATCTGACTTTCCAGAACAGGCTAAACTAACCTGTGGTGGTAAAGTGTCAAAACTGGCTGCTGCACAGGGTAGGCTGGGAGGGGCATGGGCGTTTCTGCAGTGAGGGCAACATTCTTGATGCGGACAGGGCCGGGCCACGCGGAGGTTGCGGGTTTGTCAGTAGCCAGCAAGTGCACACTTAATATTTTTAACATTATTGTATGTAGAGTTTATCTCAGAATACAAAAATGTAAGCAAATATTCAAGTGTAAGGATATAAATGTTGAAGAATTTTAGGGGGATGTGTACTTGCATCTGCAATGTACTTTGAAATGTCTGAAGAATCAGATTCCGAGACGGCTAGAAGGGCAGCAACACACGCACAGCAACACACCTGTCTGCAGGTTTTCCCTGTAAAAGTTTCAACTTTTCTTTATGTCAGAAAATGCTCATAATAAGCTGTTGGAAAAATGACTGAGCACCTAACCATGGCTCTAGAGCTATAAGGGGTAACTGCAGGAGCAATGCCCAGGGCGGCTCATCCAGGGGCGAAGAGCCAGTGTGCATGCGGCACCTGGACTGTAGCTCAGGAGCGACAGCAGTAACTTATTTTTATCTTCCTCATGACCGGATGTGGAGGAAAAGGCTTGAGATGAACAGAGGGGACGCTTGAGCCTTGATGATTACGTGCGATCTAAGGGGTGCGAACTATAAAGGCCACTGGAGGTACCATTGGAGCCACATCCCCGCGTACTTGCAGCCCTGCTGGGTCACTCAGGGGAGCTGTGTCTTCCCACAGACTATCAGTCCTACAGCCCCTCACAGGCTTCTAGTCTGGAGTGACACTGAGGTGAGGTGAGGCTCTTCTGGGCAGAGACAAAGCAGCACCAGACATGCTAACACAGAACAAGGCGTATTCAAGGACGAGAGCAAGGAGTCCTACTGGGGCAGCGCGGAGAGCCACTGGATTTTAAACTGGGAAGCTGTGGCCATACTGACTCTGTGAAGGCCTGACGATGGCGATGGTAGGGAAGAGGCACTTGTGGGAAGCAGGTGACAAAATCCATGGAAAACAACAACTTTGGTAACTGAAATAGAGAAAAGTATAGAGGGCTCGCACCTAGAGAAGTGTGGTGCAGAGAAGAGGACATGCCGGGGGCGTGCTGCAGTCTGGGAACTGGCAATAGTTGGTAGCTGATTAAATGCGCAAGATGAAGAACTGGTAAAAATCTAGAATGACTCCAGGTTTCTCATTTGAGCAACTTGACAGAGAATTCAGGCAGATGGATACATTTTATTAAGAGTCCCGTGTTACAGATGAAGAAAGGGAGGCACAAAAAGATGCAGTTATTTGTCCAAGATGGCAATGCTGATCCCTGTTCAGAAGGGCAAGCAAATCCAGATCTGCGCGAGCGTGTTCGTACATGGTTGTGCTGCTAATGAGAAAGGGTTAAATTAAAGTACAATTATTCCTCTCTGGCTGTGGTCAGAAAGAGAAGAGCTAGTCAATATTCGAAGCTCAACCCTGTCCCACTGCTTTTCATTCCATTTCCTCCTCTCCGCCCCGCTAGAATGAGGCCGCAGGGCTGCCGGCCTCTGCGTATATGATGCCATTGAGCAGGCTCTAAAAGCCGCTTTATTTCTTATTCTTCCTCCCCTGAACCAAACGTTCTTAAGTTCTAGACCCTTAAAGGAAATCAATGTAACCACAATCAATTGCATATTATCACCCTCTCCTGGTTTCTTTGTAAACCCAGCCCCATACTCCTTTCTACTCCCTGCCTCAGGCTCATCATTTATGTGCAGAGACACGATCAATAACAACAAAAGAACCTCAGAGGTACCTCTAGTAAGCGCAGAGGTGGGAACGTTAAGTGTGGCCTCTATCCATCACGTCACATCAGTTCCATTTCTTTCTTGTGGTGAGAACATTTAAGATAGACTCTCTGTTAGGTAACTTATCATTGCAATATATAAGAATATCAGATCAACCCTTTGTACACCTTAAATTTATAGAGTGTCGCTTGCCTATTAGATATGAACGAAGCTGGAGCGAAGCCTGGCGTACCCACCTCCTCCTCAAGCTTCAGATTCCACGTGAAAAAAAGTCATTTTGCAGTCATTCTGTCTCTCTGACTTGTAAGTCGATTCAAATTCCTCTTAATACCATTTTCAAAACAAATTTGTTTTGTATTTCAATATATAACATAACAACTAAATTTAAGAATGCTGTACAAATTCCAAAACTAAGGATTGGCCACTACTTTTTTGGGTAAGTTATTTCTAATTATTTTGGAAAAAAAAACAGTATTAAGATCCATTTATATAGTAAGGTGGGTTTCTAATCATTTCAAAAAATTTTGTTCCTGTAAATCTAAAAGAGTAAGCAAAGATATTTCCAAATGATGCTGTTTCTAGAAGAGAAAGAAATAGTTACATGACTCATCAGCAGTAGATATGATCTTGGTTCATAAAAAGAGGAAAATGATCAAGAAACTCTTTTAGACCATCACATGTGAAAATCGCACTCAGGGAAATGGAATCCACTTACCCACAGGCTCTTACAAATAGGTGGTGTGGGCCGCCCCGGAGCTGGCCTGGTGGATGAGGCCTGGCCCCAGAGAAGTCTGAGTGGAAATCCACACCCTCCCAGAGGTGGCCTCTCTGTTTAAGGAAGTATAGGAAGGCGTCTTAATTATTTGAAATTTCCATGGTTGTCTTTCCAGACACTTTCCAGTACTTTACTTATTCACAAATAAGAATGGACATTTTTTCTCCAGATTCCCATCGATCGGGTGAAGATGACAGTGGAACACACTGGCATTCTCGACAATCCTATCAGTGATTAATATTGTAGGAAATTGGTTGGGAGGGGGGAACCGTAGAAGTGCAAAGTGTTCTGGAAGCCTAGGAAGCCATCCTGCTGCTGATGTGCCTGCTTTTAATGGCCTTTACGTTCCTGTTCTCAGCTTCCTGTGTACAGAAAGAGTTTCCTATGCAGCTGCTATTAGCATTGATAAGTCTAGATCCCCACCCACCTTTTGGACATGGAGGGAATAAGGAGAAAAGGGTAGTGTATGGTAGCGAATGTTTAGGGAGCTTGATGCTTCATGGTACCTCCCCTTGAGTTACACGTCATAGGTTTTGATTTTATAGTTCTTTTCCTGGTGGGCTTAGATCTGACTAATAGTCACTTTCTTTAGTTTGCAGATTTCATCTTATTCCCTGAAACTTCAACAGGAAATGTTCTTCCTCTTGAACCATAATCTCCATGTCCTCTCATTTTATTGTGCACCAGCGCAGCTTCTTGTACTTGAACATTCTCACTGTGTTTCAAGCTGAACGATTCACAGACGTTACAAGCACAGCGTACTGTGTGTGCACAGCAAACTCTAGCTGGTCTTAAGTAGGGAAAGTACTACCTCTACCAAGGGAGGTCTGCCTCGCATCTAACACTACAGAGGATCTTTCTACATTCCAGTTAGAAAAGCAGACTGGCAAGTGGAAAGAATATTGCATCTAGGAGCAGGAGACCCCGAGCTCTCTGAGTCCATCAGCTCGGCTGATACAGAGTGACTCTCGGCAGTCAGTTAATATATCTGAGCCTCAGAGGCCGATCTGGTAGTGCAGCGGGTTGAGCGCAGCGCTGTGAAGCTGTCCGCAGCCTCTGCAGTGCGGGTTTGATCCCCGGCCAGGGAGATACCCACATGGCGCCGCAGTCCTCTCTTGTCTCGCCCACTGCTCCCCTCAGCCGTGTTTTCAGTCCGTCTGCCTGTTCTGTTCCCCGCTCTGTCTCTGGTGAATCCTCTCACCCTTTCATGCCTCTGGCCTGTACCCCAGCTCTTGTATAAATAAATAAATCTTTAAGAAATATCTATATCTATCTATCTATCTATCTATCTATCTATCTATCTATCTATCTATCTATCTATCATCTATCAATCTATCTGAGCCTTGGGTGCCTCCTCAATAGAACGGGGGATAAAACACACACTTACCAGTATCATTATAATGATAAAAACAAAATAGTGGGCGTGAATGTGCTGCTTAGGAGTTGCACAATACAAGGTAACATTATTAATCACCAGTCTCTGAATCAAGGCTCAGAAACCATGGAAGGTCAAACCTGGATGATCTTTACACACCATCTCATTCAATGCTCTTATTGATAAGATGGGAAACAGGCCACCGGAGGGGCTGCGGGCAGGTGTGTGCGAGTGTAGGTGTGTAGGGAGTTGCCTGTGTTCACACAGTGGCTCAATGGTGGGTGGTTGTCTCCACTTGCTGCCTTTTCTAGTGTACAACGATCCCTCACTCAGGATCACAGGGCTGGGAAAGTACACCAATTACTTTGAAGTCTTCATCATATTTAACATGTAAGTGACTTTAGAGATTAGAAATCCAGGCCTCAAATACAGCACTGTGAATGGGAATCTCCCTGTTCTTGCTATGACATATTATGCAGTAAAGCAAGACTGACCGCACCTGAGACGTTTTTATTGGTGTTCATCCTCTGCAAATGCGCTATCACGGGTAACCAGGAAACTAAAGAAACCCAATCAAGCTGATCCTTTTTGCCAACCTGTCTGTATGTTCTTGAGTGGGAGGGACATTTTCTACAAATGCAGTTCCACAGAGCAGAAAGTTCTGCAGAAAGGTCTTCAGTCCCTCACTGGTTTCTAAGAAGCTGGGGAAATCTACCACTGGAACTGGGGCTGGTAGATGGCAGCATTCATAAGATTCTAGGCTGAATGACCTTTCGTTTCTGCCCGTCCTATCTAGTCACGTGACCAGCAGCTCCTTGTAAGGGAAACATAGAAGGTGTTACAAATAATCCATACAAATACAGCCAATGATTTACTGGTTAAGAACATTACTTTTAGCAGCTGATTACCCAGTGCTGTATTGTTTATGAAATCAAATTAAAGTGAGTGCTGAGAATGTTCCTGAGATAGAAATATTTGTGGGTCGAGTAGCACTAATTAATAAATGAATGAATAAATCTTTTCCCTGGGTAAACAAGTTCAAGAAATTATGGTTATGAAGTAGAGGACCTCTGGGGCATCCATCAAGCTATCAGAGGACGATGATGGAAGCACCCCTGCAGTTCTATAGCCTACACCCCTCGCTCCCATTGCCCTAGCAACACCTGTCATCCACACACAAACTTTCGGAGCTAGAAGGGACTACAACTCAGTAACAACAAAACACCCCAATTAAAAACTAGGTAAGGTCTCCCTGGTGGTAGCGGGATGAGCGCCGTGCTGTGAAGCTTACCACAGCCTCTGCAGGGCGGGTTCAATTCCTGGCTGGCCAGGGAGATACCCACATGGCGCGGGAAACCTCTCCTGTTGCCCCTGCTGCTCCCCTCGGCAGTGTTTTCAGTTGTCTGCCTGTTCTGCTCCCTGCTCTGTCTCTGGTGAATTCTCTCACCCTCCTGTGCCTCTGGCCTGTACCCCAGTTCTTGTATAAATAAAAATAAAATCTTTTAAAAAAGTAAAAAAATAAAAACTAGGTAGAGCATGCAGTGACCAATGGGCACATGAAAACATGCTCATCAGCATTCTTTGCCAGGGAGATGCAGAGCCCACCTCGCACCCGTGGGAACAGCCCAGCTCACAAAGACCAGAAACAGCATGTGTTGGCAAGGCTGTGCAGTATAAGGGAGCCTGTCTACACTGCAGGAGGAAATGTAGGCTGGTCCAGACCTCTGAAGACAGTATGGAGGGTCCTCAAAAAATAAAAATACAAATTCCATAAGATCCACTCATCCTACTGCTGGGTATTGACCTGAAGAAAATGAAAACATTAACTCAAAAAGTTATTATTCATGTTAACTGCAGGATTATTTACAATAGCCAAGACATGGAGACAACATAAGCAGATGAGTAGGGAGAATGTGATATATATGCAATAGTATATCATTCAGGCATAAAAAGAAATGTTACCACTTAGGAGAATATGGATAAACCTTAGGGGCATTACGCTAAGTGAAGCCAGTCAGATAAAGACAAATAGTATCAATTCAAAATTCATAAAAATTGAACTCATAGAAAAAGAGAGTAGATTGTGGTTGCCAGAGGGAAAGTGGGTGATGGTGGTGAAAGGCTGTAGACTCCCAATTAAAAGACAAGTCTCCTGTCCACTCACAAGTGAAAAAGAGCAGGTCTCGTCCAGAGGAATGGGCCAAAGCTGAGGGAAGCCAGACGTGATCAAATCCCATTTCTAAGGAAAAGATCACACTGGTCAGAAATAGTTATTTAGGAAAACTTTAAAAAAAAAATTAGTAGCCTGATAACTTCCAAAAGATTTCCAGTAAGACGGGGCAACAGCACCCGCACCAGCCCCAGCTGACAGGTGAATGCATTTCATTACGTAATAAGCTGGGGAAATAGGGCACTATTTATTTTATTATTATTTTTCAATTACTTGATTTTCTTACCTTGTTAATTTTGTACCGTAATTCATTCCTCGCCTCAGGTGCAGTCCCCGTAGTTACACAGACAAAGAGTGAAAGGCCCGCAGAAAAGCCGCGAGTGAACGAGCGAAACCCTCCAGGCCCAGAGTGACCAGGACTTGGTATGGAGCATTTCCACCCATCAGAGTGACAAGACTCTTAAAGATCGACTAAAACAATGTTTTCAAAAGATGTGCGGATGAAGGCACAGTGGGGAGCTATGTGGAAGTTACTACACAATAAAAGGTATGTATATTTATTGCTTGACCCCCGAATTTATCTGTCAGTGTTTCCCTCACAGAAAGTGTTGCACCCCGTAGGCATCCACTGCAGTTCTGTCTATGGCAGCCAGAAAAGAAAAGAAAGCAAAGTGGGCTGTTCCTGATGTCGTCATTTTCACTTGAGGGACCAGGGAAGTCAAGTCAGAGCAGTAACTTGTAGGATCATATCACATGGGCGGCGAGGCCACACCTGATGCCTATGCCCAAATGCCCCTTTCACTAGTGTTTCTCAAAGTGAAGTTTGGAGCCTCTCTGAAGAGGGGGTGTAGTGGCAGGACTGGACATGGGACAGGTTTTCTAGGATCCCATGCAGACCGGGTCAAGGAGGAGTCAGAGTCCCCAGTGGGTTTTGCACGTCTTTTATTGGGATTTACCCGGTACATAGCAGGCAGGGGTGCTGGGGGCCCGGGAGGCTGGCAGGCCTCCCAGCCCCCAGCAAGTCTTCACTATCTGGGCTCTCTGGCGTTCTCTGCTTCTCTCTCGGCTTCTGTTCGTTCTCGGCTTCTTGGCTTCTCCTGGCATCCCTGTGACGCCGCCCTTAAAAAGCCCAGTCTTAGCCCAGGTGAATCCCATCTACATAGGCCCACACCCCACTCCAGGTGCCCGCCATCAGGCATGCGCTCAGGACCGCAAGGATCCATCATCTATCCTGATGGCGGGAGGGCAGGAAAGCCTGACAATTTTCCTTACCCTACAGGGGGCTTCTGTAAGAGCAGAACTCGGCAGACCCTCCCCCCAACAGCAACGACAGAATTGGACAAAATTGTCAAAACCCATCAGTTGAAGAATCTGGAAGTTGACCCACTGTCCAATTAGGGGGAATTTAATTAGGCAAAACGACTGCAGCTGGGGTGGCGACCATTGTGCTGTCTTAGTTGGGGTGCTCCCATTCCCTCCTCCACTGGGCCCCCCAGCCACAGGCTGACTTGATGGGTGGGCACGTGACCCCCCTGTGGATACTTTGCGGATGTGGACCCTGGGGCAGGGCGCTGGGTATGGCCACTGTAAGGTCAGGAATGGACATAGGGCAGGTTTTCTGATGCAGCAGAGCGGGTCAAGGAGGAGTCAGAGTCCAAGGTGGCTTTTGCAGGTCTTTTATTTAGATTTACCAGGCATATGGCAGGCAGGGGTGCTGGGGGGCCTGGAGGCTGGCAGGCCTCCCAGCCCCCAGCAAATCCTCACTCTATCTGGGCTCTCTGGCGTTCTCTCTGCTTCTCTTTTCTTCTCTCGGCTTCTGTTCGTTCTTGGCTTCTTCTTGGCTTCTGCTGGTGTTCCTGTGATGCCGCCCTTAAAAGCCCAGTCTTAGTCCAGGTGAATCCCATCTACCTAGGCCCACACTCTACTCCAGGTGCCGCCACCAGGCATGCATTCAGGACCGCAAGGATCCATCATCTATCCTGATGGTGGGAGGGCAGGAAAGCCTGACATTTTTCCTTACCCTACACCACACTTGAGGCCAGAGGCGGAGCTGTGAGGTGGGTCACCCAGACACCTGCGGGAGCATAGGGACTACAAAGCCACAGACCCCAGGTGATGCCAGAGTGAGCCCAGGGAGAACAAGGACTCCTGGGAGCTGGGGGACTATGGGGGAAATGGGAGTGATCAGGTTTCCCCACCCTCCTGCCATTAGCATCAATGCTAGACACCTGTGGCCTTACCAGCGTGCTGACGCCGCACCTGGAGTGTGTGTGAGTGGGCACCTGACCTGGAGGCTGCACGCAGAAGCGTGGCAGCGGGGGCAGAGAGCGACGACCGGAGCATGGGAGCAGAGGGCCACGCAGAACAGTGCCACAGAGACCAGCGAGGGGACCACTAGCAGCCTCCAGGCCCCGTCCCTGCCTGCCCGGCGCCTGGGTGCCTCACTCCAGGCCTGAAAAAGCCACTGAGGATGCCAGGACTCCTGCTTTACCTGTCTGCCCGGATCACAGAAAAACTGCCCCGTGCCCTGCTGGTACTACAAGGCTCTGTTGCCTGCCTGCCCATGGCCCCCTGCCTGGCCTGTGCTGCCTCCCTGACCATGCGCTTGGGTCCCTGAGAGCACTGAAGTCTGAACAGCCCATGTGGCCGGACTCTTGATCCCACCCGAATCCACAGCCCGGTGCCCGTGGGCACCGCCGTGACCCATGCGCTGGAACTATTGAGAAGATGCTACGTGGAATCCCATTGCCTGAGTTGGCCGGAAGGTAACCTATGACCTGGGGAAAAGCCTTGGGCTGTACAGGAGGGAAGAGAGGCAGAGGCGATCACAGCTGCTCTTTTGTGAATAACTTTGTTGCAGCAATCAAAGTACCTGCGCCCTCAGGACACACCCAGGTGAGTGCTGGACTGTCCAGACTTTGAGGTTAGTTAAGTGTCTCCAACGTAATAACCCCCGATACTGTGAAACAGCTATTTGCTAAAGTTCTTGGCCTAGGACCCATGGAGTGACATGTAAAATTGGGTGTGTTCCGCATCTTTCCTGTGGACAAGACCCGTAGCTTTCATGGCAATTTCTACGGGATCCGTAACCTAAAACATGGCAAACCATGCCCTGGGGTGAAAATTGTGACCAAGTGCTACAAATCCTCATTCTGATTGGTGCTTACACAATAATCCTGGGCTTGACAATCTACAGCCTAGGGCTGAATACTCTCTAGTTGGCTTTGAAAGTGGTATAAGGCAGAAACAGAACAAAAAAGACCACGTAACAGAGGCTGTGTCACCCACCAAACCTAAAATGTCTACTCTGGCCTTTTACAGAAAAAATTTTCCTGGCCTCTAAGATCCTCCATGGAAGAGTCTCCTTTTTTACTCTCCCCTTCACTTCTGGGGACTTAGTAACACCTGCTACCACCAGTTCATAACTTCGGAGACCCCCTCACTGCGCTGGGCACAGTGATCTTTGCAGAGATTCTGCTTACTCTGCCCACCTGTGACGTGCGGCGGCCTCTCTTCCTTGTGCCCTTTCCTAATAAGCCGTCCTTTTAAAATGGAAAAAAAAGAAAAAAATAAGAAATAAAAAGAAATTCAGCTTAAAATTCGTCAATATTTCCCTAATGCCAACCTTCTACCTGCAGGCAAGACACAGTCTGGCAAACTATGGCCTGTTTCTATGAGACCCACAAGGTAAGAATGGATTTTACATTTTTTAAAAGGTTATAAACAAGAATACGAGACCAAGACTACATGTGGCCTGCAATCCCTACAGTATTCGTTATCTGGTCCTTAAAAACAAAACATTTTTCCAACCCTGATGTTCTGATGCTCAATTCTTAATCAAATACTTTTCTCCTTTTATATTTTTTTAAAAAAACACTACTTTTAAGCAAGTACGTTCATTTATTTTTAATTATAAATAAATCAGTAATATCAGCCACCATTTCAGTGGCTCACAGTCTAGTGGGGAAGAAAGAAACACCACTTTCCGTGGTAACTGCTACTGCCTCCGACAGTTTAAGCAGAACTACAGGAAAAGGTGCAAAGGAGAACGGGGTTGATGATGCCTGGGAAGGCCTGAGGACCCCTCAGATCAGTATTCTTGGAAGAAGTGTGATGTTGTTTTGTATTTACTTACAAAGTAAAATTTGCTCATTGTAAAATGGAGAAAAGGGAGAAAGAAAAGTAATCCAAAGAAACCCAAAATATATAAAATAAAAGGTGAAAGCTCCCTTCCCTTATTATTTGCCATTCTCATTCCTTCAAGGAAACTCCAGTCAGGTTGGACAACAAACCGCAGACCACACACAATTGAGGTCTCCATGTTCATTTCAACAAAACCACTATAAACATTTACAGACAAATTTTTGTGTGAACATAGTTTTCAGATGGCTTGGGTACATAGTAAGAGTGCTACAGTGTGTTAGAATGTTTAAGGTAGAAAGTCTGAAACTGCTGCCCACGGCAGCTATAGCAGCCAGTATTTTGAACACCACCATTTCTCTATATCCTTGCCTGAACTTGATGTTGTCAGTTTGTTGGATTTCGCCATTCTAATAGCTGTGCAGGGATGTCTCATCGTTTTGCATATCCTTAATTATGTATGATGTCGTGCATTTTTTTTTTTCATATTCTTAATTGCCATCTTTGGCTGAGTCTGTTCACCTCTTTTGCCCATTGAACATTTTCTTGGTTCAGATTTTATTTTTTAAAAGAACTTTGAGGTTCACAGCAAAATTGAGGGGAGGTAGAGAGATCTCCTGTATATCCTCTGCCCCGACACCTGCACAGCCTCCCCCATTATCAATATCACCACCAAGAGAGGCACATTCGTTACAACCCATGACCCTACACTGGCAAATCATTGCCACCTGAAGTCCATGGTTGAATTAGGGTTCACCCTTGGAGTCGCACATCTATGGACCTGAGTAAGTGGGTGGTGACACGCTGCCACCATTGCGTTCCACTGTGCACTTTCTCTGTGCCGAACTGCCTCTGTGTTCTGCCTAGCTGTCTGCCCCGCTGTTATTTTATATGCTGGACGTTTTCACTTTCAGTCAGTTAAAAATACCTTCTAATTTCCTAGAACAATTATTGATGAAATTCATATGGAATCACCAAAAACCCCGAATAGCCAAAGCTCCCCTGAAAAAAAGAAAGAAGGGAATGGAGGCATCACATGCCCAGATTTCCAACTACACTACAAAGCCATAATAATCAAAACTGCATGGTATTGGAACAAGAACAGACACACAGACCAATGGAACCGAGCAGAAAATCCAGAAATAAACCCACAGATTTACAGTCAACTAATCTTTGACAAAGGAGCAAAGAGTGTGCACTGGAGCAAAGAAAGTTTGTTCAATAAATGGTGCTGGGAAAACTGGGTCGCTACATGCAAAAGAATAAAGCTTGACCACTACCTCACACCATGCACAAAAACCAACTCAAAATGAATTAAAGAACTAGGCATAAGACCTGAAACCATAAAATACATAGAAGGAAATATAGGCAAAACACTACATGACAGGCACCTCAAAGACATCTTTACAGGCACATTGCCCAAAGCAGTGATAGTGAAGGCAAATATAAACAGCTGGGACTACATCAAGTTAAAGAGCTTCTGTCTAGCAAAAGACAAAATAACCAAAACAAAGAGAAACCCCACTGACTGGGAGAACATTTTTGCACACAACACTAATGATAAAGGACTGATCACAAAAACCTACAAGGAGCTGATGAGACTCAAAAAAAAAAAAAGAAAGAAAGAAAATAATCTAGTCAAAAAATGGGCAGAAGAGCTAAAAAGAAACTTCTCCAAAGAGGAAATGCAAATGGCCAACAAGCATATGAAAAACTGTTCAACATCCCTTGTAATCAGGGAAATGCAAATCAAAACTACAATGAGATACCATCTCACACCAGTGAGAATGGCACATATTAAAAAAACAAGCAACAACAAATGTTGGCAAGGTTGTGGAGAGAAAGGAACTCTCCTGCACTGCTGGTGGGAGTGCAAACTGGTCCAACCACTATGGAAAGCTGTGTGGAGATTTCTTGACCTACTAAACACAGAGCTTCCATATGATCCAGCAAATCCACTCCTAGGTATTTACCCAGAGGACACAGAAACATTAATTCCAAAGGGCACCTGCACCCCTATGTTTATAGCAGCACTGTTTACAATAGCTAAGCTATGGAAACAACCCAAATGCCCCAAAACAGATGACTGGATCAAGAAGGTGTGGTACATATACACCATGGAATATTACTCAGCAATCAAAAAAGATAAACTTGTGCCATTTGCAGCAACATGGATGGCGCTGGAAGGGATCGTGTTCAGCGAAATAAGCCAGAAAGAAAAAGAAAAATACCAGATGGTCTCACTCAGCAGGAATATAGAAAACCTAAATAAGGGACCAGGAAAAAGACTAATTGCAATAAAGTAAAAATCAAAATCAACAAGCAACTAGAGACCAGAGATACACTACATTAGGGAGCGGGTGGGAGGAGAAGAGGGATTAGGGACAGAAAAAGGGGGTGGGAATTGGGAATATAACCAACATGAAAATGCGTACATTATGCAAAAATGAAAAATGATGTAAGAATTATATAAAACAAAATATTTAAAAAACTCTAATTTCCATGGTGGTTTTGGAAATTTGACCTACAGGCAACTTAAAAGTGTTAAGTGCTAGTTACTTTGGGACTATTTTCTAGTTTTCTTTTTGTTATTATTTTCTAACTTCATTTCACGTGGTCACACACACAAAACACTGAGCAACTGTAATTGTTTAAAGTTTTTGGGAGTTGTTTTATGGCCCAGCACAGCAGCTATTTTTCTGTGTGCAGAAGAGAACATGTATTCTGCAGCTGTCACATGCGGTCATCTACCTATGTTAATTAGGTTAAGTCTGTTACTATTATTGTTTGATTTCTATATAGCTACTGGTTTTATTTGCTAGTCTATCAGTTAATGAGGAATTTGTTTAAGATCTCTGCTTGTTATTGTGAATTTATTTATTGGGCATCTGCTAATTTTTGTAACGAGCTGCATCAGTTTCCTTCCGGGTCGGGTTTGTATACTTCTCCCACCCTTTCACTTTTGATCTTCCTATATCCTTACATAAGGACTCGTGTCCCTCATAAACGCTCAGTTAAGATTTTTAAAAGTAGTCTAATAATCTTTGTCATTTACATTTAGTATAATTATTTAGTATAATTATTTATATAACATAAATATGAGTTTAACTCTTCTATATCAGTATTTGCTTTCTATTTGTCTTGCCTGTTGTTAACTTTTCTCTCTTGCCTTGTTTTGCATTGATAAAGTGATTTGTATCATTCTACTTCCTCCTTTGCTTGCTTGCTTATACATTCTTTTACTGATTCATAAAAAGTAGTAGTAATGCTATCCTATTCAACATATATCTTTGACCTACTACATTATAATGCAAATTAGGGAGTTTATATTAACTCCATTTAGTCTCCTTACCAACTGCTGTTGTTGTTATTTTTTTTTAATAGAGGCATGCTTTATTTATTTATTTGTTTCTTTGTTTGTTTGTTTATACATGCACTGGGTACAGTCAGAAGCACGGGAGGGTGAGAGAATTCACCAGAGCCAGAGGTGGGAGCAGAGCAGGCAAAAGGACCGAAGGACACTGCTGAGGGGAGCAGCGGGCGGCAGGAGAGGTCTGCGCGCCATGTGGGACCCTCCTCCGGTGGCCGGGGAGCAGCCGGGGATCGAACCGGCTCCTCGGGCGCGGGCAGCTTCGCAACCCAGCGCTCAACCGCTGCGCCACCGGGGAGGCCCTGCTGTTGTTATTTTAATTACACACACACTCACACACACACACGCACACACATCCCCAGACACCCGCATCCTTACTATTTTTGTTTTATACAATCAGTGGACATTTAGAACATCCCCATTTGTAACCTCTCCGTTGCACTTCGTGCCACTGTGTATCTTCATTTGGGATTATTTGACCCTAAGAACCTTAATATTTCCACCAAGTTTCAAAGCCAATGTAATTGCTACTCTTTGTAATACAATCCACCCTTTGCCCTCCAACTGTTTGTAAGTTTTTTTCTTTCTTTTAAGGATGTTTACTAAAATATACCTAAGTGGTGTTTTCTTTGTATTGTTTTGAGTTAACAGCACTTTTTGAATCTGTGGTGCTTGTGACAGGTAGGATTTAAGATGGCCTTCAGTGTCCTTTGCATATTATAATCCCTTCCTGTTGCATGCAGGAGGGGCTGCGAATATGCTGGGGTTTCACTTGTGTAATCAGGTTATATATGTGGCACAGTGACTTTAAGAAAAGGGTTGGGCTGATCTAGTCTATCAAAGGGACGGGGCTCTTTCTGGTGAGAGACTTGAAGGGAAAGAGGGATTTGCTGTCAGGGAGATTATCCCCTTGAAGATGGAGGGGACCATGTGGCAAGTAATGTGGCAACTAGTTGCTGAGAGCGACCTGCAGCTGACACGCTGCAAGGACACAGCATCCTCAGTCTGACAACCATGTGGAACTGAATTCAGTGACTAATCTGAATAAGCCTGGATGTGGGTTCTTAGCCAGAGCTCTCAGCAAAGGCTGTAGGCTGGCTGTCACCCTGATTTCAGCCTTTAATGCACTGACCAGAGAACCCAGTCATAGTCTGACTGGCCTGGTGGGAGCTAATAAA